CTCCTTGTTGCTGCTGAACTGGGCCTGGGCCTCCTGGCCTCTCTTCCCTCCCCTCCCCTAGCACCTGAGAGGAGGTGTCAGGGAGTTCCCACCCTCTTCACGTGAAAGGCCAGTTTGCACTGCCGTGTTTCCTGGACTCCCCCACGTGACAACACAAAGGCAAATGCTACCAGTCGATGGCCCTTTGAAGTGGCTTCGTTTGTCACAGCAGCGACCCAACCGGATGCGTTTGCATGCGTGTGTGTGGTGTTTTGTAGGTTCAGCCACCAACAGCAGTTGGGGCATGCGGGGGGTGCAGCTCCCTGGCAGTGTCCCTGCCCACCCCCTCATCCCGTCACATGCTCATGCCCTGGCACCCTGGGTTCGCATTCCTTGTCGTCGCCCCTTCCCCTGTGTGAGGTCCTTGACTGCCCAGGCCCAGAGCCTGTCCTGCCAGAAACAGTTCCCAGATCACACTGGATGTCGAGGCTGCATTTGTGTCTGTTTACGAGCTGGGGTGGAGTGGGTGGCGGGCAGCTTGCTGGCAGGCTTCCGCAAGCCGTACGTGTTTGTACTTGCTGGGCTGGGGGTGGGGCGAGGGAGTCAGCTGGACTTGAAGAAGGTTGGAGCCGAGGCATTTCACAGGGCCAGATTCCCACAGCCTTGTTTGCTATTATGTAGATACTGATATGATGATAACAGCTCACCCTTATCGATAACTCACCATGTGCCAAATGCTGTGTCGAGTACTTTCTGTACAGACTTCTGCCGTCTTAGGAGGTGCCCATTTCGCTGGTGGGCAGCTGAGGCTGAAGAGGTGTGGCAGCTTGTGTAGGATCCCAGTCTAATTCTCTGGGATCCTCTAGAGGCCAGCCAGGGCCTCCCTGCAGAGCCCGTGCTCTCCAGCACTGCACCGTAGGTACAGCTGTGTCGTGTGGAGTCTGAAATACAGCAAGAGAGGTTCTCACAAAAGAGGATCTTTAGAAACCACTGACTTGAGCCACCCCTTCTTTAATAGACAAACAGGCCCAGAGAGGGTAATGATCTCAAGATTGCAAAGCCAGTTTAGTTGCTTCCAGGAAACTAGAGCTTGCTCTCAGTGAGCATGTAGTGTGGGATCCTCAGATCCCTGGGCCAGGAGTGTGCATGCAAAGCATATGCCACTCTAGAACCGGTCAGACCGTGTGCCACCAGGGCCAGAACCCCAGCCCCATGCCCACTGCTGCCTGCCAGCCCGGGAGCAGCCTCATCTTAGGGATCTGCTACGTTTGTCTAAGGCAGCAGTCCTCAAAGTGTGGCCTGGGGACCCCTGGGGTCCCAGAGGCTTTCCAGGAGCCCATAGGGTCAAAATTATTTTCATAATAATAAGATGCTATTTACCTTTTCACTCTCATGTTCTCCCAAGTGTCCTCGGGAGTTTTCAGAGGCTGTGTGACATGTGATGATGGTGTCACATTGATGGGATGTGAGCTTGTGCATTCAGATGTTGTGACATTTGCTGTTTTAATTGCTGATACAGTAAACAGTGACAGAACAACACACGTAAACGAATGCTCTCCGGGGGCCTCAGTAATTTGTAAGGGTGCAAAGGGCATCCTGAGACCCAAACTCTCAAGAACTGCTCTTCTGACAGACCCAGCAAAAGGGGAGCTCGGCGGCAGCAGAAGAGCCAAGCAAAGGGGGCTCCTTCAGCTCTGGCCCCCCTGCCCTCCTGCAGCCCTGCGGACCCTGGCACCCCAGCACCCGGCACTGAAAGGCTGAGGGCCCAAACTCAGCCTGGGGGAAAGGCAGGAAGAGGGAAACAGCCTTTTTCTTTGAGAAGGCACAAAGCAGAGGGCCCTGGGGACAGCACATAACGTCGTCGGTCCTCGCCTTGCTCCTCTGGAGCCCTTTCACCCTGGAGTTAGGACACAGTCATGGCCAGTGCGGATGGGAGTTTTTATAGGGAGTTTCCAGAAAGTCCAGAAATGCAGGCCAGCTTCTCGGCATGCCCAATAGGACAGCTGAAATTACCAGAAAGGAAATAGTAGCGTGGAACCCACAGACCAAGGGAAGGATGTTACCGACAAAGTCCGTGAATTGCTTGCCATTTTACCTTCCCACGGGCCACAGGCCAGGGAAGTGGGTAGACCGAGGAGAAAGGCTTGAAGAAATCAGTTTAGGGGCTGGCATGGCCTTGTTTTCAGACAGGTGGCACCAGCCACCGCCCCAGAGGCAGAGGATCAGTCTTATCCCTGGAGAATTTCTGTATGTTGAGAATATCAGTCAGTGTTCAATTTGGGAAAAAAGACCCATCCTGGGCGCCTTGAGAGGAAGGGAAGCAGGATCAGTGGAGGGCTCGAGGAGCAGGTCAAGACTGAGCCTCCAGGAATGACTTCAAGGAAAGTGCAGTACTCATTCATCAGGGGCTGCTCCCTCTGAGACAGCCCCTCGGGAGTTGCAGTTCAGGTTTGGAGCTGGAATCAAGAAGTCTTCACTGTTGCTTTCAATAGCACAGCCTCTGCTCTGAAGCACCCAGGAAGGTGGAAATGGACACTGGAAGGCTCTACAGGAAAAAGAAAGGGGCCTCATGTGTCATGATCTGGCTTGCCGGCAGAAACAGACAGAGGAGACACTGAGGTGGTCTCCACCTCAGGTCCATTTACCAGATCTCATGCAGCTGCATCTTAATGGTGACACCTAATCTGCATCCAGAGCTCCAGCTGCAGAGGAGTCTGGGAAATGTAGTTTCTGGCTAACTTTCTCCATGTCTCCAGCTAATATGGTATCCTGGAGGCTGAATGAGCCAATCCCCAGGGTCTGCCCACCGAGGTATCAGTGATGCCTTCTGTCATGGCCAAGATGTAAGAGGCACGAGGCAGGAAAATGAGTCACGGCCCCTACTGATTAGACTTAACAGTTCCCTGAGTCCCCTCGGGGACTTCTCCTGGGGGAGTAGGGGGCCACTTAGAGCTTCAGGGCCACTCTGGGCACTTGGTCTTGGCTGTGGGCCATAGTGGGGAAGAATGGCTGGCAAGTCCACGAACTCTCTTCTTGTTTCCCCTTCAGTCTGCCATGCTGGTGGTTTTGATAAAAGGCTTCCCCTTGGATCAGAAGGACTGACAAAAGAGGGGTAATTCACAAATGAGTTGTTGGTCCTTCCTAGATCCTACAACTTAGCGCCCTAGAGTCCTGACTTCCCACCCTAATTAGTCAGCACTGTGCCCTTGAAAATTATACACTGTTTTTTTCTAGGCAGAAACATGACTAGCCCAGAACCGAAAACTTGGATGCCTTATACTAAGTTCTCAGCTGCGTTATACTCAGCCGTCCTTGCAGTCATTCCGCAAACGTTTATTGAGGACCTGTGGTGTCTAGGCCCCATGCTGGACATATTTTGGAGAATGCAGAGAAGAGGAAGGCATCGTTCCTGTCCTGAGCAGAGGAACAGCCTAGTCAGGAAGATGAGACACATTCACTGCTGGAAGACAGAGTTGTAAGGGATCTTGGAGCAGGAAGAGAGGGGATCCAGGAAGCCTTCTGGAAAGGGGTGGCATTGGAACTGAGCTTGGAAGGATAAGTGGGATCTGGACAGGCTGAGATGAGAGCTGGTTCATTCTCATGAGGAAGTGGGAACGGGCAAGGTTGCCTTGAGCACCACGAGTGCCCGGGCTGGGGCATCCTGGTGCAAGGTGAGCCGGGCTGGGTGGGTGAGGGGTCCTCGAAGGCCACCACTGGCCGGGCTTTCCTGCCCGGGCCGCCTCACCACACCGACCAGTGCTCAGTGCGCCAGCCACAGGACTCAGACCCAGATATATTTTCTGAAGTGACAGAACCAGGACATCAAAAGAACTCCAAATGAATCACCTCCAAGATCCCGTGTAATTATTTTGTTTAAAAAAATAAATAAAGCATCCTTTGCCTTCAAGGAGAGAAGCTTTTAACACTTTGGGAAACCTGAGATAGGTGGCCTGAGGACGGTGTCGAGGGCGCCAAGGACACAGAACGGAGGTCCTTGCACAGAGCAGGCCGGGAGTCCCCTGAGTCAGGACCCAAGGACTGGCCATCGGGTCCTCCGCATTGAGCTCTGTGACTGCGGGGTGGTCTCCTGAGGATGGCTCCACGGCGGGAGATGTGCCAGAACTGGTGGAGGACAAGAGGAGAGCTGCCCTCCATACTGAGCGGACCCTGGGGGGGTGGGTTGGGACGGGAGCCTGGGTGGCAGCACCTCTGTGTTGCTGAAGGCCAGGGTGCTGGGCACGGCGCGTGCGAATGGCGCCCCCTGGTGACACTTGGACTACCTCGTGAGGGGCTCCCTGGAGCTTGCTGCTCAGTGGCCTTGCTGAACGGCCTTCCCTGTGTCCGTCTACTGCCCCAGCCGTGGCCGTGGGTCCTTGGAGTTACATGGGCCCCTGGGACCCTTCCTCCTCGTGGGACTTGGGGTGCCAAGCTGGGGCAACCCTGGCCTGCCACGGAAAGCGATGTCAGGCCACCTCAGCCCAGGTGCTGGTGAGGCAGGTGTGCTGTCAGGAGGCTCGTCCGGGGTGGCGGGTGCTGTCTCAGTGGGCCTTCCACAGCCTGGGGAGCAGGTGTCACGACGTCTCACAGACGAGGGAAACAGGCCCGGGTGTTCACAGCAAGGAGGGAGCCACTGTGCATGGCTGGAGCCGGGCTCAGTTCACCTCTTTGCCCTGCTACCCAGGAGGTGGTCTCTCCCCTCTGCAGAGAGGGGCACCCAGAGCCCCCACCTGAAGTCTTTGGAAGGGGCTGGAGTCCCCAGTCCGCACACCGGCAAACCCCTTCTTCCACTGGCCACTGAAGGCCCTCGGGTCTGCGCGTGGCCCGTGACGGGAATTCCCTCTGACCCGTGACAAAGTTTCTGTGGAATGGGACAAATCGGGGTCCCTGTGGGGGAGGGTCAGGACCTGAGGGTTACGGGTGACCCGCCTCCGTGGCCGCACTCCAAGCGTGCGTGTGCTGAAGGGGCCCCTCTGCCCTCCGGGAGCGCCCGGCCGGCCTGACCTCTCTCTGCTGCCTCGCAGGCCCTTCCTGCTGCTGCCGCCTCTGATGGAGTGGATGCGCGTGGCCATCACCTACGCAGAGCACCGCCGCAGCCTCACCGTGGACAGCGGCGACATCCGGCAGGCGGCCCGGCTGCTGCTGCCCGGCCTGGACTGTGAGCCCCGGCAGCTCAAGTACGGAGCCAGGGGGAGACCTGGGAGGAGTGAGGCAGGAGGGTCCCGGCTTTCGTGCCCAGCCCCCCGCAAACCTCCCGGGGGCCGAGAGAGGGCGGCCCACGCAAGCCTCAGAACCAGCCGCCCTGGGCCTTGGCCGCTGTGCTGTCTGGGACGCAGAGCACACACGTTTGGATTGGGCAGGAGAGCTCTCACGGTCTGACTCTTTGGGCTGTTTTGGGGGTGAGCAACAGAAGTGGGCCCTCTCTTTCCTCTCTTCCCATGATTTCCCCATTTTCCTGAGTACTCCTGGGTACAGGCACTGTGCTGAGCCCTTCCTTTTGATGTGCATTATCTTGGTCTTCGTGACCGTTTTAGAGAAGAAGGGGCTAAAACACCCGTATTAGATGGAGAAGTTGAGGATCAGAGAGGGACACTAACTGGCCTGAGATACTCAGCCGGCAAAGTGGCCACGCCCAAATTGGAGCCCAGGTCCATGTGGCCCCAGCCTGGCTCTTAACTTCCTCCACCTGTGGCTCCCTTGTGTCGGACTGCTCTCCTGAAGTCGTTGCAGAGAAGGTTCCCTCTGGCTGTCCTTTTTTTGACCCTCTGCCCAACCCCAGTTATGGCGTCCTCTGTCTCCATGGCAAATGGAACCACATTCTGGGACATAAACTTTCTATGCTTTGGCCTAAACATGGCTCCAGGCTGAAGCCACCTACTGGAAGCCTGTGGTGTACCCTGTATAGACGCACCCTGTGTAGACGCAGGTTTTGTCTGTGACTCTCCTTGGCAGGATGCTTGACTGCAGTGGGACTCTGGGCCACTCTCCACCGTCTCTCCTGAACTTCTGGGCCTCACCAGGAGGCCACAAGGGGAGACGATGCAGAGCCAAGAGCTGGAACTTGGCTGCAGTGGTGTTCGTTAGACTGAGCGTGGCCTTCTCCAGGCAGAAAGTGTACAACCAAGCGCTGTGGCCTGAACCCCGGCCGGAGCCTCTCCTCCTGGGGCAGACCCCAATAGATTATTGTAGACGGGACTTTGTTTCCTGACAGTTGACAGCTCTCAGGAGCTCAGAGACCGTCTTCACGTGTTTGTAGAACATCAGAAGTGTGTGCTCTTCATGTCACTGAACGTGACGAGGCCAGCTGATCAGATAGAAGTTCCCAGTCCTTCCCCCAATCCCGTGCTCACGCCACATGTCCGCCTCTCACAGCTCTGTCGCGTCCCGTGGAGAGGCAGCGTCCCGGCAGAAGGGGTCCTCACACAGCCGCACTCACACACCTGGGTCTCTCCTGCGCAGGCCTGAGTGCTGTTCCAGTTCCTTCCGGAGGCTGGATGCCCGAGCGGCTGCTGAGAGATTCCACCAGGACCTGGGCTTCCGCATGCTCAGCTGCGGCAGGACGGACCTCATCAACCAGGCGATCGAGGCCCTGGGCCCGGACGGGGTTAACACCATGGATGACCAGGTACGTCCTGAGAGCTCCGCTCATCAGGCTTAGGGACCTAAATCGGGGATTCGTGACTGCCGGAGTTGGTGGCAGGGCCCTTCCCGTCCCAAACGTGAGACCTGCTCAGCTCTGTGCTTCTAAGAGGAGGGCTGCCTCCTGAATTCTGCCCTGCCTGTTCCAGGTGGGGTGTCAGCTTGAAAGCTTCCCTAGGACCCCATGGAAAACCTCTGTAACGGGGAGCTGCTTCCCCTCCCTGGAAGGCTGGAGACTGTCCCAGACGGTGCAGGGCTAGGAAGAGGCCAGAGGAACCCGCTTGACCTCAGGCTGTGGATAACGGTCGCTAAGACTTGTAGGAGAGCGTCGTGTGGGCCTGCACCGCGCCGGCCGCAGAGACCCTGCCTTCAAGGGGTGGGCGTCCCAGCGGGGCACAGATGCTGAGAAACGTGAGCACGTGAAACACAGAGAAGTGCTCAGGAGTAGGAGGAAGCCAGAACGGGACGTGTGGGAGGGGATTTACAGTTGTGCGTAGTTTGACTTGAGTCTTTTGCTTGCTTTGTGTGTCTCGCTGGAGCGGCCGCCGTCGCGTCACACTTGCGATGCCCAGGCCACGCTCTAAGCGCCGTGCACAGGTACGCGCTCGGCCCTGCCGGCAGCCCTGTGACATAGCTGCTGTCATTAGCCGAGTGTTGGCTTGAGGAAGCTAAGCTCAGAGACGTTGGTTTCCCTGGGGTCACCCCACCAGCGGGGAGCAGAGCTGCATTGGGAGGACCCGGGTAGCCTGACCCGGGCTTTTGGCCGCTGCAGGATGTCCGGTTTGTTCATCGGGCGCTGTTTTGTGAGGACTCCCCGTGGGCGATGGCGCTGTGGTCTGCGAGCCCACATAGCAGGCTGGGGCACAGAAGACAACTGCGGGTTAGGGAGCGCTCCCGCCTAAGGGGACAGCGCCCTGCAGGGCGTGAGGAAGCGCCCGGCGACCACGCGGCCAGAGCGGGCTTCGACAGGCCTCCGCCCGGGGCGTGTGCGCTGAGGCCAGGGGGCACGTGCAGGGACAGGGGGCCGCAAGGCTGAGGGTGCTGCTGCAGAGCTGTGACAGGCTGGGTGGCAGAGGCACCTCTGTCAGCTCAGGTCCCTGGGCTGTGCAGGAGCCTTCATCCTGGGGGAGGGCTCTCCATCCTCGGTAGCACAGGGGTGGAGCCCGTGGCCTTTGCTGTAGACAGACCTGGGTTTTAGTCTGCCACATCATAGCTGTGCAATCTCAGACTGGCTACTCTACCTCTCTGAGCCTCAGTTTCCCTGCCTCCAACACGGAGGATGGTAGTCCCCGCCCCACAGGTTCTTGTGAGACTTTGCCGCTGGCACACAGGCGTTGCTCACTAAATGCACATTCTCGCCTTGCGGCCCGTGTGCTGGTGACAATGGCGTCCCTGCAGCTGTTGACCAGCCTCCTTATGTCCCTGGGTGCGCACGGGGCCAGCAGGGAGGAGCAGTTCTCCTCCTAGGCTCGCAGCCTGGTTTAAACTCCGAATTGTGTCCAGATGTGTGGCGAGAAGAGCAGTCAGGTGTGAGCAGGGGGATGAGCAGTCACACCCTCTCTCGGTGGCAGCGGCTCTCCTCCAAGAGCCAGGCCCTGCCTGCTCCTCGCCTCGTGTCCACAGGGCTCTCTGGCCAGCGGTCCTCTCCCAGGGTCAGTCTCAGGCTGTTTCCTTATCTCTGGGCATGAGACAAGGCTTGATGAGGTAAGGAGATCTTGTCTACACACAAACAACCTAATAAATAACACCGCAGGGCTCCAGACACACGCGCCCCAGCGTCCAGCTGCGGAGTAACGCCTTCCGCGCTGCCCTGCTGCTCCTGGCCACGGAGGAGGGCTCCCGGCAGGAGGCAGCCCCCGGGACCGCCCACCTAACCTCCGGGAGGGCCTGGGCCCGCTTTCAGAAAAGCTGACACCCAGTCACAAGAGACGGTCAAGTCAGACCCTCCTCCCTCCGGAGCCCCTCGAAGGCGAGCATCGCGGCTCAGGGCGCCTGGCTTCTGTCCCACTGCTGCTTCTCGCTCGTCGTCTGGCCTTGGCAAGTTAACCCCTGTCTCTGCTCCTCATCTGTAAAATGGGAATGATGGGCCTCCCCAGTAGGGTCTTAGGTGCTGAAATGAGAGAGTGCAGCTAAGGGACTTCACACCGTGGGTGAGGATGTGGCCGTGAGACGTGATGTCGGAGACAGAGTTGTCGGGTATTCTAACTAATTAGCTCTTAAGGTGAGCTTCCTCCGCACTGAGCCCCGTGTACAGAGTAACTCATACTCTACAACAGTCCTGCGAGGGAGATACTGTTCCTCCCGTTGTACAGATGAAGACACTGAGGCACAGAGAGGTGCAGTGACTTGAACCAAGTGCACAGCTCCCCGTGCAGAGGTGTTCTTTGACTGAGTCTGGCTGTGGGGCCTGTGCTCCTCACCTCGTGTCCTGCGGTGCTCATGGAGATGTCCCTGCTCATCCTTCTGGTGTCGTCTGTCCACGGGGCCTAGGAGGGCCGCCTGGCCGAGCACAAGGCACAGGGTTGCTCAGGATGAGCGGCCGGGTGGAGTGGGCTGGGGACCAGGCCTGTGGGATACGCGTCCCGTGCTGTTTCCAGACGGTGTAGCGTCTGCGTTTGATTCACGTAGGGTATGACGCCGCTGATGTACGCCTGTGCTGCTGGGGACGAAGCGATGGTCCAGATGTTGATTGATGCTGGAGCAAACCTGGACATCCAGGTGAGTGGGCCCAACGAGCTGCACCTCGGCCCCAACCCAGCAAGAGAAGCCCCAGGGTCTCCGTCAGCCGAGCTGCGTGCACTGTTGTGGACAACTGGGTAGATGTGGCTCCGAGGGCTAGAGCTGTGACATGCCTGGAGATCACAGGTAGCAAAGAGGATTCTTCCTCAAGATTTGGGCTTTCTCTCTGAGAGGAAGTGAGCTGAGGGGGAGTTGAATGGAGAGAATGGCCGTAATTCTGTTACCATAACACCGTTCCTCTTTACCAGCCTAACTCCAGCCGTCCCTGCCATCCCAGATACTTCTCGCTCTGAGGCAGAAAGTGTTCCCTCTCTGCCATGTCTCTGCTCAGGGCAGACACTGCTAACTGAACATCCTCTGAGCCTTTTCCACGTGGCGCTCGAGGCAGACATTACTAGTTCACTGCAGAAAGCACTTGAGTGGACTCCTAGTCACCCTCCCTGCAGGGTGCCTGCTTAGCTCAGGAGCCTGTGTCCCTCACTGGTGGTTCGTGGTGTTGCAGGTTCCCAGCAGCTCTCCCAGGCATCCCTCCATTCACCCCGACAGCCGGCACTGGACGCCGCTGACGTTTGCTGTGCTGCATGGACACATCTCTGTAGTCCAGGTGAGCTCCTGCCGGGCGCACAGTGTGCCCTCGGATTGCCAGGTGGACTGGGCCCCAAGCGTAGCCCCAGTCTCGCCTGAGTGAGCGGCTGCCTGGAATCAGAGATGGCAGAGGCGCTGCTTAAGGCTGGCCCACCTGGTTCACCGCACGGAGAGGGCATCAGTGCAAAGACACGTGTGGGACGTTAGGTGCCCGCAGTGCCAGGCTGGCTGGCACCTCTGTGTCTGTCGGCGAGTCTCAGGGCATGCTGGAATCTGTGTGAACGTGCCCAGTCTTCTCTCCTCCAAGCGTCCATCTGACCCTCAGCTTTTCCTGCTCCATGAGCTCCCCGTGGAGCCAGCTTGGTGTCGCTGTGTCCTTCCTGTTCTGCCCCTCCCCATCGACAGGCTCAGTCTCTCCGTCCCCCGGGTCCTGAGAGAGGACTCGGATGGGCATAGCTCACCTGGTGAGCCACGCCATGTCGGGCCCACCTTGGCCCAGCTGGCTGTGCTGGCATGAGGGCAGGGATCAGGCCTAGAAGTGGAAGCTGTCGGAGAGCAGTGTCCAGCCCAGCTGGGGCGCTGGCCACACTGCCCCTCAACTCCCGGACTCCTGTTCTAGAGGGCTGTGGCCCTCCTTCCTGGGAGCTGGGCTAGCGCCCTTGCCGTCCGCTAGATTGTGGTCCTCCCCGGGCGGGGTCGTGTCCGGCTGACTCCTCGCTGTCAGCAGAGCCCTGGCCTACAGTAGTGACTCGAGAGATGGTGGTCACCCGGCAGGCTGCTGTGTCAGCCTGCTTTTCAGTGACTGCCGTCTTCAGGACCCGAGCCAATTCACACCCAGCCGCGGCGGCCTGCAGGGCTGCACGGCGCCAGCCTGGCCTGGTGCCCCCACCTCTGCCTCCCTGGCATGCTGGCTGCACGGGGTTCCTGGCCGACTGCTCCCCCACTCCCCACGCACTGGAGGGAGGCCGAGAGGGCAGCTGGCCCCCACGCCTGGTGTCGGGCTGAGGGCGGGGGCCCCTGGATTGCCACACGCGGGCTCTGAGGAGGCTCTGGTCTTCAGAAGCCTGGGAGGGATGGAAGATAGCTCTCCCGCCACCGGCCAGGGAGGAGCTGAAAGGCGCCTGTTGGGACGGGGCAGACAACACCCTGCCCCCGAGCCGCCCGGGGTGTCAGCCCTGCCCCTCCGTGCCCTGGCGAGGCCCCTGCTGGAAGGGGGGCCTGAGTCACCGACAGTGAGGTCTGCTCCCAGCCGGGGGTGCCCATCGACGCTCTCTGGTGAGGACCCAGGGAGCTGTGAGTCCTGGAGCCCCGTGGAGTGGGGCAGCGTCCCCCACAGTCCCAGCAATGCTGCGAGGCAGGCCTCTTCCCATTTCCCAGAGGGGAGACTGGGGCTCGCAGAGGCCAGGTGCCTGCCCTCCGTCGCTCACTGGCTGGCGGCCAGCACTGGCACTCAGCTCTTTCTGATTCTAACACCTGTGCCTTCCCCATGACCTCTGCTGCCTCCCAGAGCCTCAGTTTCCCCCAGTAGATGGGGGGGGGCAATACTTTCTGTTCCGCTCATCTCCAGGTCACTGCACCTAGTTGGTGGGAAAGCATTTGAAAGAGAGAAAGAGCTCAGAGGTCCCCACAGCTTAGGGGCTGGGTCCAAGGCCACAAGAGTGGAGGTGATGATTCTAGAAACTCGGAGCCCTGAGGGTCACCGGGGGGTTCTAAAGTTCTGGTTCTGGGGCTGCCTGGGGGAGCTGGGTGTTGGTCAGCAGCCTGGAGGAGGCTAAAGGCCGGTCCCATGAGGCCTCTCCTGTGCACATGCCAGGCCCTCCTGCACACTGACGTGTCCCCCCTGTGCCCTGGCAGTTGCTGCTGGACGCTGGTGCCCACGTGGAGGGCTCGGCGGTGAACGGCGGCGAGGACAGCTACGCGGAGACGCCCCTGCAGCTGGCCTCTGCAGCTGGTAGGTACCCACAGGCTCTGCCTGCCCTTCCCCGCAGTGTCACCCAGGTTGGTGGGCCTGTTCTAGACATTTGGCCACACACTCAGACCCCTGCGGGAGCCTTGAAACCCTCCTTCCAGGCTGTTTGGGGGTCCCCTGGCCACATCCATCAGTGTTTCTGCTGAGCTCGGCGCACAGGCGGGACCAGCAGAGGGGCACAGTGGTGTGGATGGTGTCAGCACCCTCCGCCTGCCTTTCTTTTAGGGAACTATGAGCTGGTCAGCTTGTTGCTGAGCCGAGGCGCTGACCCCCTTCTCAGCATGCTCGAAGCCAACGGCATGGCCTCCTCCCTCCACGAGGATATGAACTGCTTCAGCCACTCGGCTGCCCACGGCCACAGGTACCCACCCAGGCGGCCTGCCTGTGTGATGTGGGCATGAAACAGGCTCTCGGAGCCTCGATTCCCCAACGGGGAGCAGACGAGCTAGGTCTACAGATCTTTCCAGAGACGGAGGGCTTGCGGGCGAGCCAGCCAGAAAGAGAGGCAGGTCCTCCCCTCCCACAGGGGCCCCAGAGGTTGGAGGGCCTGGAGACGCTGAGGGCCGGTCCCATGGAGGCCCCACAGCTCCTTCCTTGCAGACCTGGGACTGGCCGGGGTCTCCTGACGCCCAGGGCAGTCTCTCCCGTTTCCCGTAAGACTCTACTCTGCGCCGGCCCGGCTCGGCGGCTCCGTGCCACCGTGGCCTTGGCACTCCAGGGCCTTCCACAGAGAATCTGGCTCTGCCGGGAAGCTCCCGGCGGCTCTGCGGGAAATCACATCCCGTTCCAAGAGCAGATGGTGGACCCGGCTTTGTGGGGCCAGGCCTGCCCAGGGGTGTGGCGGGGCAGCGGATGGCCCGGAGCCGTGAGGCGGTCGCGGGGCAGGAGACGCAGAGGCGGTTAGTGGAAGGTGGAGAAGGGCCGGCCCACAGCCACTGCGCTCCTGCGGGGGCCTGCCGCACCTTCTGCCCAGCCTGCACGGGCCTCAGGTGGCCGGCTCCGCTGGGCAGCCGCAGCACCCTGCCTGGAGGCGGCCTGTCTGCTGCTCTGCTTCTCCATCCCCTCTGGAGTAGGCACGGCGGCTGGCTCACCCTCACACACCAGCGCCTGCCACAAGCTGGGGCTCCGTGACCTGTGGAGCTAGCAAAGCTACAGCTGCCTGACCCCGTGGGGGTGACCCCGGTCCCTCAGGGAGGCTCTGGGCCACAAACTTGGCTCCCTGGCACAGCCTAGCCTCCGTCACAGAGTGGGGAGGGGCCTGGCCCCCAGGTGGCCTTTGGGCCACCCAGGCTGCAGCCCTCCCAAAGCCTCAGGCCACAGGATGTGACAGAAAGAGCCTGGGACGTGGGCCGGAAGTCCTACGTCTGAGTCTGCACTCCTGCCCCCTGTGACCTTGAGCAAGACGCGTTCATGCCCTGTGGGTGGGTTTCAACACAGCGGTAAACAACGTGCTCCGCCTAGTCTAACACTGGCCCCGTCGTATGTAAGAGTGAATTCTGTGCAACCGGCACCCCACTTCACGCTTAGTGGAAGGGAGGGGAACACGTGAGTATCAGCCTGTCCGGTGTTTCAGACACTGTCACGTGTGTAAAGTTGGCTGCTGTTAGGAGGGCTGCTGTGTATCAGGCTCTGCATTCAATGCCAGCACATTGGCCTCACATTACCCCCGGGAGAGGATGATGCTGATGCCCTGTCCGACAGACGATGAAGCACTCAGGGCTCAGAGAGGCAGAACAACCTGTCTGAGGTCACACAGCCAGGATGGCAGGGCACACTTGGCCCCAAAGCCCGTGACTTCTTGGCAGTGCCAGGACGGCAGAGGGAGGGGGTGCCCCATACCCTCCCCTCCTCCCCCAGGTGTCGAGTGGGGGCGCTGGGAGCCCTGGCCCAGCCTGCCTGGGAGGGGAAGACCACGAGTGCTGTGTGCCCACAGATGCTCCGTAGCAGCTCGTCTGGGCCATGGGGCACTGCAGGGCAGCTTGGGTGGACACCGTCTGTGGCGGGGACCTCAGGCACCGCCTCCTCATCCCTCGGCCCGCAGGAACGTCCTGAGGAAGCTCCTGACGCAGCCGCAGCAGGCCAAAGCAGATGTGCTGTCCCTGGAGGAGATCCTGGCCGAGGGCGTGGAGGAGGGCGGCACGACCAGCCAGGGCAGCGGCAGCGAGGGGCCCGTGCGCCTGAGCCGGCCCCGCACGAAGGCCCTGCAGGAAGCCATGTACCACAGCGCGGAGCACGGCTACGTGGACATCACCATGGAGCTGAGGACGCTGGGTGAGGGCCCGCGCGTCTGCGTGTCCACGCACGCCTCCTGCTGCTCTTCCATAGGCCAGAGAAGGGCCGGGGTGGCGGGGCGGCTGGGCACGGCTGGGCACGGCCTGCCCAGGCCTGGCGGACGACGGCCAGGACTGGAGATGCCTGAGCCTCAGGCAGTCCTCAGCAGGGACGCGTCTCAAGGCTGCGGCCTTAGCCCTGTGCCCTCAGGCCCTCGTCCCCCTGCCACAGCCCTGGGATGCGCAGCACTGGGGCCCTCTGTAGCTCTGAGTCAGCACTTCCCGTCGGCTCGATGCTCTCTGCCACTCGGCCAACCCCTTGCCCTCCCCGGGTCTGTGAGTCTGTGGACTCCTCCTCTCCTCCAGGAAGGCTAGTCAGACAGACAGACAGACCTGCTGGGACCCTGGCTGTGCCACCTCTGCTGGCGCGGATGATCCTTACCTAAGAATGTGGAGTCACGTGAAGGCCAGGGCGGGTGCCGGCTCCCAGCGAGCGCTCAGTGCCTGGTGGTCGCTGCATTACTATGACGGGGGCCACGACGACAGCACCTAGTCCTGGGCCAAGACAGCAGGAGGCCACGTGACCTTCTCGCACATCAGCCTCAGTGTTCCCCACTGTAAAATGGGATGTCACTCCCACCTACAGTCGGTCAACCGAGGATGCTAACCCATGTCATCACGTCTGGTGGGGAATGCCACCGGTCCTTTTTCTTAATCCACAGTGAGGCTGGGGGTGAGACGCTCTCTCTCTAATTACCAGGAACACAACTCGTTTTGGTCGCAGCCTTCACAGAGTAGTTTTAAATTGCTCTGTGTCCCCACTGACACGCTCCAGGGAGCTGGTAAACAGTAATACGTGCACTGGACGTGTGCTGACGACCGGTGACCTGGGTGCTGGTGAAGCCCTCCGTGATGGCATAGGCATGGGGGCCACCTGTCCTTGAGCGCCCTGCATATTTTCTAGGCATCCAAGTCCACCTGGCCACTGCCCATAATTAATGGGCCCTCCCAGCCAGTAATTCCAGGCCCGGCGAGCCATGGGGCCAGTATGGGTGCTGGGACAAAGAGCTTGGGCTCCCTGCCCCTTGTCTGATGAGGGCCTGGAGCCCCTCCGACCTCTCACGAGGCCTTCGTTAGGCTGCGTGCAGGAATGGGACCAGGACTCAGGAGAATGACAGCCCGCCCCTCCCCTGCTTGGGCCCAGGTGTCCCCTGGAAGCTGCACGTGTGGATCGAGTCTCTGAGGACCTCCTTCTCCCAGTCACGGTACTCGGTGGTGCAGAGCCTCCTACGGGACTTCAGCTCCATCAAAGAGGAGGAGTACAACGAGGAGCTGGTGACCGAGGGCTTGCAGCTCATGTTCGACATCCTCAAGACCAGCAAAGTGAGTGTCGCCAGGCAGGTCCCCACCCCTGGTCCGAGAGCGCTGGGTTCCAGAGCCTACAGCCCTGACCCAGACCACACGATGGACACATAGACTAACACACAGGCAGACAGACGCAGGGACATGCCCCACACACGGACGGACGCAGGCACCGCCCCACACACAGGTGGACGCCCCCCCCACCCCCGGACTCGTGCTGTCTGCTGCAGAGGGCAGAGGCTGTGGGTGTGTCTGGGCTGGGGCCAGAAGAGCAACGTGGGGAATCGGTGATGCAGGAACTGGCCTCTCCTGCGGAGCTACACCCGGCAGGAGCGGAAGACAGCAGCTGCGCTCATCCTGGCCTGGACTCCTGAAGTTAGCCTGACACGGCTGTGGCTGGACACACACGCCGCGGCGGGCGTGGGCTCACAGGCCCTCTCTCTGCCTCCCCCCAGAATGACTCAGTCATCCAGCAGCTGGCTGCCATCTTCACACACTGCTACGGCAGCACGCCCATCCCCAGCATTCCCGAGATCCGGAAGACCCTGCCGGCCAGACTCGGTGAGGGCCTGTCCCCACCCGCCACCCACACTTTCCAGATCTCCCGCCCCATCTTTCCTCCTCTTTCTCTCCCTCTCATCTTGGTCTTCCTTTCCCATTGCCAAGCGCCAAGGCCCTGGCCTCAGTTTCTCTGCTTCTCACCTTCGTATCCCCCTGCCCCCTACGCACACCTCAGCACACGTCAGAGAACCCGAGGGGGCTTGCCGGTCACCGCCCTGCTCTCTTCCCTCCTGGCAGACCCACACTTTTTGAACAACAAGGAGATGTCAGACGTGACCTTCCTGGTGGAAGGCAAGCTGTTCTATGCGCACAAAGTCCTGCTGGTGACAGCTTCCAACAGGTGGGTGGCCTCCTCGGGTCACGGAGTCCCAGCCCTGGGGGTGGGGGGGGCTTGGTTCACATGAGGGGACAGTGGCGTGCTGGGGAGGAGCCCTGCCCTGCAGAGCGTGGTCGCTGGCAGCAGAGCCCCCCTGCACCGAGGCGTGGACGGCAGCGCGGAGCCAGGCTCTCCAGGAGGAGCTCTGAGTGCATTCTTTCTGGTCGAGTTACTGCTTTGGATGATTAGAAACCAAATATTCTGGGATGAAGGGTCAATCTTCCGGCCACAGGCATCACGGTCATTCCTCTGGGGGCAGCGGGGACAGAACGGGGCTCAGCCCAGCCGTCAGCCCCGACCACGTAAAACGTCACTTGCCAAGAATTATTTTAGGAGCACGGCGGTAATTTTTAAATGCTCCATCTCCTGGGGGTGGGCCAGGTGACGGATGGTGCCATTGCGGCACAGTTGTGGAGCGAAGGTCGCATTCAAGACCCGCCTTGTTCCTTTTCCTTTGGTCCAGGTTCAAGACGCTGATGACGAATAAATCGGAACACGACGGCGACAACAGCAAAACCATCGAGATCAGCGACATGAAGTACCACATCTTCCAGGTGTGTGGGGTGGCGCCCGCACGCCTCGGCTGTGCCGCCGGGCTCTGCCTGTCTGGGCTGCCGGGCAGCTGTGCGTCCATCCTCCCTTCCTGTCCATCCCAGTGCCCCTGTTTTCTGCGGGATCAACGGTCGGGCTGGCGTGTCCGGGTCTCCCAGGCAGAGTAGCTGTTCTCTTGTGGCCTGCGGCTCCTGAGCTCCAGCTGCTGGCTGGACTCACAGACGTGCGAGGACAGGCACACACCACACACGTGTGTGAGCCCTCGTTCCTCGGAGCGAGCTCCCGGCAACAGGGGTGCTGCCTGAGCGCCTATTGCAAATGCAGACCCTCATCCCACCCGAGCTCCCGCGTCCATGAGACCCCGGGTGGGAAGTGTGCACGTGGTTTGTGGAGCCCTGGTGTGGGCCGTGTCACTTGTCCCACGTTGGACCAGCCGTGGCGGCCAAGCAGAAGAGGCCGAGATGAGCCCATCCTGGGCGTGGAAGGTCAAGGTCAGGTCTTGTGATCTCCAGGCTTTGGAGGACATCAGAGGTTGCATAATGGAAACTTCTGAGGCCCGGCTGCCAGCCGTGGCCGCAAGGTCTGGAGGAGGAGCATGGCTGGGATCTCAGCTGAGCCCACTGGAGAGCTGCTGTCTGGGAAGTGGTGACTGTGGGGCCCCAGGCTGCAGGGGTGAGCCTTAGGAGCTGAGGCCACGAGGCAGCCGGTGTGTAGGCGCAGGAGCTGGCCCTGCGCAGGATGGGTTTGTGACCTGATGGGAGAGATCTGAGTCTGAGAAGCACGAGAAGCTGCCATCTGCACCAGCTCGGTCCTCTCCCGTCTCGCTCTAGTGCTGGTCTAACACGTGGCCATTTCCAGGAGCTGTGGAGACGGCAGTGCACGGGACGGGGGCCCGTCCTCTGGGGGCAGGATTATGAAGCCACGGGGTGGGTGGGGTCGGGGAGGCCCTGGGATGCAGGAGAGGGGCGTCTAGCCCAGAGTGGGGAGGAGTAGGGAAGTCTCCTGGGCTCTCAAGGAGCAGGGCAGCTCGCCCGTTGTCAGGAGTCCCAGGCAGAGGGAATGGCGTGTGCCAAGCCCCAAAGCCAGAGACCACAGCATGGTCAAGAACGCCCTCTGGCCTGGTCCAGGCAGCGGGTCAGAAGAACCTCCAGAAATGAGTCTGAGCTGCCCCAAGGAGCCACAGCGTGAAGCGCTTTAACCCGAACAGCTACAGAATAGTCATCGTCGTCACTGACACTGAGCCAGCATGGCTCCAAGTGCTGTGTCTCTGTCCTCAGTTATGCTTCACAGGAAAGTCTTGGGAGGCATAGGTATATATCATCATCCCCTCTTGGTAGAGGAGGAGTCAGAGGCACAGAGAAGTTGAGTAACTTGCCCAGGGTCACACAGCTGGGAAGTGATAGAGCCAGGATGCAAACCTAGGATGTGGGGGAGGATCAAGTTTGCCTGTACAAAGGTCACTCTGGGAGGTGAGGAAGGGATTGGAGGGGGCCTGACTGCAGGCAGGGGACCAGTTAGGAGGCTGTTGAGAAATCCAGCTGATGACGATGTTGACCAGTTAGCGGCAGCGGGATGGAGGGGAGTGTATGAGGGGAGAGTGGGTAGGACTCTGTGACTGACAACGGGATGGGAGTGAGGCCCAGCGTCTGGCAGGGGCAACAGAGGGGTGGGAGTATCTCCCCTTCCCTCCTTCCCGTCCCTTGAGCCAGACTCACTGTGGGGAGGGCAGCTCTAGAAACTTGTTTGACTAAGAAGCCAAAGTCCAGGTGAGCTGGAGCGTGCTGGGGTCAGACACGGGAGGCGGTGCGGGAGGGGCAGCAGGGATTGGCTGGGAGTCGGGGCAGGACATGTGGGTAGCCACTGCTGTGTAGCTGCCCATCAAGTCTGCATTTGCTCACCAGGGCAGGGGGGTCCCCAGGCCAGGACAGTCAACCAGCCTTGATGACTTCTCAGGGTTGTTAGGAGGTAGACAGGGACAACAGGCTGACATCCGTGGCACGCATGGGCCTGGGCGATGGTAGCCACTGGCCTTGCCCGTGGGTTCTCTGGGGCAGAACTCCGCCATCACGGGGGAGTACCACTTCAGATGGTGCCTCTGCACGTCGGCTCCTGCCTTCTGGGCCTTGGAGGGGTCAGGTCAGCATGAAGCTGGCCGCCCAGGGCAGGGTTCCCTAACAGCCGGAGGCGTCAGAGCAGCCCCCCGGTACCTGTGGGCTCTCAGCACTGGGAGGGGTCGTCACGACCTTTGTCTTCTGGAGGAAGGAGCAGGTCCAAGCAGTGTTGCCTAGTAGAGAAAGCGAGCCACATGTGTAACTTAACTTTTCCTAGTAGCCACATGAAAAGTAAAAAGAAGCAGGTGGAATTAATTTTAATATATTTAACCCAGTGTAACCAAAATCTTATGGTTTCAACATATGAATATACAAAAATTAATGAAATATTCTACCTTCTTTTTTCATCTTAAGTGTTTGAACTCCAGTGTGTATTTGACACTTATAGCACATCTCAGTTCAGACCCATCACATCTCAAATGCTCAGAAGCCACATACAGCAAGTAGCTGCTGCATCAGACAGCATGGGTCTAGACACTCGCCAAGGTCACCGCCGACTAAACCCGGGGCAAAGCTGTGCCTTTCTGACATGGCTTTTGTCCCCCGGCCTGTCCCTGCAGTGTCTGTGGCATCCCACAGGTGGTTTCCTGGTGGCCTACCCAGGGTGGAAGCAAACGCTGCTGCCTCTGCAGCCAGCCCCCTGGGTCCCCTGGGAGCAGCTGCCCAGCCCCGCAGGCTGCCTGCTGTGGGGGCAGACGAGCCCGTCCTGCCTGGGAACTGTCAGGCTTTGCAAAATTAATCTACCTCTGCCTGCCAGCCAGGCACCCAGGGAGCAATTCTCGCCTGACTTCTGTGGACTCACATGCATTCAGACGACCTCAGGGAGAGCCACATGCTGTAGCTGCTGGACCTTGCCAAAACCAGCCCCAGAAATGCAGCGGGAGGCCACCGTCCGCCCAGGAAGGGGTTGCAGGTTCTGGTGTCTCCTGGCCCACACCCAAGGCCAGCCCTTAGCAGAGTCCTGGGCGAGGGTCCTCCGCCTTGAACATCTACAGCTGGTGGTGGGCCGAGCACCCACTCAGCGCCCAGCGTGGGGACAGCAGAGGAACCCAGGTGTGGCCCGCCAAGGTGCACAGCGCCTAGAGGGACAGGTGGACACATGCTGTCATTGTGGTTGTTCGGATTACAGCAGGAGTTCCCACAGGGGCTGCAGAAGGCCCATGGGAGCCCAGTCCTCGGTGGGGAGGGCCTGATGTCGCCCGGCCGGCCCTGGGCCATCTCTCAGCTCCTCTCCTAGCTCCTGTGCCCCGAGCGTGGGCTCCTTACCCTAGACCCTCTGCTGCTCCTGCCTGGGCCCGGGCCTGACAGAGCCCAACTGTGTGGCTGCAGCGTGTTTATTTACACGCTGGCCAGCTCCTTGCTGGGGCCATTTTTTCAGCCAACCAGGGAGAATCGTTTTTCTTTTTCCACCTGGGAGCCTCCCCAGGCTCCAGCGTGATGGCGGAGTTTGTAACTTAGACCTCAGCAGAACTGGACGTGATCCCACGCTCCAAGGCCACTTAGTCTGATACCCCAGGGCCCTCCACTCCCCAGAGCCCCAGGCGGGTCTGGGCGTCAGCAAGGTGACCTCTGGAGCAGACCCCGTGGCTCTGCTTTCTTTCCAAGGAGCGAATCCAGCGGGAGCTGGGGTCTGGCTCTCACCTCCACTGTGCAGTCCCAGCATGGAGAGGAAGTCTGACGTGGGCTTCTCAGAGTAGCCAGGACTGTCGTCGCCTCAAAGCCCCACCTCCCTCCCTCCCGGCCCCATATTCAGACTGTAGGTCAAAGAGGAAATGACAGGGTGGTGCGGGTGTGCCAGAAGTGCTCTGGTGTGGGAGTCAGGAGACCCGAGGGACTTGGGCCCCGTCAGCTTCCCTCCTTGGGCCTCAGTTTCCCCCGTTGTGAATGCTCTCTCTCCTGCTGGGCTCCCGGGGCTGTCATGAGTCTTGACTTGAAACCATGCCGTGGGAGGAACTTGTCATTCACACAGGAAGTCGGGAGAGAGAATCTTGGAGTTAACTGCTAGAGGCTGCACTCCGGGAAGACACAGACGTTTGAGTCTCAGCATGAGCGAGTTGTGGGATCCACACACACAGGGCCGGGGGCCGGGGAGGCCTGGGGGCCAGGGAGGCCTGGGCGCTGCAGCTCCATTGGCGCTGACCCGGGGCCTCTTCCTGCTGCAGCTCATGATGCAGTACCTGTACTATGGAGGGACGGAGTCCATGGACATCCCCACGGCCGACGTCCTGGAGGTGAGGCTCTCGTCTGGTGCGGGAGGGGAGCTGTACCCCACCACTGCGTCTCCCCATTCACTCCACGCCTGTCTCCAGCCTGATTCGTGCGCAGGTCTTCACCCTGCTCTCGGAAACAGCATCTGGAGAGGCAAGGGGGAAAGGTGGCTCCCATGAGGACCTCCCATTCCCTGCAGGTTCCTTCTCTTCGGGTGATAGGAGGGGCCCCTCCGAGAGACTGGGACTCCTGCCCCTTGCACCCAGCCCAGAGGGTAGAAAGGGGTCCCCAGGTGGATGGGCAGCCCAGGAGAAGCAAAAGGCGCCTGGACTGCCCACTCACCTGTCACTGCTTAGAAACCCGACCTGCTGCTGGCCGTGCACCTGGCTGGAAGGTTGTGTAGACAGTGTGTAGCTTACTGATAAAGCCATCCTGAGGTCAGAAATCCCAACCAGCATCTGTCATCCATCCTGTGCCTCCCAAGTTGTCCCAGCAAATACCCAGATGGCCAAGCTGGAGATGAATCAAGACCATCAGACTTGACCGGCAGGGGTGGGCAGGGCCCCTGGGGTGGGAGGAGGCAGCTGCCTGTTCCGTGATGCCTGGGCCCGGGCCTGGCCTGCATACCCAAGGCCGCCTTTGCCGCCCCACCAGCTGCTGTCAGCTGCCAGCTTGTTCCAGCTGGACGCCCTGCAGAGGCACTGCGAGATCCTGTGCTCCCAGATGCTCAGCGTGGAGAGTGCTGTGAACACCTACAAGTACGCTAAGGTGAGGGCCTGCACTCTGCTCCACCCAGGCCTCGCTGCCTCGGGGCTGTGGCCTGGCAGCTTGAAGGGCAGTGGAGGGTTAGTAACGGCCTCTGCAGCCCAGGGCTATTGCTGTCCCTGGGGCAGCACACAGCTCCCGGCCAGGCGGATCCCAGTTATATTCCAGCTGTGCTCTATGGGGCTGTGCAACCAGGCCAAATGGCTGAGCCTCTGAGTCAGTCAACTCCACAGGCTTGCTTGACTTGCCCCACAGCCTGTCCTCCAGAATCGTCCCCATCTCAGCAGGTGTCTCCGTCATCTGCTCTGTTACTCAGACTCAAAACTTAGGAGTTACAGTTGATCTTTTTAAAATCTCCCCACTCCAAGCCATCCACCTCTGAGATGCATCGGCTGTCTCCCCACCCCCCACCTCCACGGTGCCCCCCACACCACGGTCCCCCTCCACGGTCCCCTCCCCCACGCTCCCCCCCGACGGTCCGCCTCCCCGGTCCCCTCTTGGACGACTGCATCAGCCTGGCTCCCCGCTTCCTGGCTTCCGCCCTGCCGTCCCTGAGGCTCTTTGGAAACGTTGAGACTGTGTCACCCCTCTGAGTAAACCCTCCGAAGCTTTCCTGCTACTTGCAGACTAAAGACAACCCAGCCCTTCTCACGCTTTCGAGGCCCTGGGATCCTGCCCCACCTCCCCTCCCGCCACCTCCTCTCCCTCCACCTGGCCACGCGGCCTCTCTCCTCAGCCCGTTCCTGCGCCAGGGCTCTGTGATAACCATGCCCCCGGAGAGCTCCTCCCCAAGGCCCTCACGAGAGCAGCGGGCCTCCGGGCTCCTTGGCGCTGACCGCTCTCTGCGGTGGCCTTGCTTGTTTGGTTCCACGGCTTCTCCGTCTCCCCTGAACTGCAGCATCAGCTCTAAGGGCATGGCGGAGACCATGACCTCAGACCTGGCGCCCAGGGCCTGGTCCAGACCTGCACGCGGTGTTGGTTGCATTAAAACAGTTCCTGAGCGTCCACCACATGAACGCTCACCTGCTGGGCCTTGTGCTGGACGCTGGACATCGGTAGTAGACAGTTGCCATCCCTGCCCTTAGTGAGGGAGCTTCTAGTCCAATGGGATGCCTGCCATTCCACAAGCCGGCCCCAGTGAGACCGAGGCAGAGGACAGTGGGGCCCAGAATAGGGCCTCAGTGCCCTTCCTGGTGGCACAGCTGGGATTGAAGCCAGATTGGTCCAACTTGAAGGAGATGCTTGCAGGAAGAATCCAGATAAGGGGGAGCTGGCCTCAAGATGCAGAGACAGGCAGTGCCCCCCCCCCCAGGCCCACACGTGAGCTGGGCCTCGGCCGTGGGTAAGTGAGGGCAGTTTCGGGTGGGCTGTGCTCATGCATGGGTCTCCCCTCCCCCTGTGCCCACAGATCCACAATGCCCCTGAGCTGGCCCTGTTCTGCGAGGGCTTCTTCCTGAAGCATATGAAGGCCCTGCTTGAGCAGGACGCCTTCCGGCAGCTCATCTACGGCCGGAGCAGCAAGGTGCAGGGCCTGGACCCACTGCAGGACCTGCAGAGCACGCTGGCCGAGCGCGTGCACTCCGTCTACATCACCTCCCGGGTGTGAGGGGCACAGCTGGTCGGCACACCCAGCCTCCTATCTCCTGGCAGCCAGGGACCAGAAAGGCTGGGAGCAAGTGTAGCCGGGTGTCGGGCCCAGCGCATACCCAGGGCCTGTCAACGTGCCAGGGCCTGGCTGGGTGGGGGCTGGGTGTGGGCTCTCTTGGAGCCAGGCTCACAAGACTCAGTTTCCCCTCTTCCCTCAGACGTCCCCTCTGGTATCCATCTGTCCTTGGGCAGGCAGACATGCCCTGAGCCCACCTGTCACTGGGCAGCCCCACCCTCAACCCCTCTGCCCCAGAGCTAACCCGTGATGGGCAACAGGCAGATGTGGCCAAAAGGTGGCCCCTCCCTCCACCCCCGTTTGCACCTTGAGGGCTGCCCTGTGCTCACCCTCAGGTGCCCCTGCCCGACTCCTGGAGGGCAGCAGCTGATCCCAGCTCACCTCTGCTGTGAACAGCTTCTGCCCATGCCCTCCAGGCTCTCCCCGAGAGCTCAGACTGTCTCGCCTGGGGCTCTCGGGGTGTGGGCATCCTTATGAACGTAAGAATGTGCTCCGAGCCCCCGGCCGTGGCAGCCAAAAGCGGGCACTCTTCCCCTGTCCTGTCAGAGGCTGCCCACATCCCTGGCTGTGCCCTTCAAAGGCTTTTCAGGGCTGGGGGCGCCTGCACCAGGTCACTTTGCAGTCTTTGGTGGCTGGCCCACAGAGGCCTCCTTGGTCAGTGGTAGGGGCAGTTCCCCAGCTGATGCCTCCAGAGCTTCGGATCTGAGCTAGTGGGTGCGGCGTGGGGTATAGAAGAGGAGCCTGGTGGCCTCAGCTTTTGTTTTGCTGCTGTTTTTAGGGGCCAGTGGAAAGGAGTCGATTCTGAAGCCCCAGGCCTCGATTCGGCTGCCTCAGGGGGCTCAGGAAGCAGAGCTCTAAATGTCCCCCAGTTGAGTCCCACAGGTGGACTGGAGAGGGGGCCCAGCCGTGTCCGTGGGAGCGGCAGGTCTGGGGCATCTCCAGGCCAGGGCCTTGGTGGAAGGAGAGGGCCGGGGCAGAGGACCTTCTGCTACCTCCCCTCCCCTGCTGGCCCTGACCGTGGGCTCCGGGGTGTCCTGGGACGCAGACAGCGTCAGGCCTGGACACTCACTGTATTTATGGACCAGACACTGGGGGAGCGTTCGGACAGCTTGCTCTGGGGGTGGTCGTCTTCAGCTGTCTGGACACCTTAGAAACTATTTATTCACCAAAAGCTCCAGGCACTTCAGGAGGTGTCATTGGGTCACCTTGTAAAGCCCGGGGGCTTGCAGTCCTGGAAAATATTTTCTACTAGCTGCTTGGGCAGGATGTACAAAGGGACAGGCGTTATTTTATTGCTGTAATATTGTATGATACTGTAACTATACATTAATGTTGTCACTTACTGTAAATGTACCATGGTTTTATTAACAATAAACGCTTGTTAACAATGACCTTGTCCTTGTCTCTCCTGGCAGAGGGATGCTCAGAGTTCAGAGCTGGGGAGGAGCCCATTTAGGACCCAGAAGAGAATCTCCCTGGCTTCTCAGAGGGAAAGGACCCCCCCCCCAACCCCCGTGCCAAAAGCTGTGCTGGGGCCGCCCACCACTCGCCTCACCTGGGACCTGAGCCTGGCCCTGACCCTCACTGCCTGTGTGACCAGAGCAAGTACCTCCCTCGCTGGGCCTTAGTTTTCCTCTTCTGTCTGATCATGTCAAAGGGTTCCCGCTGGTTCAGAGCTCAGAGCTGCCAAGCTGGACAGAGGTGTTCGCGTGGACGGACAGAGCCTGATGGCAGGAGTGGGCCACCTGGCAGGGGCTCTGCCATCCTCCCTGAGCCCAGGACCCCCACGGGCCTGCTGTGGGAGCTGCCGGCGGGGTTGTCGTAATAGTTGTTTGCAAACCCTTGCCCAGCCCACGCCTTGTGGGGTCAGGGCTTCTCCCCACCCGGGGCTGGCCCGACGTGCATGCCCCCTCGGCAGTTTCTGCCCCCAGGCCCATGGAGCCCTGGCTGTGCCGCCGGCTGAGGGAGGGGGACAGTGAGCCTGGGACAGGCCCAAGCGTTTTCCAGGATCCCTTGTAGCTTGTTGTAGGCGCAAAGTCCAGGCAGACATAAAGGTTTTTAAAATGCTTCCTGCCTGAGGCGGCAGAATTCTCAGGTCACTGGGCACACTGTGGTCCAGTGACTGACAGGCCAGGCCTCAGGAGTTGGGGACAGGACGAAGACCGCATGGGGTCCGTCCCAGGAGAGGCCCGCAGCCAGCTCTGCAGGCCGGGGCAAGGAGAGGGCCCTGTGTGGGCCCATGGCGCCCTCTGGAGGCCGCAGGGAGGCGGCGTGCCTCTCGGCCCCAGGGTTCTGGAGGCCCCTGTGAGGGCGGGCTGAGGGGGCTGTCCCCAGCACTCTCCATCTGCAGTGGCCACCCTCCCCACACGGTCCCCACCCCTGCAGAACCGTCGCTCGGTCACACCAGCCTAAAAAGCAAGATCTAGTCACAAGCTGGCTCCAGTCGGGCTCAGCTGCTTCCTTTTTTGGGGGCAGAAGGTTAAGGGGAAGGTGGCAGGAGGGAGGGATGGGCCCCTTTGAGCCTGGCTGTAGCAGGAACACCCTCTCAGGCAAGCACTTACATAACTGGAAAAAAAGTCAAACCTTCTCCCAAGGGACTAGAGGACTGGCGAGGAACCTTACCAGACCACTGCTCAGGGCAGGCGTTCCTCCTCCGCCTGTGTGCATCTCCTGAGCAGGAGTCGCTGGGATCAGGGAGGGGTCCACCCCTCTCCTGCTGTCTGGCAGTCAGGGATAAGTGTGCAGACATGGACGCAGCTGGGGCCTGGGCCTCGGCTCCCAGGAAACCCCTCCAGGTGGGAGGGCGCCCTCCTGACCGGCCCCCAGCTGGCAGACGGCCCTGGTCCCAGAGGTCTGTCCCCTGCACGCCTTCTCTCAATACTGCCTTCTCCTTTCTGCGCTCTGCCCCTCCTGGCTTTCTCCTCGGCAGAACCACCTTCAGCACTTGGAGAAAGCCTCAAGCCTCTCCCTTCCTGCCGCCCCCACCCCTTCGCAGAGTCCACGTGACTTTCAACTTGAACCCATTGTGTAGAGATCCCCTTCTCCCCAGCCTGCTGTCTGCACAGCCTAGTCAGGCCCCAGGGATCCAACCCTGCCCCTCCTCCTGGCCTGCGGCCTGGCGCTGGTGTGATGGCCTCAGATAATGAGCCTACATTTTTCCAAGGTGATGGTCACTTATTTCCTCCCCTCCCCTCGCCTCCTCAGCCCCCTTTGTATTGGTCTGCAGGTCTCTCCCGAGTCCCCCAGGACTGCGGGGCCAGATGAGCAGTGGCCGCACTGAAGCAGGCTGGTACCCGCCCCTCCCGGCGCGGGGATGGAGGCGTCTCGGCATCCTTTGTTCTGGCTTCTCCAGGCCTTCCTCGTCCTGACAGCATTCACAGGGCACCTATCTGAATTCATTTCTCACTTGGGAAACGATAGCCCAGCTTTACAGATGTCACCGTCTGGGGGCCAGATGGTGAGGTCTGGGGGTGGTGTGCTTTTCAGGCTTGGAGGAGAACCCAAGATCACACCCCCCAAGTGCAGAGACGTTTGGGAACATGCGTTGCAAAGAGGAGGGCTGGGAGGTAGCCAGCAGGCAAACCGTGCACCGCCTTTCCGTGCGCACGGGGCAGGCTGTCTCGGGGTCAGGGAGCAGCTCGAGGCCGTGCAGCCGGACAGGCCTGACTGCAGCGTGTCTGCTCCCTGGAGCCCAGGCGGGACGCTCCGAGCTCAGCTGGCAGAGCCCGAGCCCTGGTGAGCACCTGCTGCACGCCAGGCCTGCTCCCAGCAGCCTGTGAGGGCAGGGCCGCCCACACCACTGCACGCACCAGCGCAGAGAACAGAGCACACAGTGTGCCCACGCCCACAAGAGGGTCGCGCTGAGCCAGGGTTGACACCACGCAGTCTGCGCCCCAAGCGGAGCGGGGTCGGGCTTTGGGGCTGCAGACACTGAGCGAGGGCCGGCCCATCTGGCCCGCACTGTGGGACGACGTGGCTAGGCGGCCTTAAGACACCGTCCCGCTCTGACCATTTGGGATCGGGATGTCACTTTTTGGCCACTCTCCTGAGAAAACCTTCTCTGAAAGGGGCTCAAGCATCACCTGAGGAAAATGGATCCAAGCCGATTTTCACCTCCTCTCTCAGCAAACTCCCCTGCAGACTTGGCAGCGAGCCGCAGCACCAGGGACAAAAGGCACTCCAGCACAGGGCCAGGGCGTGGCGGGGCAGCACAGGCAGCAGAAGCCGCTCCTGTCCCCATGGGCACGAGACCGGGGCTGCGTATTCCATCTGCCGTGGTCCAGAGGTCCCTTTCCCTGCCCGTCCGTGCGCTGGACTCCCAGGAACGCGGGAGACATCAGAGCCAAGGAAAGGTTCCACACGGACTCAGAGACCCCACTCCTTTTAGAGCCGATGACTAACCAAGGAAGACCAGTACCCAACCCACCACATGAGTTTTTCAGATAAAAATAGGAAAAAGCTGTGAGGGACTGCCACCAACCTCAAGCAGAACAGGAAGTGACTGAGCTGACTCCACCCAGAGCTTCTCTTGCACAGGGGGCAGAAGGAACAATCCCACAGAAACCAGCAGAGGACCCTCAGGGTCAAGGTTTCAAGCACAAGGTATCGGATTTGGGAGTGGCAAGTAGATACCGTCACACAAACATACCAAAGTATGTGTGAAACCACCACACAATTTCTGTCCCCAACAGATGGAAGGGACCAAACCACCTGACAGGAGCTCGAGAGGACAAGAGGCACAGCTGGCTGGCTCCCAAGCACCACACCAAGTCCCCCAGGAGGACCACAGGGAGCACTGCTCAGTGCCGGCCACTTCTCCACGGGCTCCTGGGTCAGTAAGCGCTGCCACACTGCCCACCCTTGGCCTTGATCCCAACATGCTCCAGGCCACCTACAGCCAAGCCCCACCAGGAGAACCAGGCAAGGTGCACGCTGCCTACACGGAGCCAGTGAGCACCCACAGGCAGCTGGTCTTTCCGGGACATTATTTAATAAAAATGGATTCTGCATCCCCCCCTCATCCCTGCTAGCAAAAGGGTCTTTCCCAATATTTTTCCCAAATGATGAAATAACAGCTTTGGGGTAGTCAGATGTCACAGCCTTCCTAAATTAAGAGCACGGTTTTTCAGGGACACTGGCCAGCAGGCTGCTGGAGCCGGGAGTGGACCGTCACGGCAGCGCAGACCCAGCGCACAGAACAGTGGCCTGCCACGGCCACCTGTGGACCAGGGCTCCTCTGCCCCAGGCAGCAGGGTGTCGGTGTCGGGACAAGTCCACGACGAGAGGCCCCAGTGCTCCACCAGCAGCCTCCTGAGCATCCCCAGAAAGCTGGGTACTTGACGCCTGAGAAGCGACGAGAGTCAGCGCGGCTGGTGTGTGTGGAAGGAGCCGCGACAGCCTGGACCCACAGCCAAACAGGAGCTTGCGGGGGAGGCGGGCCTGGCGGGGAGGAGCCGGTCTGCGGCCGTCGCGGTCCAGGCAGACCGGCCGGTGGCGCCTCCGCCCCAAGCCCAGCTCGGCCCCGAGCCCGACTCCCCGGCCGGCTTCCGGCTGCGATGGGCTCAGCCGCCGCCCCGTCCCGCCACGGCGCTCAGAGCCAGCGCTGACCTGCACATTCCCAGTCACTGCTTCCGCTTCAGTTTCAGGTCTTTCCTGTTCTTCCCATCTCTGTTTTTCTTCAACTTTTTGCTCTGTTTGGGCTCTGGTTTGGCTTCCAACTTCCTTTTCTTGTCGCTGCAGGAAAAAAAACAGGAGTAAGAAGGACGAACACCACGCCCAGACTGCGGCATCCGTCAGCCACGCGGCTTCCAGCTGGCCTGGCTCCGTCTGAAGACGGGCCCACCTGAAGCGGGGCAAAGGGCTCTGGCCAGGCGCGCTCGGGGCTGCGCGGGTTCCCGCCGACCGCGCCTCGGTCTGTGGCGGGACAGACATGCATCTCCACGCCTGACACCCGAGTTCTCTTTGGAGTGCAGCCATGCCTCACTGACGACGGGGAGTGTCTGGACAGATGCGTCCTTACACGACTTCGTGGACGTGTGACCATCACGGAGCACACGTGCATGAACCTACGTGGCATGGCCACTGCACAGCCAGGTGTGTGGTAACAGCCTTACGGGACCACCACTGTCCGTGCGGTGTGTTGTCCACCAAACACTGTTCTGTGGTTCGTGGCTGTCCCGTATGTGCTCCCTCCCCAGACCCCGAGAAAACTGTAGGGCAACACAAGGGAGATCCCCTCCCCCAGCTCTCAGCACCCGGGTCACCTGAAAGTCAGGCAGCTCGTCCCACTGACCCTGAGGACAGCCCCTCACCCAAACCATGAGACTCTGAGGAAAACCTCACAAGACTTCCTGGACGCAGAGCAGTCACTCAGATTACACATTTCAGCTGGCCCGTGGCTGCCTCACTGGCAGATGAGCACGGGAACCACTCAGCAAACAGCCACATTCCCTCCCCCTAGAGGCTGAAGACTCCGTGGCCTTCTGCCCTGGGCACAGACACCTCCGCATGAGAGTAAACAGCTCAGTCACCTGAATGAAGTGACCATCAGAAAAAGAAAAATGGCCTCGAGAACACATAACGTAGACATCAGTGTTTGCACCTCCACAAGGAGAAACGTGGCATTTCCAGAGCTCTCCAGCACATGGGCTACACATGTGGTGAGCGGTTCAGGGGCCCTCACCGCAGGCCGCGAGAGCCAGAGAGGCCAAGCTCACAGTGTGCAACCAGGCCGGCTCCACACGCAGCACGTTCCCACCACGCTCGAGGCCACGGCCATGCTGGGTCTGTGCCACATCTGCCGCGTCCTCCAAACCAGACATGATGACACACTGACAGGGGCTTCGTACCACATCAGGGAGCATCTGGGAAATGAGGCCGGCATGGATGCTGGACCCTCCGAGACACTGCAGTGACATATGGAGACTGCAGAAGAGAACACGTGATTCCTGGGATCTATGGATCCCACTAAAATTTTCATGAAAAAAGGGTATTTTTAAAAACAAAAAACCAAAATTGAGGGGGCCAGCCCAGTAGCACAGCGTTTAAGTGTACACGTTCCACTTCAGCAGCCCAGGGTTCACCGGTTCGGATCCCAGGTGCGGACATGGCACCGATTGACAAGCCATGCTGTGGTAGGCGTCCCACGTATAAAGTAGAGGAAGATGGGCACAGATGTTAGCTCAGGGCCAATCTTCCTCAGCAAAAACAGGAGGATTGGCAGCAGATGTTAGCTCAGGGCTAATCTTCCTCAAAAAAAAAACCCCAAAATTGAGTCCATTAGTGTTAATTCTGAATGAGTAAATACTTTAACTTCTCAGTGTTTAACTCCCAACACAGGAAACATGACCAGATATCACCCTCCGGGGGCCTCAATTCTCACAACATAAAGGACCTCTCAGCCCCAGGCCTGGAGAACCGCCGGCTGAGACGAGAGGCAGCCGGTCGGTACACCATGGGCTTACAGTGGATGCACCTGGTCTCAGTCCAGCTGTGCCTCTTACCAGCTGCACTTCCTAGCAAGTCACTTAACAGCCTCGAGCTTTGGTTACTTCATCTTTGAAGCAGTGCTGGTGCGCGCTGAGGGTGCGCGGACGCTGCATCCAAGCCCACAGGAAGTGCGGGTCACTGGCAGCTCTGGGCTGTTCCCTCAAGCCCGACTCCAGGCTCGTCTGGGAACACGAGCAATGCTGAAGCCCAGGCCTCAGCAGCGGCCCCGCCTCATCTGCAGGGCATAGGCCACAACAGTAGTGACCGCAAAGGAAAGACCTAGGACTCCTCTCCCAAAGCTTGTGCTCCAACTTCCTGTTTCCTGCTGAGCCTCTGGGGCAGTGGAGGCCGAACTGCCTCTGTCCACAAACGGCAGGGCTCACCTCTTCAGGCTGATGATGGAGGCATTCTGCCCGGCTTTGTTCAAAGCTTCATTCCACTCTTCATCGTCCCCACGGATTATGTATCTGCAACACAGAAGGGCAATGTTAAAGCCTGCTCAAAAGGATAAAAGACGGTGACCACGTGGTCAGACACAGCCTGCCACACAAGCCAGGCCGAGCTGCGTCGGCATCTGAAGAGCAGAGAGAAAGGGAGCACGCACACAGTAGGGCCAAGATGAGGAGCCAAGCGCCACAGGACCAAAACTTCACCAGAGCAAGGAAGGTCACCAGCCGGCTAGGAGGGTCAGTGACAGGGCACCTCTGCAGAGAAGGCAGCTGCCCACCTTCTTGCACCTGACCCTCATTAACTGCCCACCAAAGAAGCCTCCTGTGGCCCCCACAACCTTCTAGCTCACTCCTGCCTCCAGACACGTGCCCACGAGCCCCAGCACCGTGCCTCTCCCTGCCCCACTTTGCCCCACCTCTCTGGGATCTAGCAGTTCTGGCAAGTCAAGGTTCCGATATTGCAAAGCCGCAGGGAGGGCTCAAGACCCTGCCCAGGGACCTCCCAGCCACCTCCACCTCACACGTCACCAACCACCATCACCAAAGGGCCAGTGACAGGTCAAAGAGGACAACGCATCAGAGGCCACTAATTCTGGAGCTGTTATTCACATCCACCCAGGGGGCAGGCAACAGTATCACAGCTGAAGCCCATAGGGAACTAGGACTCCTGGCACCCAGAGGGTTCCAGAGCAAGGGGTTTTGCTGGCTCATTTCTTGGCAGCAGAATCCTTCCGTCAAACAAATTCACATGCAAAAACCAAATGCAGAGAAGTGGTCATTAAAGTGGATGCTCATGGGTCAGCATCCCCCGCCTGGGGACCTGAAGCCTGACAGGGAACCCTCCAGCTCGGGGAGCACGACTGGAAAGTCAAAGTGGCAGCACTGATTTGGGGAAACCAAACCCTCCAAAATTATGCAGAAAGTGAATTTAGCTATTAGTGCTTCTAAAAATGATCTCACAAACCACAGCTTCCAGACACCAGGCTGTGGATGAGAAGAAAGCCACAGAAAGATCTGAGGGCCCTAAAAGCTGAGACTGAGCCTTCGCTCCCCACGAGTGGCGGCCGGGCCTTACTGAGAGAGGTCCATGTCCTTCAGCTTCCCCACCTCCTTCTTGTGTTTCTCCTGGAACTCCTTTGCTGCTTCATCCTGTGGTCAAGGCCCCGCAGACAGAGCAAGTCAGAGTCAAGCAGTGAACCATACAAAGAAGGGGAGGGGGCGGAATCTCAGCACGACACGCAGACACGTCCTCCGTCTACCCTGCCCCCATTAGAGGCAGCTCTCACTGACGCGAGTATGGGCACAGATGTGCACCGTGAGAAGTCTAAGGACATGGCAACAGCAGCTGCTGGACTGCTTGCACGCACACGCGCACACCCAGTGGGAGGCAGAGGTCTAGGACCATGTGTGCTCGTGCGCATCCAGGACAGGGAGAGGCGGGAGCGACACTCGCGAAGCCCCGGGAGCTCGGCGCGCTCCCACCCTCCACACCAGCACCGCTGAGCTGGGCAGGGCAGGTGCTCCTCCTAAAGGGGAAGGGCACACATTGGGCGTTCACGGGGCCTTGGGCAGGAGGGTACCAGCTCGTCACTGAGGGTCTTCATTGTGGGCTCCATCACCACATCCTTCACCACCGCCATCTGCTCCTCAATGGCCTTCTCCTGCACTTCATTAAACAGCTACAAGAGACAATGGCCGAGAAGCAGAGATGAGCAGCACAGGGACCCAGTCGCTCGGCGCCCACTGCACACAGCTCGGGCTCATGTTCTACCCGCTCAGGGTCAGGGGTGAAAGCACAGACCGGGCAGACTCCACCCTCCTAACAGTGCTCCTGGGAGAACAGGGTCATCACAGACACAGCGAAAGCCCCGTTTCTTCGAGGGGGGACAGGGCACGAGGATGAAGATCAGCAGTGAGTGTGGCCAAATGTTAATGCCTGTTCATCTTGGGGCAAAGAGCAGGTGTTACATTACCCAAAACAGACCAAAACTCTGCCCTCAGCCGAGGTTACCTTCACGACTTTGCGGATAATCCGGTTGAAAAGCCCCATCAGCTGGCCCGAGGGCAGCTCGATCTCCTTTTCCAGCTGGTCCACAGATTTATGCTGTAGACCAATCCCCAAGAGAAGAGCCTGGAGGAAGGAAAACCCGCTGGAGTGGCCACCAGGGCTGGCCCTTCGCCATTAACATAGTGCCGAGAACCAGAGTGACTCTTTGACCACAGCTCTCTGGTACAAAACACCAACTGGCACTGTCTAGTTTGGAATCTTCTCTTCATCCCGTACTGAAACCACCAAGCACGGCTCCCTCTTCCTGAAATCCCCAAACTAACTTATTACCCTGACAAATACCTGCTTCCCAGCTAGTTACAAGTTCGGGGTGCTCCTGGACCCCTGCTAGGGTGGAGTAAGGATGGAGGCAACATGGCGAGTGGGCAGACTGTGCCTGCTGATGGCAGCTCCCGCATGGCACACTGTGTGGCTGGCACATGGCTCGACTGCACAGCCCAGCTGTCAGCACCTGGAAGATGGCAACCTACCGACTGGGCAGCGGACAGGGCCAGGTCCCCCAGCTGGTTCAGGAAGTACATCCGCGCGATGGCCGGGATCATGTCCATGATGAGGTGGTAGTCGACCATGTTCCGCGAGTACATCTCCAGCCTCTTCAGGTCATAGGGCAGAAAGAGCGCCTCTAGCTCCTCGCGGCACAGGGCTGCACGCATGACAGGGCCCGACAGGTCACAGGGTCTGCTGGGACTCCCAGACAGCACACAAGGCCCCAGGGGCACCTAAGGCTGCTCCTCTGCAGGCCTTCAGCCAAGCAGAGCAGGATTGGAGTCACCTCAAATTCCAGCCCACCAAGGGAACCTGCCGCCCCGGCAGCCCTGGCCCCAGTGCTCCGGGCCCTCCTGCCAAGGGGAGGCAGGTCCGGGCCATGCAGCAAGGGCGACGACTGGCATGCGGCCCCTGATCAGAGTTCCACGCCAACAGCTGGACCAAGGAAAGGCTCCCTGTGCCCCGGAGCTAGAGGACCACAACACTCTTCCCCACTTTGTCCCTTCCCCTCAGGACCCGGTTCACAGACGGTGGTACTCTGCCCAGCTCAAGGAACACAGACTTTTCCACCAAAATATAATTGGCAAAAAAAAAAAAGTATACACACACAATTAGCAACACAAAAAAAACCCACAGCTGTTAATACTAATGACCCTTTATACTTTTTTGTGTGTGTGTGAGGAAGACCGGCCCTCAGCTAACATCTGTTGTCGCTGAGGCAACATCCATGCCCATCCTCCTCTATCTTCTGTGGACGCCACCAGAACGTGGCTTAATGAGTGCTGTGTAGGTCTGCACCTGGGATCCAAACCCATGAACTCTGGGCTGCCAAAGCAGACTGCACAAACTTCACCACCACACCACCAAGCCAGCCCCCTTTTTATACTTTTTTTGTACTTTAAATATTCAATTTATATGCCCAAAGCACTTCTCTGGGTTGGCGACAGAAGGTTGGCAGCATATTCTTACTATAATTTCATGAATGAGGAAACTGAGCCTGAGACCCTGAGCTGGCTCTCCTGGCTCACAAGATTTAAACTGGGTTCCATTGTGAGCTGTATGGAGGACTTTATCTGACATCTCTGAGTCGGAACACATGGCGAGACTTGGGAAGATGGAAGGTACCGAGTGTGACAGCGCCCGTGGCAGAGCAGGGCCTGCTGAGCGGAAGGCGGAGGTGGGAGACGCAGGTCCAGAATGGGGCCCTCAATGCCTAGGCAGGCCCTTCTCCGGACCAGCACGCCCACCTCGCACCACAAACAACCAAGCCAGCGGCAGCGTCCACGCCATCCCACTCAGCTCACCGGGCTGCGCTGGCTTCCCGGCACTCCTGTTCTGAATGATGTTCAGAGCCAGGGGAGGAGAGAAGGCGCTGAACTGGTAGGACAGCAGGGCCAGGAACCGCCTCCGGAAATCTGTGGGGGACAGCCACACGGAGTCAGGGCTCTGGAGGCCCCACCCATCACCTTGCTGTCCACTTCCACTCAGACTCACCTTTCCAAAAGGCAGCGAGCCAGGCTCCCTGGTTGGCCTCATCCTCGTCAGCCAGCATCTTCAGCATGATGCACGAGTGTTCTCCAGTCAGGTCATTCTGGGAACCACAAATTCCCAATTGGCACCAAGAACCCCCCATCTTGGAAGATCTGTCCTTGGAAAGGGCGAGCTTGCAGAGGCAAGACTCAGTGCATCCGCGGGCCCCTGCTCCCAGCCAGGAGAGGGGCTGTCGCAGCACAGCCTCGCCCTCACATTCCCACCTGGCCTCGCTCCTACACCACAGCTCCCAAAGCCACACGGCCCTGCCACTTCCCAGCAGGTGCCATGGCAAGGAGCAGAGCCGCAGAGCATCAGATCACGCCATCTGCTCTGGATGCACAGAAGTGAGCCACGCGCTCGCGTCAGGTCAGACTCTGAACTCAGAGTCATTACAGCTTAGATTCCACAGAATTCAATCAGCACGTTTTTGGTGCCTTAGAGCGAAAACCGCATGGCTGACACCTGGAGTCCCTGCTGCAGCCAGCGTGCGGGTGCAGGTTTCCAGGCATTTACTCCACGACAACCACAAAGCCCACACGACCAACCATCTAACAGCTTCCAACCGAAGAGCATGCCCGTAACAAAAGGCCAGCGCCGAGTCACAAACGAGCAGCGCACAACACAAGACCACAGGGACACACTGTGCTCCACCGAACTCAACGTCCGCATTCATTCTCCTTGCAGTTGACCGCCAAATGTACACCCCAGCCTTGGCCAAACCCGCTGACAAGGACCCAGCCCACCTACGAGCTGCTCCCTGCCAGCAAGGAAGCAGCCGAGCACCCAAGGGTCTTCACCAGTCCCACTTTAAACGCTCAGATGGGTGCCACCCCCAAATGGACACTGGCTTTGCGCGCTCCAAAACCAAACCTCCAACATGACCCCTCTCAGCTGATGACCTCCCCTCTCCGGGAAAACAGAGGCGATCAGAAGAGAACTTCTCCATCCTCCCCATGCCAACTCAACCAGCCGACCCACACTTCCTCCCCTACACTGTGCCTACCCTCGGCTGGGAAGGATGAGGCCCCCCCCGCCTCTGTCCTGCCCCTGCCTCCATGAGGCCTGCTCTCGGTCCTCCCCCTGCCCTCCGTGCTCCTCCTGCCTCCATGAGGCCTGCCCTCTGTCCTCTGTCCTCCCCTGCCTCCGTCCTCCTCCTGCCTCTGTGAGGGCTGCCCTCCATCCTCCCCCTGCCCTCTGTCATCACCCTGCCTCCGTGAGGCCTGCCCTCCATCCTCCCCTGCCTCGTCCTCCCCCTGCCCTCCGTCCTCCCCTGCCTCCATGAGGCCTAGCCTTTATCCTCTCCCTGCCCCCCGTCCTGCCCCTACTTCCATCCTCCCCTGCCCTCCGTCTTCCCCCTGCCTCCGTGAGGCCTGTACTCCTGCTGGCAGCCCCCTCCCCTGTACTATTGCACGCTCTCTACAGGATCGGACCCTACAGCAAACAAACATTCCAGAATCTCCCATCTGACAAACACACCGTAACTCCAGTCCCCCTCCAGCTCCCTGTCTCCCTGCTCCCTCTTGCTCCCTGTGCAAGCCGTCTCTTCACCTCCCCTTCTCTCCAGTCAGGTGGACCCCTCCACTCCACTGAAGCTGCTCTCATTCCGATCAGTGGTGCTGACAAGGCCCGTGGTCAACCATTCGTCCTCGTCTTGCCTGTTCTCTCACAACTGACTCCCCTTCTTGAAATCCTTGTGAATCCTGGCTTCTGACACTTCACCCCCTGAGTGCCTCCTATAGATCAAGGCCACTCCTCAGTCTCCCCTGCTGTCTTCTGACTCATTCCTCTAAACACTGGACAGTCCAAGACTCCCCCTCTTCTCTATCTCCTCCACTCCCTACTTTCTGGAGCTCCCAGCAGTTATTCATTCACTAACAAAGCATTTACTGCACACATGCTACACACAGCAGACGCTACCAAGTGCTGGGGTTACAGCTCTGAAGAAAACAGACAAAAAGCTCCTTGGCCCCAGGGGTACACTCTGAGGAATACGCCGCCATCTCCCAAACCTGCATGTCCACCCCAACCTCCTCCTGAACCCCAGGCTCCTGGTCAGGTGCCTGTCCATGTGTCCAGGGTCTCTGACAGGCATCTCACATTGGCCACGCCAAGAGCATCCCCACTCTGACCCCCCACCCTGCCCTCCCCACAGGGCCTCGCCTCAGCGAAGAGCACCTCCAGCACGCAGTCTCTCCAGCCACAAACGTAAGAATCCCCTTCATCCTCCTCTGCACGCTTCTTCTACACCCCAAGCTTCGAGTCTAGACTGTCCGGCCTCCAGCCGTACCTCACACCTGGCCTCCTCTCCACCTTCGCCACCTCCTCCTCAGACAAACCACCCCAACTCCCACCCCTCGTCTCCGTCTCCACCCTGGGCCGCTGCCGCCCACTGTCTACACAGCAGCTGAGCACACTTGCTCTGACCCCTTCCTGCGGCTGGCCGCAAAGACAACGCAGAGTGCTCACCCAGCACTGCCTGGCCCACCGTGGACCACCACCCTTCTCTCCAAAGCCTTGCTCGCCTTCTTTGAGTCCTTCAGGTCGCTGAGCTGATGTCCACCTTAGGCCCCTACACTTGCTGCGCCCTCTGCCTGGAAATGCTCTCTCCTCCAGGACCGTCACCGGCCGGTCTGCCTGATCATTCCAGCTTCAGTCGGAGAGGCCACCCCTCAGAGGCCTGACTGCTCATTATGCTACCATCTCAATGTCCGTTTTCCTCACGGCACAGACCACCATCTGAAAATGTCTCCTCTCACGTTTTTCTCGCCTATTTCTACCCAACAGAAATTCAGCTTCATGGTGTATCTTGCTCACTCCTGATGCCCTGTAGGTACTAAATACTTCTTTTAATGAGCCCACAGTCGCTAACTGCCCCACCCTAATAACCCTGCGCATGGCTGCCTTCAGTCCCATCCTGCTTCAAACACCAGCTGCACCAGAGGCTGCAAACTGTTTTTTTTTCCTTTTTTTTTTTTACAGATTCAAGCAGGCCCCCAGGTTATAGGACTCTAGAATTTGATAATCAAGTCCATGTGCACCTCTGCCATTTCATGATCAAGCACAAACCTAGGTACAGACCAGGTGTGCAGTGCACAGCGGGGAAGAAACGGTGACCAGAGGGCCGCTCAGTGAGACCGCTGCTTCGTGTCCATCAGAACAAACCCCCTGCAGGCACAGGCTCACCTGCTCGAACACAGCAGGAGGCTCCGGGTCTGTGCAAGGGCACACACCCCCACCCTCCTCTGCCAGATGCTTACTCACCGGGGTCTGCCTCAGATAAACAGGAACAAAGCCAGCTCGTTTCCAGAACCTGCAGATAAAGAGAGCAGATCACCTGCACGCCTTCTGGGAGCGGCTGACAGATAACGATGGGAAGGTCAGGGGGAGCGCGGAGTCAACACATGGCTGACACAGACATTGGCTGAAAAGGCAGACACATGGCCCACAGGACTCTCATTTTCAGGACACCACGGCCAAGGGGGTGACGGTGGGGAGGAAGGGCAGGCAGACCCTTACTTGAGGAGCCTGGGGGTCAAGCCATAGGACACACCCAGGTAATCCAGGTGTTCAGCAGGCCTCTCGTTCAGTTTGAGGAGTAAGGGAGGCAGGTCCTTCCGGGGAGTGACGACCTCTTCCAGCAAGCTGACGGCCTGGAGGATGCCAGGGAGAGGACAGTCCACCCAGCAGAGGGAGAAGGTTAGTGACATTCCCAAGCACCCCTGCCAGACCAGGCTCTGAACTGAACACAACAAAACTCAGACAGGTTTCTTGGTTTGTTCCTGTGGCTTTTAAAATATAAGAACATCGCAAAATCCCATGATCATTACCGAGTATACCAAAGCCCAAGACACACGTGGAATCACAGTGCTTGGAATCCAGAATGCGGGAGAACAGCCACACGGTTTAGGAATGCCTAACAGATTTACGAGAGGCAGAGGTAGGGGCTGAAGACCCAAGTCTGTCATCAGATGGCTCTGTGACTTGGGAGTGACAAACCTCTGAGCCTGACCCTGAACATAAGCCCCTTCCCCACCCCTCAAACAGCCATGCTGCGAAAATGAAGCAAACGTGTGTGAAGAGCTTTCGCGGTGCCCAGTGTCCACCCCTCACGAGGACAGCCCTTCCCTCAGTCTGGGGTCAGCACTAAGAGGCGGCAGCTGCAGCACTGGTCTAGACTGGGACGTGCGTCAGCACCCGGGAGCTTCCAAGACAAATCACGGGCCCACCCAGAGCTCCTGACACGGGTGTTCTGTGGCAGGGCTCACGGACTGCATTTGTAACAAGTTTGCAGATGCCAAAGATGCTGATCTGAGGTTCTCGGCCCAAGGGTGAGCTGGAGAAAGCAGCAGGTCGTCCAAAATGAGAGGCAATCTCCGACTCGCAGAGAGCCCAGACCACCAGACAGCTCTTGACGATGCTCCCGAGACCCAGCGTTATTTTCCCAAGAACCAGAAGTTCGGCCAAAAGATGCTTACCTCGCTGCTGACGGTGTGAATTCCTTGTGACGTCTCGAGGACCTTCTCCTCCAGACAAGGGAACCTGCCCTCGTAGTACATCTGCAGCAGCTGTAGGGCTCGGCTACCATAGCCCATCTGTGAGCAGAGAGAGAGACGGGCCGATGTGGGCAGGGGCTCCTGGTCAGTCTGAACCACTTCTACACACTGCACTGCTTCTAGAGAGCCTTCTCTCCAGTCAGACTGCACCAGGCAAAGAGAACCAACGAAACCCCTCAACAAGTCAAAGCAGAGCCCCTGAGGCTGAGTGTGGAACGACCCTTGCTCCCACAGTTGAGCCCATCGAGCCACCAAAGCATCAGGATGGCTGGCCGTGCCTTCCGCTCCACAGGCCAGCAAGTCCAGCACCGACATCTCCACAGCTGGCTCCTCAGTGGTGACTTCTGAGCGACAGGAGGTAATTACGCGAAGTAGAGCTGGTTCCCAAGTTACCTGTCCTCACAAAGGAAGAGCCAGCAGGGCGAGCATCCTGTGTACGGGCCCACTCCCAGTCCCGGGCAAACTGTCCCTGGCAGAGGAGTGCCTGCAACGCTCACTCCTTGACCAGCTTCCTACCCAAACAACCAAGCACAGCTGCCCGAACGAGCTGCCAGCCGCACGCCGCAGCCAGCGGCAGCACACCAGGCGCACGCCACAGCCAGCGGCAGCACACCAGGCGCACGCCACAGCCAGCGGCAGCACACCAGGCTTGAGAGGTGAGATGACACGTTACCCCCTGATAATCTGGGTGAACAGCAATGCGAACAACCCTTCCGCCCGAAAGGCCGCCGAAGTCGGGATCTTGGAACTGTGTGGGAGACACAAGCCAGTAACTTAGCAACAAAACCTCCTCCAGCCCCACCAGCTTCACTCACTCAGGCACCCCAGGGAAGCACATCACCTGCTCTGACACAGTCCACGGAATCAGATCCCCCGAAGCCTTCTTGCCTCGAGACAGGCTGTTCAAGATGGACTGGCGAGAAATCTCTCCCTCAAGGCACACCTGTGGGGGTGGCAGGACAATGCTGACAGGAGGGCCGGCTCCAGGGACAGAGCCTGCGCTCAGAACACCAGCAGCGTTCTGCTGTTCCTCTGACAAGGCCTGCTGTTTCCATTCCAGGTCAGCCTCAGCCCTGTGACTGACCAGCCATTTCCAGTGGAGGTTTCACTACGATGCCCCAAGAGCATCCCGACCCTGTCACTAACAAGGCAGAATACTGACATCCTCCTGGCCCAAAGCACATTAGAAGGGGGTCTCCATGCGTGGAGTGCGTGCACTTATGTCAGGTAAGACACGGGATGCTCACGCAGCTCTGCAGAGAACCATGCAAATTTACAATGACTCATGTGTCTATCTAATAAGAGAACGGTTAAAAACAGTGTGATACATGCATGTAATGAAGTACAACGCAGCCTTTAAAAATTATGCAGATTATGAACATGTGACACTCTGCAAAAAAAGGATTACCAAACACTATGACCCCACTTTTATGATAGGAAAAATGACAGAGAAATGCATAAATACAAGCCAGATGTTAAAACATTATTTTTTCCAATCTGTGTCTTCTAATTTTATAAGTACCACGTATTGCTTTTGTAATCAAGGAGGAAAACAAACAAACAAGTTCTATTTTAGGAGGAGCTGTAAGCCAAAACACCAGCGGCCAGTTCTGACTTCCACTTGCCCACCAACAGTGGGGCTTTGGGTTTGTGCCGGGGGTGTTCCTTCGATGCACCCTAATCCCCAGCCTCGACACACCCAGCCACGGGGCTCCAGACCAGGAATCCACAGCCTCCCCTCCCACATGCCGTTACTGAGGCATTAACCCTTGATGCCCAGGCGGCTCCCCAAGTCAGTGCCACAAGGATGCCTCTGCTTCTGTACCTGGATGACAGCAAGCACTTCAGGAAGGACATTCTGGGTAGGGGGCACGGGAGGCAGAAGGCAGAAGAGGTGGTGAGCGGGTGCATCAGAGAGCATCTGGAGGTCATTGGGAGAGTTCTGTGGGGAAAAAACAGGGCTTGTGAACACCACTCCTGTCCTTCGTGCAAGAGGCGACCCTGCCGTCATCAACGACTGGAGGGCCGCCTTCCCCAAAGCTAAGTGAGGGGCTGGAACCCAGTAAGGCGCCCTCCTAGTACCTTGGCCGGCCTGAGGCTCTTCATAAGGGCTTACATGAGACTTAGCCTCAACCATTTGCTGTCACCTCACTGAGTGTGGGGTCAGAGAACCGCTTGGTTAGCACCATGGATTTCACCCCTGGGAAGTGAACTTTTTCCTGATAAGAGGGTGAGGTTTCAAGAAAACCTGTCACCACCTCTAACACCAACTCTTCAGCCTTCCATTAAAGGGTGTTATCAGAAATGCTATCTAGACACTCAAAAAGTGTCCTTTCCATCATGCCATTTACTTTTTAAGACTTTGAAATATTCTAAACCCTCACTCGCTGCTCCTTAAAAATAGCCCAGGGGCTGGCCCGGTGGTGTAGCAGGGGTTCACACGCTCCACTTTGGCGGCCCGGGGTTCACCAATTCAGATCCCGGGCATGGACCTAGCACCACCCATCAAGCCACAATGCGGCAGGCGTCTCACATATAAAGTGGAGTAAGATGGGCACTGATGTCAGCTGAGGGCCAATCTTCCTCAGCAAAAAGAGGAGAATTGGTGGCGGATGTTAGCTCAGGGCTAATCTTCCTCAAAAAAAAGAGAAAAAGCCCAGAGGCACCAGGCTGGTCTCAAACAGCACCACTCAGTTACAACTACTACGTCATCTCAGCCTATCAGCAGACAAGCAAGAAACAGAAGTACCCTTTTCAACTGTGCAAAGCTCTCCACCCTCGAGACCATGCATGGAGAGCTAGAAGCCCGAGATGAGCCTGAGCAACAATGAGAATGCAACTCGTCCAGCAGGACCACTCACCCTGCCAGCCTCAAGACATTTAACTCCCAGGGCACAGTCACCTGAGCCACTGGTTAACAAGAGATGTGAAAAGCCAAGTCAAGGGGACTGCCATGTGCTGTGGCTCACTGCTGAAGTCCACCCACAGGCTAGCTGCAGTTACCTTGTAGTGAGAAGCCACGTAGAGGGCCATGAGCCTTTGAAGGAAAACTTCAGAGGCCTTGTGGTAGCAAAAGAGAGTGTCTCTATTCACGTAGTAGCTGGGTCTGGAGTTAAGCAACCAAAACACACCCAAGAGAGCCTCAAACAGGATATCCTGCCTCCCAGGGTCACCGGCTAGGTGGGTTTCCCACAGCTCGGGAAGAGGGGCCATGCCCTGAGCAGAAACACACAAGGGCAGGAAGAGAAAGGGGCCTGAGGCTGTCTGACCCACCCTCTCCCTGGAGCAGAGCCTGTGAAACCAAGGGCCACATCCTCGTGTGTGATTCCTTCATCGCCCCTCCCTTCCACAGGGGCACCACACCAGCGGATACAGCTCACAGGTGTCAGGCAACGGGCAGCCCGAGATGATCCGAGGGATGCTGAGGCAGTCGAGGCACAGCAAGTCATTCAGCCACTGCTCCACCGCGTCGCCAGGGGCATAGCGGATAGACTCCTGCAGGGAGACCTCGTGCAGCGTTCGCGCTGCCCCAACACACAGACACAATGAGAAACGACAATTACACACGTTTTGTCTGAAAGAGTGAGGCAAACGTTCTACTCTATCTTTGCCACACGGTGCCCCCAGGAACACAGCTCGAGACTTTAAACTGAGTGGTTTTAAATTGTTCTGGTGGATGTCCAACTCGCCATGACAGCAATCCCAAGGGGTCTCACTACATCAGTGCAACCATAGCTGCAGACAGTCACAAACAAGGGCCTAGCCCCAAAGGCCCGAGCCGGGCTCCCATCTGGTCACTGGCTCGCTGTTTCTCAGAGAAAAGCAACTCCACCTCTTGGGGACTCAGCCTGTCTGCCTGCCAGCAGGGAGGTATGCTACCACCAGTGGTGTCACGAGGGGAAAGGGCCAGCAAGAGTGAGACCAGCCGTGCACTGCAGGCCCGGATCGGAGCTCAGGGTACCTGAGGCCAGTCTGGCTGTCGTTGTGGTCTTGTTCTCAGCCGTGGTGCTGACCTGGCTCTGGGCGCTCTGCTGACGGAGCTGCTGAATGAGCTTGAGGGACAGGGAGCGGCCAGTGCCCTCGTAGCTAGGAGCAAACGCAAAGGCAGTCGGGCAAAGGGAGAGAGGTACTTCCTCACCTGACGAGATGCCCCACTCCTGCTCCCCAGGATGTGGCCAAACCTGCAATCTCTCTAAGATATGCTCTATTTCAAAATTGTAAAAAACCCCTTGAGCCATTATAAGCCTACTTTCTTACGATAATTATACAGTTACTTATAATACTGTATGTTCACACAATTCTCAGATGTCAAACGTGAGTATTGCCATCCATGTACTCTCTAAAACCTGGTCCGGCCTACAGACAGGAGGAGACAGACATCACCGGGGTATCAAATTCTTCAGTCTTGTGCTACCCACCTAATGTCAGACCAGAGGTGAGCCCCAGGGGAGACTGAAGCAGCCCCAAAGACTCCAACTCTGGGAATCAGACCTACCTGCCCAGGCCCAGGCCACAGTCGTTACGTGCCACCTAATGAGCAAGAAGCTACAGTGGGACGATGACTGCCCCAGGTACCTTACCCGTTGATGGTGGACGCCATGAAAACAAGGTAGGGGCCCAAGAGGCTCTTCACCAGGGGCAGAGGGATGGCAGCCGCTTCATCAATCACGACAAGTTCGGCCTGGCCCAGTTTCACGGCATCCGCAGGATGTATATACTGCAGGAAGGAAAGCCCTCTCATTAGCTTCATCAGTATTAACGCCGCAACTGTGATCACTGCCCGGCGCCGTCAAGGCCGCTCGTTCCCCTCTCTCCCCTTCCCATTTCTTCTTTCTCTCCTTCCTCCTTTCCACTTTTCCTTGGCAGGACAAAAACAGAATGGGCGTGGCATCAGAAACCTGGTTCAAAGAGTCCAACCACCAACTGTGTGACCCTGTCCAGGTCACTTATCTCACAGAGCCTCAAATTCCTCTTCTGGAAAACGGAGGAAATGCCTATGAGACAGCTGTTAGAGCAAAGAATCAGGTAAATGTGTAAGAAGGCCTTGCCTGGCCCCTGGCCCGGTGCTGACAGGTGGCGCCGGCCTCTCTGCTCTCTCCTGTCTTTCCATGCTTCGCCGAGCCTCCGTCTGGCCAGCGAGCCAGGGGCAAGCTCGGCCCAGCAGTGGCTAATGGGAGGATGTCAGTATCTGAAGCACCTCCCACACTGCAGACTGTGCACCCCGCCTTGATACCGTCACTCTAAAGGCAAGGCTCACTGCACTGGTGGGGGCCTTCTAAGACTTACTCCCTTCTTAATACACACACACTTGAACATCCTTATGTACATTATTAGCTTGGCCACCTAATGCCACAAACTTGCCACAAGCTCGGCATCCTTACGCGTATAAACAACTCCTTCAGCTTCTTCAGGGCTTCCTGCTATTTTTCAAGTTTGCAAAAGGCCACAAACAGGCATTTTACAGGAGAGGAACCCTGAATAGCCAGTTAGCATGACCAGGATACCCAACCTCACCAGTAACCAGTGCAGTGCTAAAGACGACAAGGAGACCTCATTCACACGCAGACAGGCAAAAAGTCAAGGGGCTGTGAAACAGCCGGTGCTGGTGAGGACTCGGGGAAACCCGGAAAGGTGCTGGTGGGAAGGTAAATCTGTACAAACACTGTAAGGGAGAATTTGGCAAAATCCAAGAAAGCTGGAAATCTACACACACCCTACAACCCAACATCTTCACTTCTAGAAACATAAAGAAACTGTGGTATACTCATATGGGGCTCAAACATGAATCAACCAGATCTACAGGCTTCACTCGGGACAAGTCTTGAAAACAAATGTTGAGTAAACAAAGCAAGCTGAAAAAGCACAAGTACCATCTGCTGCCATTTATGGACACACAAACACACCGACTGAAAGTGGAGTTACCCACGGGGGCGACGGGAATGGACGGGAGGGTACAAGAGGGACTTCAACTGGGTCTGAGATGTTTTAGATCTTTAAAACAAAACTATACACGACTTTTAAAACACAGAACAAACAAAGCAAACGGCAAGCAGTCCACATTCCATAAGCCTGAGTGCTGGTCCCGAGTGTCACGCTGGTCTCTGCACTTTCCTGGGTGTCCGAAGCATCTCATTACAAAGATTTTCTAACTGCGCTGCTGCGAGCTGCAGGCTCAGGGAGGCAGCGACCCTCATTTCCAAAGGCAAGACACACATGCTCGTAGGCCCCTTTCTTGGTTTCTTAAGGGGAAAAAACGAAGAAGTGCCTCTAAAAAGAGCAGAAAGCAGCCTCTGGAGAGGTGCGGCAGACTCTAATGTAATCTTCTTCCTCACTTTCCAGCAAGGAGGAAGAGGCCTCAAAGGGACGCCAGTGCAGCCTCAGAAAGCCAGGTCCCCTCTTCTGTGCTTTCACAGAACTGCAGGCAAAGGACTCTGGTGACACAAGAGGTCTCTGATTACAAATCCAAGCGGCAGCAAGTGCTGAGCAGGCGTCTCAGGGAAAGGATTTCCTTCTTTGGTTTGTGTGTTTCTCTCGAGTTTTAACAGGTCTCTGTGTTCTGATTGCCTTCAGCCTGCCCCCTGCCCCAGTCCACCCCAACACTAGTCTTTCCTCCTAAGAATGAAAGAAGGGAAGAAATGTACAAAACGAAGAGATTCTGGCAAGAGACCCAGTAAGAAGAAAGTTAAGATCCTTCGGTAAAGGCATAAATGCTGGCCATCATGGGTAACGTGACCTTTGGTGCAAACTATCCCATCCTGACAGGCACAAAGGTCAACGGCACGATCTGCCCGTACCTGGCCCACTTCTGCCTCTAACCCAAGGCCACAAGTAATCGATGAGTCTCCTGCACTAGCAGCCCGGGGTCTCCACCCCCCTGCAAGCCCGTCACACTGATGCTTCCCTACGACTTCACACAGTTACAGCCTGGGGGCAAGTGCAGACCGTGCAGGATTACAGAGCACTGGAGATTAGAGAGCTTTCAGGGCAGCACTGTTTAAAAAGGAAAAAAAAAACAGGACACTAGCTAAACCACAAAGATTCAGAGTACATTTTGCCAAGTGCTTTTTCCTTTTAAATGGTAACGTTATTGGATTAGTAACAGATGCACCATTTCAAAACCTGCTGTAACCAAGCAAAATTACCAGTGATGTCAGAACAACAACGGTATTTCTTTTAGCTGATTAGCATACTCACAAACCCACTTACTCAATTTTCGAGGGACAAAACTATAATTTTCCAATCTGGTATATACATTTGATAGTTTACTTGAGTGTTTTTCTTTAGAAGAGGCTGAAAATCTGGAACAGGTTTATCATAAACCAGCAGCAATGTCTAAACAACATGCAATTCCACAGGACAAGAAGACCACCTCTCCAAGCCCCAGGCACAGTCGGGACCCTGGCCCCGGGGTTCAGGCCGACCCTCACCTGGATGGTCTGCCGGTGCTCTCGGAAGACGTGCACTCTGATCACTGCTCTGTGAAATTCAGGATTTAGAGACTGAACGATCTCATAGTCCAGGTGCTCCTGATAGAGAGAGAGTCAAAGCAACAACACAGCTCAGAAGCAAGTGTCAGAAATAAATCCTAAGAAAGTACGCCTGCGTTCTGAAGACTGCGCCTGGATTTAACCCAGCACTGAGTCAAAATAAACTCTTATCCTAATTTCTTACCTGATACTGCAGAGCATCAAATCCTTTAAATACAAATTCAAACAGAGTGTGGAGGTTATCAGGGCTTGGGGAGGTCACAAAGATATTGGAGTACCTATTGAACAAAAGAGGATTTTTTTAAGTAATTACGATATCTCAGGAAGGTTTATAGAACTTAAGGAAACATTTTGTCTGCCCATCACACAGGTGACCACCAGAGATGACAGGAGGAAAAAGTCACGACACACTTTGGGAAGAAAAGAAAAGCAACTCCAGACCTGAGGATATTTTTCCTCCCAAACTAACAGAAACACGATACCAACTGGAAAGCAGCAGGTCCTGGCAATGAGGACCAACGTGGGGAAGGCACGTCACCAAGGCGCTGTGGGGACAGCTCCCTCAGTGTGCAGAACCAGCAAGCTGCTCCGGCCCCGCGCCAGGGACAAGGGGGACGGCTTCACACCCATCACCAGCTGCGCCGAGAGGGTTTCAAAGTGTGAAGCCAGGCAGCTCAACCAGAGGCCAGGCCAAGCCACGGGAACCCCCTAGGGATCCGTGCTGAGTGCAAGGGACGCTAACGGCTCAGGGGCCGAGTGCTACCATGGTGTGCTGGAGCACAAGAACAAAGGACAGGGAGTCAGGAGCTGAGCTCACCCCAGCGCTACCGGCCCTAACTTGCTGCGGGATCTTGGGTGAGTCACTGAAGCTCCCTGAGCCGAGGTTCACCCACCTATAACCTGCTCACGGAGCCGCCAGGAGCACCAACGGACATGATGCACACAGTGGAACATGGTAAATTCTGGGCCTGTTGTTTACGTCTGTGAAGTAGGAAGCACACGCTCTCCTGGCAGCTGCATAAATCTTCCGCCCAGAGCAGAAGAACAGAAAGCAGCACCACCCAAAGGCAGCTCCTCAGAAGCAAACGCACTTCCATCAACCACAATCACTCAAAGGTCAGACTGGCACTTGTCCGAGTCTGCAAAGCTGGGCACATGCATTCTCATTCCTGAGAGGTTGAAAGTGCCCTCCTCCCATTTCGCAGCTTTTGTGCATTTGCTCAACTTCACTGCTCACAAGGGCCCTGGTGTGTGTCCGTATGCACCGCTGTGAACAATGTTGCTGTATCCAGATAGGAACCCAAGACCTAGAAAAGTCACACAGGAGCAGCTCATACCCAGGAAGACTGTCCCGGTCCCCTGACCCCTAATCTTGCACACTGCTCCTCAGAGCCCAGAGCTCCTGAAGGTGGGGAACCAGACGCCCTTACCCAAAAGCCACCGCCCCAGCAATGGCCAACCCCAGGGCTGCAGATTTTCCCCTTCCTCGGGCGGCTGTGAGCGCAACAGTACTCCTCAGGGTCTTTTCAGAGGTCCCCTCGATGAATTTCAGGACAGCCTTGGCCTGTGGGAAGAGAAACGCGAGGCGAGCTCTGGGAAAGGCCAGCTATCAGCCATCTGCCGCCCGCCACACAGGAGGTCAGCCTGAAGCCAAGGCTGCACAAAAGGGGCAGTTCTGAGAGGAGAAAGCAAGGCTCAGCCCTTGGACTTCCACTCCCTGGTCATCTCCTTAGTCTCAAGGTTGAAATACCAACTAGATGCTGACAACCCCCAACTTCACGTCTCTAGTCCAGACGTCTTCCCCACACACCACTACAGACATGCAACCGCCCCCGCACACCTCCACCTGCACCTCTGACACCTCAAACTCAAAACAGAGTGCCTCACGGCGCCCTCAAACCTCCTCCACCTACGATCTTCCCCATCTCAGTTAGCCGTCCAACTGTTTAGGCCAAAAGCCGCCTCCATTTTTCCCCCATTTCCGACTTATCGCCAAATCCCGTCAGCGCTGCCTTTGAAACATACAGAAGTCCTGCCATTCCTCACCACGATGCTCCTCTACCGCGCGGTGGAAGCCGTCCCCCTGCCCCGCCCCCATTACTGCGGCCTCCTGACTAGTCTTCCAGCGTCCACCCTCCTCCCCGGCAGTCCAGACCCAACGCAGCAGCCAGAGGGACGCTTCTAAACTGCGCCCGAGGACCGCTCTGCAGCTGCGCAAGAGCCCGAAGCGCAGGACTCCCGGCCGACGCTCAGAAGTGCCGTCCTCCCAGCGGCCGTGCGGCTCAACTGCAGCCACTTCCTCCTGCTCTCGTCCTCTCGCTCTGCGGCAGCCCGTCAGCCTCCGCCAAGTCGACTCCTACCTCAAGCCCACGTGCCTGTGAACCCTCTGCCAGAAGCACTCTCCCCCAAGACAGCCACGGGGCTCATCTCAACTCCTTCTCGTCTCTGTTCAGATACACCTTCTGAATGAGGCCTTCCCTGACCGCTCCATGGGGAGCCGCACCCTCCTCCTGGCACTCCCTACGCCTCTTTGCTGCTCCTCATTTTCCTCCATCACACACAGCACCTTCCAGGACACTACATGATTTGCTTCTTTCCCAGATTCGCTGCCTGTCTCATCCCACCAGAACATAAGCTCCATGAAGCAGGTGTCCCTCTTGCTCACCGGTGAGCCCAGGGCGTAGAGGAGTGCCTAGCCCCTCAAAGGGAAAGCAGGACGCTGTGGCGCTGTGCGGGAGGAGGAACCACACCACCACTCAGGGGCCAGCCTCTGCTCCCTGACTGGGATCTGCCATGACTGGGAAGAGAGCCAGATGACCTGGCCTGGCCTGTCCAGTCCTGAAGAAGTTGCCTTACGTGCCTGGGCCGAGACACTGAGAAGACACTGACGGGACGCAGGCCCAGGCGGACGGGAGGGGAGGGGTTTCGGGAAGCCAGAGCCCTCCAGATGGTGATGCTCAGAGGGGGTCCAGGTCCTGCTCATCCTAACCTGGCCTTTGGGGGACACTGCAGTTTACCCTTCTGTTGTTTCCTTTAGAGTGGGGAAGTTATGAACTCTGATGAAACATAACTGGAAAAATCCACCGACATGAAAGAAGGGTACGAAATCTGGACTAAAAATGCATTCTAAAATGAAAAACCAATACAAAAAAAGCAGACTGGTTTACAAAAACAAACAAAAAAACAGATGACCAGTATTACCTGAAAAAGGTGCCTGCTTCTCTCATAATTAAAGCAACACAAATGACAATGATCCTCTGTCACCGTATCAGATTGGTAACGACTTATAAGTTTAATAGTACCCAGTGCGGGCAAGGCTGCAGAGAAAAAGGCGTTTTCCTATACTGCTTGGTGGTTCCATAAACTGGGACAACACCTGTTTTAACAGCCACACACTCTAACCCAGCAATTCCCCTCCTAGAAACTCATCTTAGAGATGGTGCTGACAGACGTAGCTGTAGGAATGTCCTAACAGCATTGTTAATAAAGCAAAAAGGCCGGAAGCAACCCAAATGTCTAACAGGGGACCACTTATACTCTGTACTCTGTGACCCCTTTGCATATTTAATACACACCCATTTATTTGTATAGAAGATCCATAAAAATACATAATAAACTGTTAATAGTAGTTGTCTCTGCAGATTGAGGCTACCAAGTAGAAACACCACTTTCTATTTTTAATGTACATTCTTTTGTACTTACTGACTTTTTTTGCCATGGGCCATTTATTTTCTTGTAACACTACTACTGGTACTGTAGCTTCTCTCTCTTCTGCCCTTTCCCCATCCTCTCTCTCACTCCCTCTCTCTGGTGATACAGAGGGTACCAGGAAGTGGTTCGAAGCAGCCTAGAGCCTGCAGCCTAGAGAGCATAGAGAGCTATGTCGCTGCTGACTCTATTTCCAGAATGAAAAGGGACACCAGCCTGTTGGGACTCAGCCTGAGTGGGCGGTGTCACTGCAGCTGTTTTCCATCCTGAAGGTAGAGCTTATGCCAAGAGGCCTGTGCTGCTCGTCTGGCTCAGGCTGGACCGGAACCCTGCACACACTGAAGAGCCTTAAGGCCTCTGGCCTGTGTCCACTTAGCTCCCATCACAGCCCAGGAACCATCGAAGAAGCTGAGTTTACCAGTCCTGGGCACCTCAGTGAGCACAGAAACACCTCCTGGCAGCTCCCGCCAGCCTGCTGTCTGTGCCTGAAGATCAGGCACACACCACCGCAGGGGGCCGCCCTCAGGCCTGACACGGAACCGGGCACGGAACCGGGCAAGTATAGAGGCCTCAGGCTCTCCTCTCACTTCTGCACAAGGCAGAGGCAAAACCCTTAGGCCATCAAAACTCGACTAACTGAAAGAACACAGACATATCACCCTCTCGTGGGAAAAGCGCTGAGAGGGGTCCTCTTTAAGTTTAATCCATCTCCCCTGGGCCCCAGGCCCCTGACCCGCTGAGGGGGGTGGAGAGGGAGGTGATCACTGGACTTACGCTCTGAACCCAGACAACACAGAACGGCCCTGAGGTTGCAGCGTGCAGGAGTTCGAGCAAGAGGCAAGGCCCCTGCCCCAGGGACGGCCGGCGGCTCAACTTGTCCTCCCCTAGCTGCTCTTGCTTTCAGCACGCTACCTCTGTGCTGTCCGTACGGGCAGGGTGGCTCTGAAGGCCCCACTCACCTGGTCTAGGGTCTTGCAGCAGTCCACCAACACACCCACAGGCTGGGTGTCCTGCAAGCTCTCCTTCAACTCCTTCAGCTCCAGGTCAGAAGCACCAAGACCCTCATCCTACCACAAAGGAGGGGAGGAGGAGGTTTGCCACCACCACGGGAGGGCCAACACAGAAAATGTGGCCTCCCCCAGGTTCCTGGGGCCCTGGCAGACTCACCGGGGTCTGGGGAGGTAGGGCCTCAATGCCGGCAGCATGGGAGGAGATGGGCAGGATGTTGAGCTGGTCGTCGATGACAAGACACTTCTTACAAGAGGCCAGAGAGAGAATAAATCTGAGGAACAAAACTGCAGTCACGAGCCGTTGGGGAAAGGGGGCCGATGTCTACACAACAAAGGCCTTAATGCAGGAAAATCACTGGCCCCACACGTCTCTGAGAAAGCGAAAACCCAGTCGGAGAGCAGTGTGAGGCGATCCGAGGTCCTCCACAAGGCATCTGGACACGGTTTACACAGCACGTGAGAAAACCAAGACCCCTAGAGATGGATCACAAGCACTCCTACTGAGCACAACACCACTGTTCCCCGAGGCCCCTGGCCCTTCCCACACCCTCCTAGGCTCACTCTTTAGCACTGTGGTGTCTCACACCTTTCTTAAATGGGGGAACTCCAAACCCACCCCACATACAATCACCAGCCACACAGGGAAACCAACACACACATGATGGATTTACCTTCTGTCAAAAAGGAAGAAAAAGGAGGAGAGGAGACAAAAGCTCCCTTAAGAAATATAACACAAACATTCCTGTGTGTAGAAAAGCACGTGTCTGGCTATAAAATCCAGACTTCTCCCACTACTCCAAGAGCACAGCACTGTGCGCCACTTCCAGGGCTTCTGTTCTACCTGGTGGCGCATGGCCACCTCTTGGCCTCCTCCTTCTACAGAGTTAAAGCATCAGAGACAGTTAAAATCAGAAAGGCCCACGGTTTAGAGAGGCCACGATTTCTAAGCCTCAGCACAACTGACATTTTTGACCAGATAATCCTTTATTGTGGGGCTGCCCTGTGCATTTCAGGCTGTTTAGCAGCATCTCTGGCCTCCACCCACTATACACCAGTAGCGCCACCACGTAAGTCATGACAACCAAAATGTCTCCAGACCTTGCCAAGTGTGCCCAGGGGCAAAACTGCTCCAGGCAAGAACCACCGATTTAGGCCACAGCCGCTTCAGGTGTTTCGCAGGTTGCTAACTTATGGTCCCTAAAAAAGGGCTCTGGGGTCAAATAAACTTGGGAAACAATCAGTTAAGCAGGTCCCTGCTGCTGCAACACTTTTCACAGGCAACAATGGGCTAACGTGAATCATCATGAAGGAAAAACCAGGTCAGTGTTTCCCGGACAAATTTGGCCAGAAAGCCCTTTTGTCATGAGGCCCCTCTTAAAATACAGTGTTCTACGAAACACATTTTGGGAAACGGTGACCAAAACAAATCAGCCCTGTAACAAACGAGGAAGCTGAGACGCAGAGAGGGAGAGGGTCTTGCTTCAGGCCGGAAGGCAGGCAGAGTCCAGGCCTCCTGGCCCCGCCCTCCACTCTCTCACTGCTTCCAGGCCACGTCACGGCCACCGCTGCTGTTAGGAATCGCACCATTTTGGACTTCTGCTCCACTTTCCCTCAGACGAAAGCACAGCTTTCCATCGGGTCCAAGACAAAAATATTCCTCCCACTGTGGCTCCCCACAATTAAGGAACAAGAAACATCTACAGACCTACCTCTCATTAAATCTTCCCACCACATCCTGATGGGCCTCAGTCCTGTATCTTGAATGCACGTCCTAAAAAGACAACACCTGTGAACAAAGGCGTCCACATGCTGCTGGGGCTCGGGGTCCAAACATGAAGAAGCTCCATCAAGTGACCCTGGGATGACAGGGGCACCAGCGATGCCGCTGGGAAGAATCCACTCCCATATAACCTGCTGTGTTCAACTGGCCACATGCTACTTGCCTGAACTGGGATCAGACACTAAATGCAATGTTTGCTCTTACAGCAAACTTCCCCTCACCTCAGTTTTGGCTTTTCCACGTTTTATCCAGCATTATAAAACGTATCCATTCATTCACTAAAACGTACATGCCACCTGTGTGCCAGACATGCTGGGTATGTGCTGGTGTGTAATGAAGCACAACCTCTGTTCGCAGGGAGCTCAGGGTCCAACGGCCAGAGGGAAAGAAATGAGTAGAAAAATACAAATTTTGACAAATGCTACAAATGAAAAACAGGTGCAGTTACAGCAAAGGCGGGGAGGGAGGCCCTTTGAGGTGGTAAGCAGGCAGCATGGGGAGCGGGGTAGAGAATGATGTGGGCACACAGAAACTCGATCCTTCACAAACACTGAGTGAGTGCTGACTACTGGCGGCAGGCACCCAGCATGGGGGCCCAGGGAGGACATGCCCTGCTCTCATCTAGTCCAGAGACCAGGGTCCCAGGGAGGACACGCCCTGCTCTCATCTAGTCCAGAGACCGGGGGCTCCAGGGAGTGACATGCCCTGCTCTTGTCTAGTCCAGAGACCAGGGGCCCAGGGAGGACATGCCCTGCTCTCATCTAGTCCAGAGACCAGGGGCCCAGGGAGGGATATGCCCTGCTCTTGTCTAGTCTAGAGACCAGGGGCCCAGGGAGGGATATGCCCTGCTCTTGTCTAGTCTAGAGACCAGGGGCCCAGGGAGGGATATGCCCTGCTCTTGTCGAGTCAAGAGACCGGGGGCTCCAGGGAGGGACACACCCAGCTCTCGTCCAGTCCAGAGACTGTCACAGGAAGACAGACAATGAACAAACACACACATAACTTCAGGCAGTGGTCAAATGCCTCAACGAAAAATAAAGCAGGTTAAGGAGTGACAGGTGGAGTGATGTCTCCCACATCGGGTGTGAGGAAAGACCACACTGAGTAGGTGCTACTGAGCAGGGATGAGAACACCATGAGGAAGCGAGCCATGCAGACAGCCCAGCGGGGACAGCAAGTGCAAACACCCTGAGGGGAGCGTGTGCTGGGTGTGTCTGAGGATTCTCAAGGAAGCCTGAGGAGCTGTAGTGGCAATGACAGGAGGAGTGGTAGTGACAGGACGCAGCTCCTAAGATTTGAGAGGAGTCCATTTCATCACATAAATGCAGTTCATGAAACCCTGAGGCCAATTCTAACACGATCCCCAGCAGCTGGGTCACGGGCATGACTCATCACACCCACGTGGCAATACTGATGGAGACAGCTCCGCATCCATTGAGACACAGCCCCACTCACTCCTTAGCCACGTCCTCAGCTTGGGGAGAAAACCACCCCTCCCAGAATCAAAGTTCCTGCCAAACTGGGAGTGGAACTGGCAAACGCTCCTTCACTACCCATCAGGATGAGGGCCAGTGGGGAAGTCTGTCCACAGTCCTTTTTTGCAGTTCAGGCAGCGGCAGGCTCTCTGCAGAATACCATTCCAGAAACCTAGCTACGTGACAGCTGCATCCCATGTGAATCTCCCTCGCGTAGAATCTGCAAACGCCTGAGAGCAAATGGGAAATTCAGCAACTCCCGGGCACGCTCAGGGCCACTGGGACGCTCTGCAGAGACTTCTTCCTTAGTTGCAAATAGCTCCCAGCCCAAAGAATGTGCGGACCAGGCACTGGAGCTGCTCAACAGGCATTCTTAAAAGAAAGTGATGGGGCCGGCCCAGTGGCACAGCAGTTAAGTGCGCACATTCCGCTTTGGCCGCCTGGGGTTCGCCAGTTCGGATCCTGGGTGCGGACATGGCATCGCTTGGCAAGCCATGCTGTGGTAGGTATCCCACATATAAAGTAGAGGAAGATGGGCACGGATGTTAGCTCAGGGCCAGTCTGCCTCAGCAAAAAGAGGACTGGCAGCAGATGTTAGCTCAGGGCTACTCTTCCTCAAAATAAAAAAAAAAGGAAAGAAAGTGGCCTACGGCCGGCCCCGTGGCTGAGTGGTTACGTTTGTGCGCTCTGCTTCAGCGGCCCAGGGTTTCACCGGTTTGGATCCTGGGCGTGGACATGGCACCGCTCATCAGGCCATGCTGAGGCGGCGTCCCACATGCCACAACTAGAAGACCCACAACTAAAATATACAACTACGTACTGGGGTGATTTGGGGGGAAAAAAGCAGGAAAAAAAAGATTGGTAACAGTTGTTAGCTCAGGTGCCAATCTCTGGGGGAAAAAAAAGAAAGCAGCAAAAACAGGTTAATTTGAACCCCCACAATTAAGTTAAAAAACAGACTCTTACCATAGTCACCGTGTACAGCTGCTTGAGTGAATCCATGGTCCGCAGGAGGATGACCACCAGCCCACCGCCTTCCACCGTCTCTACAGTCCTGGCCAGCAGGTTTGGAGTTAGGGCTTCAAAATCCTGGAAGAAGGAGACTGGTCATGCAAAGGGCACCCCCAGGGAAGCTTAACCAGGGGCCAGGTGAGAAGGGACGAGGACTTCAGAGCACAAACCAGGACTACCCCCACCCGACTCAGCAGGACACGCTCGGAGCCCTCACGGAGGGGCACTCAGAAGACAGCCCAGCCCTGGAGACCAAGGGCGCCTGGTTCCATATGTCAAATGTGTGTAATAATCTCAGATAAAATCCTACTGGAAGGAAGCCCCCCCGTCTTCCCTGATTCCCATTTGAATTTCAGAAACACCTCACACTCCTCTTCTGCTGTTTATAGACTGAAACGGTTTGACAGGCTCGGCTGCAGCGCGTGGGAGCCACTGCGTCAGGAGCACCGCCACGGCACCTGCGACCTGGGAAGCAGGCGGCGAGCCCAGCAGTGCTCGGGAAAACACGGCAGCTCTTCCCTGAGGCTCTTTTCTGGCCTCCGAGCTGGGATGCAGGCCAGCAGTGTAGGGTACGACCCAGTGGCATGCAGAAAGAAAAATGAGAACTTCCATTCATGACTTTCCTCCTCGTTTCTTACATTTTGTAAGGTATGTTTTATATGTAATCATGGCAGTACATGTGTATAATAAATACACACCAAAACATGGAGATTAGTGCTTAAATTTGTCTTTGTTTTGGAGGATGGGGTTCACAGGTGTCAAAAAATCAAAGAAACAAAACAAAGACCAGCCGAGCTCAAAACAGAAAACTGCAAACCTTAGTCTAACTCGCCTGCCAAGAGAACGCACGCGAGTGAAGAAATTCACCAGGTGGCCCTCTGAGGGGAAACAGGGGGACTCTAAGGACTGGAGGGCGGGGGGTGCTGCAGGGGCTATGTCCCTCAGGCTCTTCTGGATGGACAGATGGGTGCAGTGGTCTGTGCCCAGTCCCAGTGCTCCCGGGTCACCAGTCTTCAGTCAGTTCCAAGAAGGATCTGGGGGCCTAGGGTCACTGGAAGTTCACAGTGCGTTCCCTATCAGCTTTAGCTGTCAAAACCAGTTGTGATGAAGCGTCACAGCTGGTTTTGGTATCTCTAGATAAGGGCTGCCTTAAGTAGAAAATTTTCTTTTATTTTTTTTGCTGAGGAAGATTGTCCCTGAACTAACATCCATGCCAATCTTCCTCTACTTTATACATAGGATGCCACCACACCATGGCTTGATAAGTGTGACAAGCAGTGCGTAGGTCTGTGCCTGGGATCTGAACCTGCAAACACCAGGCCACCAAAGCAGAGCGTGTGAACTCAACCACTGCACTGCCGGGCCAGCCCCCCAAATTTTCTTTTTATATGGGGTGAGTTATCAAGTTTTCTTTGGAAAGTGGCTGAGTCTCCCACTGACAGTACTTGGTGGGGGGAGTACAAGCGAATCTTCCCTCCTTACTGTACACCTGTTCTCATGGGGACCAGGCAGCCCAAGCACCCCTCAGTGTCTGAGCCCAGGCCGGCTGGAGGAAGTCACCCACCTGGAGAACACACATGCCGAAGGTATTGCCCAGGATCTTGTGCGTCTCGTTGTAGTAGCAGTAGCGAATGTTTGTGGCTGCTACGAAGAGCTCAAAGGGGTCATCCTGCTTTAAGTTCAGCGTCCCATTCTTTATTTTTTTCTGCAGCTGCCGCATTCTCTTCTTCCGGTGACTGCAATCACCCCAGCCCATGAGAGCCAGTTAGCCAGCAAGACGAAAGAGCTGGGGTCAGGGGACAGGCTCAACAATCCCCACTTAGACCTTCAGAGCTAGAAGGGAACCTGGACACTGCAGAGCCAACCCCCTCACTTTAACGGTGAGGCAAATGGAGAGGCACCAGCGCAGAGCAGGTAAAAAGCGGCCTTCGGAGGGAACAGCAGTCGGTCTGCGTGTGAACCCTGCTACTCTGCTCTGCCACCTTTAGCAGACACTTCACTTCAAAAGAAGGGTAATAAGGGTACCCAATCCTCACATCTGGCCAGAGCTCAAAACTGAACCTGGGTGGCTCGTCACCTTAGTCTCAAGCCAATGTTTCAACTACACGGTGCCTGGGGACCTGGGAAAGGCATGGTGGCAGTGGGGGACAGTATTCATTTTTCCTAAATGAAGTCACTCACTTCCTTCCCAGGCTGTGGGCTCAGGTCCTCCAGGGCCCTCTAATCTAAGACAATACTGATAGAGGGTATACGGGTTGGAAAGGAATTTGGACATCTCTCAGAAATCCCTGAACTTTTCTTTTGTCTTAAAAACCTTGACTATCCAATTGTCGTTTAGCTCTTTTACAGAAACGAGAAAGAAAGCTCAAGCACTGAGGATTGCCGCGGATCAAACTTCTGCCAGTTCCCTAAGTGAACAGCTAGAGCCAAGGCCCCCCCCGGGGCCTCCAGGCCCTCATCTGTGAAGCGAGGCAGGTGGGCAAAGGGATTTCCACTGTCCCTCTGGCTTGTGCCCTAACCCGTGACCCAAAGAGAGCATCAGCTTTAACCTGATGCTCCGCCACGTCAGGACGAGGGTGGGAGAGCTACAGAGCCACAGAAGAGATTTTTAAAAGTGAAATCGTGTGGGTTAACTTCAAGAGGCAAATTTGCCCAGAATGCTGTAAACTTCCTAATTCTACACCCTCTGACATTTACTGAACAGCAGTGAGAGTCACAAGCCCCAGAAACCGCAGCTCTGCTGACAGGCAACAGGCCTCATTCTCAGTCTGTATTAAAAATGCTTACCTGCCCAATTACGAAAGAATATATAAAACAAAATGCCAATACATACAAGTAACATACAGCTAAGTGCTAACAAAACCTAGGTGTTGAGATTACAGGTGCTTGTTATTTTCACCTTTGTGACTTTTATGTATTCTTCACATTTTTTACAATAAAGCTTTTAGAATTTCTTTTAAAAAAGCCAAAACTATTTACTCAAAATCTAGTTTCTTTTAGGCAGAATCAAGTCTCCTTAAGACCAAAGAATAGGAACTAATCAAATTTAGCCTTTCGTACTAAGTAAAATTAAAATAATTTTAGAGCCTGTTAACAATATATTCAATTTGACAAAACGTAATTGAGCACCCGATCATCTGAAAGCAGGAAAACACACAAGGAAGCAGGCGAGGCCTCCTACCATGACCTGACCACCCAGAAGCAGAAAGACCAGAGTGCAAGCCATGGCACCTGAAGGGAGGGCGCCGGGAGAGCCACGCGCTGAAGAGGCAGAGGGGCCATGGGGCGTGGCTGGCGGCAAGGGAAAAGCCTCCGGAAGGAGGCAGGCCGTGGGAAGTGGGGCCCTGCAGAGTGATGACGGGGGAGAGCTCTGGGCAGAGGAGGCGGAGGGAGAGGCAGGGAGTCTCGCCACACCCTAGAGCAGTCAGCGATGGAGACACGATTTCAGAGTCAACACCAGCAACACACACAGCTGCAAACAAAGGAATGAGAAGAAGCCTGAGGACAGAGCCACACACGCCACCTGGGCTGAAGGCAGGAGACAAGATCAGGGAAAGCGAAGAGCTCAGGAAGGTGGCCCGTGTAAGAGCCAGAGAGGCCGGGAAAGGAGAGTGCTCTGAGCAGGCCACGCAGTGGGTTATCTGCCAAGGACAGCACTCCGCATCCCAGACCACTCACTACACAGAGCTGCAGGGAGAACTGCCAGATTCCTACCAGTGACCAACCCCACCTCCCCTGCCCCACGGGTGGCATCTTTCCCTAAGAATTTGGAAGACTGAGGCCCACACTGTTGGACCTGAAACATGTAAAACTCAAGTGCTGTTTCTGCCATGCGGACCACAGAAACCAGAAAGCTGACGTGGAGTGGGAAAGAAAAGAGCAGACACGCAGAGACGGGGGACCGGGCAAGGACAGGAGCCTGAGTGCTCTGGCTCTCCATCACCCCGAGGCAGCACTGGAATCTCACCCCCTTGGGTTTCATGAGCTGTCCTGTATACCTCAATAAATTCCCTTTGTGTCTAATGCGTCTGTGCTGGAGGCCTACTATTTACAACTAGACGTGTTAAGTTCCACAGCTTTGAAGAAATGAGAGTAGCCGCTGTCAAATACAGCAGTGAGCTGGTGGAGGAGGAGCTCTGAGAAGGAGGAGAAAGAGGGACAAATGTTGTTGCGTTAGGCATCAGGCCGTCAGTGACTTCCAACAGCAGTAGAAGCAGAAGCCAGACCACAAAGAGGGTGGCTAGGAAGTACAAAAGGCTCCTGTTTCAAGGTGTTTGGCTATAAAAATGAGAGAAAATGCTAGCCGGAGGGATAAAGCTGGCTATGTAGCTAATCACTTTTTTGAGAATGGAGAGGACTGAGCATGTTTACAGGAAAAGGAAGAAGGTTTCAGAGGGGCATGGAGTGGCTGGCGCAGGCAAGAAGGTAAAGGTCCTAAAGAAGCAAGGGAACAGAGCCAGAGGGGACACAGGGTTTGCTTCGGACGCGGGATGAGGATGTCCTCCTCAAAACAAAATGGAAGGAAAGGGGAGAGGGACAACACGGAGCAAATCTGAGGCAGGTTTCAATTTGAGGTAATTGAAGGAACTCGCAGGAGACGGCGTGACCAGCTTAGAAGAGGTGGAAGAAAAATCCCAGCAGAAAGCAAGGAATTGGGCACAAAACGACTGAAACTCATGGTCAGGAATGAAGCAAGGATGTCAGCTCCATTAGTTTCTGTTTGGAAGTGTCCTCAGAGACAGACCTGCGCTAGCAATCCCTGAAAAACTGTGTCAAGGAATCGTTTCCTGCTATTTCAGCCACGGGCAGGAACGAGACGTGGTGCGGGACGCTCGAAGGGCCATGCTTACCTGCTAAACCCCAGCTCTTTCTTATAACACCACAGCACTGACGGCCGAGCCTTCACAGTTGCTTTAGACAACATGTGATGGAGTATGACCACCTGCGAAAGAAAAAGGCACAGAATCTCAGGGCCAAAGACAACTTTGAGACTACCAGGGCAAGACCTCATCTGGCAGATGTGGAAACTAAACTGAGGGCCAGGGAAGGGACCCTGACGTGCCCAAGGTCAAAATGCAAGCAGTGGCCAGGCTGGGACCAGAAGCCAGGCCACATACACTTATCCTTGTGCTCAGTCCACCACCCCAGGCGTCAAAAGCTCTTAGCCTGTGTGCTAATAATTCTAAATATAGACGTCTGTCACTTCTGAGAAACAAAGGAAGGTTCCCGCTAGGCATTTAACTCAAAGAAAACCAGGCAAAGGGACCTTAATGTCATTATGTGCTGAACCCCCAGAGGGCCTGTAACATGCTGACTCTTTGGGAAAGGAGACAGAGCCAATCAGGAGGTGTCCACCAGGTCTTACCTGATCCTTTCCTCGATCTCCCACTACAACAAAGAGAGATCTCTGCCGCTCGGCTACCCCATTCTCAATGAGAATCCGGATCCGGTTATCCACTTTCTTCCGATGCATGGTGACAGACTATGCCTGAAACAGAAAGAAAGGGAACACAACTGGACATGAACATCAGACTCTGAGTGAGGAACACCAGCTGGCTGCCTCCTGTGGGGCTGAGGGCTGTGCTGGGCACACTTCCAAGTATCATCCCACTTAACCCTCAAACAGCTCCCTACGGAAGACATCAGCCTCCTTTTTAAAATTAGCAAACTGAGGCTCGGGAGGTGAAGAAGATGTCCCCTCAGCAGGGAAGTCAACAGGGAAGCTGTAATTCACACCTCGAGGAGGAGTTTTTTAAAAATTGGAACACAAGGTCCAAAAAAAGAATGATTAAAATATATAGTACTATGTCTATGGGAGAGTAAGGCAGTTTTCCAAAAAAAACTTTTTCAAAATGATTTTCAAAAGTTATCTGAGGATATAGATGCTTATGAGAAAATAATATGGCAGGATAAAGTAAGACACCATCTCTCTGTGCATATACGTAACACGCCAAGAAAAAGAGACTGGAAGAAAACACCAAAATGTAAAGCAGTTATTTCTGGGTGGTGAGACTGCGGGTGATTCTTACTTTGTTCTTTCACTTTTTTGGAGTTGTGCTTTATTTAAATTCACATGCATTAATTACTAATAAAGGAAAAGAAATCAATGAATATGCTAGGATGAAACACGCCCAAATGGTTTTCCTCAAAGGAGGGAAAACCATACTGAAGCCTGTACACATAGACCTCAAAAGTTATTGTGATTACGTGTGATAAAATATTGCATCATTACTATAATAAATACACCAAAGAAATGTCAGAAACGTCAACCATATTACTAGAATGTAAAAGTAAAAACGACGTGTTACTTAGAAACTTCAGTGCTTGCTGCATTCTAAATATAAAGATCATTAACTGAACTCTAACCATGCCTCAGCTGGCCTTCTAATCTCCCAATCCAAATATGGACTTTAGTAGTACTGACTTACTTTAAAACACTATATCACAATTAATAACTCCTATTTTATAAGGAAAGGAGCAGGGCCGCCCAGTGGCGCAGCGGTTAAGTTCGCATGTTCTGCTTCTCGGCAGCCCAGGGTGCACCGGTTCGGATCCTGGGTGCAGACATGGCACCACTTGGCAAAAGCCATGCTGTGGCAGGCGTCCCACATGTAAAGTAGAAGAAGATGGGCACAGATGTTAGCTCAGGGCCAGTCCTCCTCAGGAAAAAGAGGATTGGCAGCAGTTAGCTCAGGGCTAATCTCCCTCAAAAAGAAAAAGAAAGAAAGGAGCCAAGGATTCCAGCATCCCGAGGAAGAAAAGCGCCCATCTAACTCCAGACCCTGAGCTCTTCCCAGTTCACCAATCTGCCCAGCTTGTCAGCTGTGTTGCCGGCCACATAAAGACCCCACAATAATCAATCGATAATTGTTGGGGACTGTTTTCTGCCCTAGTTACTGTGGGAGCCCCAGAAGTAGCACCTGATAAAGCCTTGACTTCAAAAAACTTTTATTCTCCTTGGAGAAGATATTTTGGAAAAAGAGACTGAGGATAATTTGTCTAAAGACAGATAAAATTAGATCTAAAAATAATAGCTGTAGCCCGTGGTCTGACGACGGTCTGAGATTACCGCGGGCCGGAGTTGCCGTGGAACCTTAACGGACGAGGAGGGCCTGGGAGGCGGAGAAAGAGGATTACTTTTCTCCCACTCATCTATCCGTCTAACAGATACACATGGCATCGACGTGCCGGGCACCACGCTAGGTGCGCTCGCAAAGAAAACAAAGTCCTGAAAGGACTGAGCACAGCGGAGCAGTCAGGGGCGCGTGTGGACGCGGAACCCGCCTGCCTCGGGTCAAGGCTCCGCGCCGCCTCCAAGAGCTGCCGGCAAGCTCCGCGGAAGGCAGAAGCGTTGTCACCCACCCGCTCACCCCGACCCCCGGCGAGACGGTGGAGAGGGAGCCAAGCGGCCCCCGAGAGCGCTCGAGAAGCATGCCCGAAAGCGGCGGCCTGCCGGGGGAGAGGATCCTGCCATCTAGGAGCGCCCGAGTGGGCGGCGGCCGGCGCGGCCCGGGCCCCGGCCTGGACGCAGAGCCTTCGTCCCCGAGCCGGTCTCCTCCGGGCCCGAGGAGGACACGGCCCCCGCCCTCGGCACCCACCCCAGCCATCCCGCGGCGCGCGGTACCTGCGCCCCGAGCCCGGCGGGTTCCGGCCGGCAGCGACGCGAAGGCACGTGGGGAAGCCGACTCTTCTGGCAGAGGCGGCGCGGGGCTGCCCGGCGCGTGCCCGACGGCGCGTCCCAGGCCCTGGCAGGGCGCATGCGCGAGCGAGCAGGCGGCGCGGCGACGGCGAGCGCGGGGGCCTTTCTCCGCTGTGTCTCCGCCTGACGACGTCAGAGGCCCGGGGGGCGGGGCTGCAGCAGGGCGGCCGCGGGCCTGGGCGCAGCTTACGTGTCTCCGCGTCGGAATTGAGATGCTCAGACTCCGCAGGGCAAACCGAGCGTCCCGGCGTTCGCTCCCCCGCGCCTGCCGCTGTGGGGGGGCAGCTCGGGGCCCGGGGGTCCGCGGCCGCCCAGCTCGGGCCGGGACCCGCGCGTCGTTTTACCGACCCTCTTAGTTAAGCCCCTTGCCGTTGGGACGCCAGGACGAGGATCGCACCGGCACCCCACGCCCGCAGTCAGGACCTGGTACCCGCCGCCGCGGCCCCCGTCAGCGCAGGTGCCCAGGCCTCTTCGAACAGCACCCGGGGCTCTGCTCCTTCCCCCGCCCGCCCCCACCGCACCCCCAGCTCCCAGGCGACCTCGCCCGAGCACCGGACTGCGCGAGCCACCCGCACGTCCTCTTACACTTTTGTCTCCGGGTCACATAGTTGAACTTCAGGCAAACAAATCCAGCTGCTTGCCTGACGTGTCTTCTCGGACACCTCAAATTCAGAACGTCTGCAGCCGAATTCATTCCCAATTTCCTTCCCTCCCTGAAACTCCTCACCACTCCCAAACGAAGACACCTCCAAGTCTAATGTAATTAGCACCACCGCCCATCTAGTCCAACATCCATTATCGTTTTTCCTTTTGTTTTTGCTCAGGAAGATTGGTCCTGAGCTAACATCTGTGGCAGTCTTCCTTTATTTTGCATGCGGGTCGCTGCCACTGCGTCTGCCCACGAGCGGTACAGGCCCAAACCTGGGACCGTGGCACCGAACTTAACTAGACCACAGCCGGCTCCCATCATCCAACTCTTTCGTATTTCACTGAAAAAACTGTCAATATGCCAGACACGAGGGATAAAGTGAGCAAAGCGTTGCTCTCTCTCGTGAAACACGTAATTTTAGGTAAGTTTTAAGAGCTACTAAGAAAAAAGCCAGTGAGTAAAAAGGGACTAAGGGTACTGCTTTAGAGGTGGACAGGGAAGGCCTCTGAGGCAGATACTGGAGCAAACACCTGATTTAGAAAGAATCAGCCTTAAGAATATGTGTGTGAAAAGCCTTCCCATGTTGAAGACGTCACACACCAAGACTCGGAAATGGGAAAAACCTTGGCAAAGCAGCCAGTGTGGCCAGAGTACAATTAGCAAAGAAAACGGAAGGAAATCACGTGAGGTAAGGAAGGGCACGTGGGCCGCAGATTTAGAATTTAACTCTGATGGGAAGCCAGGGGAGTGCGGGGAACAGGGAAGTGTCAAAACGCGATTTGCACTCTCCTCTTTCTGAAAGGCTCGTTCCAGCTGCTGTGAAAAAGATTATACCGTAGGAGAGCAAGCGGGGAGACGGATTCTAAGCTACTGCAGCCACCTGCTCCAAGCAGGCAGTGGTGGTCACAAGTGCCGGATGACCCAGGATGTATGTTCACGGTGTAACAGGTGGATTTGCCTACAGACCAGACAGTGTGAAAAGAAATCCAAGATGATATCCAAGGTATCTGCCCCGAGCAACAGGATGAATGTAGCCCAATCAAGAGGTCAATTGGGAATACTCATGACATTCAAAGCGATACTATCAGTTTGTGTCCAGGACTCTGGGGCCTGGAGATGTTTAAGAGGGACTAAAATGCTGACAGTCGCCAGTCATGAGAGTGGATGAGATCACCCAGGGAAGAATCTTAGCTAGAGATGAAGTCTGACAGGCCTGGAGAACTCCAGAAAGGATGCTGAGCAGTGGCCAGTGAGAGGACACACGCAGAATCCACTCATTCCCACCCTCCACTTTAGTTATGTTGTAACCATTTCTTACCCGGGCTACTCCAACAGCCATCTCTTCTTGCCCCATATATTTTGTTCTCAACACTGCACTGAGCGTTCTTTAAATGGCAATTTTATTAGGTGACCCACTGTCCTTTATAGGTGACCCGCTCACGCCCGCCCCTCATACACACAGCTTAAAAATCTTCAAGTTTCCAAGTGTTCTGAAGAGACAAAACGTAACATGGAATATAACCGTGAAGCCATCCACAGTGCCCCTTACCTGTTTCCTCAGCCTCTAACTCTGCTAAATCAGTGCTCTTTCCACGTGAGCCAGACAGGCACTGGAGACTGCACCTTTGGACATGCTCTTCCCTCCCCTTCTTTGCCTAGTTTACTACCCCGCATCCATTAAGTCTTGGTTCAATTATTCAACAAAGCAATTCCTGATCATTTTGACTAGGTCACACGCTATCAGTCATGGCCTTAGTATCTATCACCAACCACGTTGCTTCGTCATGGTTAACTGCTATACTTCAGTGTCACCATGTCTGTACCTGAGGAGACTGTTCAATGAAAGCAGGAATCACAAGTGATTTTGTCACTACTGAATGCTTAGTGCTTGGCATGATGCCTGGCAAAGGATGCCCCAATTTGCTGAATGAAGCCGTACTTCAGTGGCTCCCTAATGTTAACACAGTACTTAAAGAAAACTAGCACTTACAAATAAGAGACAACACTAAAAAAGGCCTTTGCCAGACCAGGTCGTCTTTCACTACCAATACTCAAAAAGCCAGTCTTCTGCATGGGACTGGGTTAGGCTTCATAACAGCTTAATATAACATAACAGTCAGATTATTAAAATCCTGACTAAGAGAATGCAGTAGTCTAGCCTTAGAAGACAATGCTAGCAGAGATTTCTTCAAGCTTTTTCCTCTCCACTCACAGGCAGCATCACTTCTTCACTTAGAGCTCTGCTGGGTGGCATATACAACTAACGCAGACTTCAGTCAAGGACAATAAGGAATCAGGTTTTAATATGATTTAATCTAATGTAATTTAAAACATCCACTAGTCTTTTCCAGTATTTCTGTAGACTTCAAAATGGGAAAAAGTATAGAGACGTGCCTTAATTTACTTTCATTTTCCCTCCCTGTCAACTCTTTAGAGAAGGGAAAGGATCAAGGGCAACACTGAGTCTTTTAAATATAACCGACCATCAATAAAATGTACAGGGCTTAGCAAGAACTCAACTGGGATGGGGATTCAGGAGCTTAAAGATGAAATAAAGGGTTTGAACTCAGTGCTTACCTGCATCCCATTGCCCCGTTAGATATATTATTGAAAATACAATGAACACCACCAATTTCCTAAGACACTTGAGGAGGCTGACTACAACTACCTTCGACATTTTATGAATTGGTTGTCAACAGAGCACCTCAGTTAATGAGCCTACGGAGAATAAACACACATTCCCATGTCTCCTCTAAGTGGAAAAGTCTCCCACATAACAGAGTTGCATATATAGGAGACAAAAGAACTGTAGAAGCTAACTGATTAAAAATACTTAAAGGATATTTGTTTTAATATCAAGATACAATGATCAGAAAAACTATTCCACATTCTTTAGGGATATTTGAATCTGGAAACACAACTTGCCCTAACCAAGGTAATCAATGATATCCTACCTTAAAGCTTTAAAATAGAAGTCTCATTATCCACGTGAGATGACTGATATTGTGCATTTACAAAAGTACTTTATATGTGGAGTCTTGCTATACCCAGAAGCTACAATGACACGTGTGACAATCATTTTCTTGCAACTGTGCTAAAATATACAACGTACCAAACAAAAAGCCTTCTGCAGGTAGAACAAGTATTCACATATTATACAAAACACTTCGTACCAAGACTCAGATCTTAATGAGACGTTTCAAAAAGTTCTCTGCCCCATAGTGAGGCACTCCTTTAAAAAATATAGTCTGAATTGAGGCATAAAAGCTTTACATTTAGATTACAATGGTAGACTGCCAAAAAAAATTGTAGTATTTCAAAAAAAACCAAACTATTCTTTTAAAAACACATCAAGATATAATCAAAGCACTAACACTTTTACACTCACTTCTGCACTGATGCATGGAAGTTGGAACCTAGAAAGCGTTTCTCCCCCTCCCCTCGCTGAACTGATTCATAGAGATCACTGTAGAAAGAACTTATTTACTTCAATTTTGATTTTAAATATCATGAAATTATTTTCTACACAGATAGCAAATTTAGTTTTATATATCGAACTGCAAGCATACATCCTCTAGGGATTACCCAGTAAAACACGAATCTTTTACCTATCCCCTAAAAACAGCTAACATATGGTTGTGGTACATCCCAGGCAGATCTCATTTAAAGCACACAAGGGGAGGTGCTAGAAAAGAATACTCATTTGCAAAGTAAACAGATAACCCTTCCAAAACGATGTACCACAACCACACATGAGAAAAGTCAAGAACTTCCTTTATTTTAAAAGAAACATTGAGGATCCCATCCCTCCCTTCCCCACCACCCTACAAAACTTTTGGATGTGGAATGTTCAACAGCCTATCCATTTTAGTAGGTTACAAAACCAGCAAAACTCCAGTTGTCTGACCATCAATGTTTGATAACAGTTTTGTTTTTTAAGTAGCTGAGCACCTACTGGAAAAGTTCCTTAGCTAAAGACAGAAAACAAAATTCAATTTCTGCACAGAATATACAATTAACTTACTAGCCTTTGCTTAATAGGTGGAATTAATTCTCCATGAATTCAAAGTGGGATACGACAAGCAGCATTAAGTTCGTAGGCACAGAGAACTAGTGCTCAAACTGCTAGCACAAATTTCAACATAGTACATGAATTCCTCAACTCTCCATCTGCATCCAACCTGTGGCTCTCCCTGCGCATCTGAGGGAAGGAATCACCACTTTGAATACAAATGCCTCCAGGATAGAGGGAGAATTCAATTAGAGTTAGACAAAAGGTAAGTGCAAGTACTAGAGAAATTGCTGCTGGAGATAACCATAAATGGGTAACACTAACAAGGCAGGGGGTGAACCACAGAAGCTGCTAGCTGTTGAACACCAGTGTTTCAAGATACAACTTTTATAAACACGTTTTATTTGCTTTGCTTATACCATCAGAACTGAAACTACTGACTGTCATTTCCCTAAAATAGGGAAATCAATCTAAAAACACATACTGGTGCTTTTCAAAAGATAGCAATTTAAAAGGGTGGTAGCAGCAGGCATTTGATATCTTTTCCTTTTAAAAACCTTCAGGCTGCAGGAAAAACATGTGACGAAGAGTGTTAGGTTTATCCATGAGAGATTTTCATCAGTACCTGTACCAATTTAGGTGACAATACAGCAAGATCCAAGGATTAGCAACAGACAATGTATGTCATAAGGAATGATATATACTACCAATCCTTACAAAAGTCATTGTCGAAGAAACTGTTAAGTGTTCAAAAAGGTATCTAAATACTTCACATTAAGTACAGAAGTGGCCATCCAGATTACATCCCAAATTTGTTGCATATTTTTCGAAAAGTGCCAATGAAAGCCTAATTTTGCATTTTAGCTTTGTCTTTTACAGTATCAGCTGTTAAAAAGCAATTTACACGTGTTTTTAACCACAGTCGTTTGGCCAGAGGATGAATAGTGCTGTGTCAAAGCTGGTAGCCATGTATGTGTGATTAAGGGCCCATGCATAATTTGGTATGCATTTAACATTCAGTGCTCCAATTTAATAGGAAAAGCTGTGAAATGCAGTTGTTCTGCCAAACCACACTCCAGTCCTTCCATCTTCCTTTCAAGGGAAATATTTTAGTTTTGTGAATGACCATGAAACTCTAGGGCTGATTTGTAGATTTTATCCAATGTCAAAAGTCAATCTTGCTTTTTCCAAGCCACTTCAAATAACTATGGAGATATTATCACCCCATAAAGTATATTATGTTTTACTCCTAAGCAAGGGAAAGGAATCTGAGTATCATGTGCAAGGCTCAAGATGACGCTTAGGACAGAACATGCAGAGTAAAAATAGTTTCCTTCCATATCCAGGTAATATAAAGCTGACAACTGTAGTCCTGTCTTTATGGGATGAAAACAGTCCCTTTACAATAAGTTTCCTGAAAGGGAGAACAAATAGATAATAACTCTTCTGGTAACATATTATGGTACACTGGCCAGTGTGTTTTGGCGATTAAAGATAATCCTGTGAATCAGATTAATTCACTTGCTGAGTGTTCATTTGCGGCATCCCTCTGTTGGGTCTTGGGGGCCCTCCACGACCTAGAAGACAAAAATGGCATTTGGTTTTTCTTTCAAATATTATTTGTTTTGCCTTCAAGCAGATTTTCATCTGAAGTCAAGAAGCATGTGGACAGCTTGCCACCACATTATTAGGTTTAAGAGGTCAATTCTTCAGTGTTCAAGTTTCACCTGTCCTGGAAGTTGTCATGCGCAAATTTGCTCATGTTCTCTAGCTAAAAGAAGAGTAGAGCTAATGGAGTATTCCACCAGTACTCATTCATTCATTCATTCAACAAGTATTTATTGAGTGCCTACTCTGTGCCAGGCACTGTCAGCAGGCGTCGTAAATAGATACAGCAGTGAAGACAGACAAGGTACCTGCTCTCATGGAGCTTACATTCTAGTGTACACTCTAGCTTACATTTCAAGAGTAAGTAACATCAAACTATCAAAATTAATAAAAGCACCAGAATGAAAAACAGACCTTATTACCTAAACTGTTAAAAACAAACTACATAACATTCAAAATTGTATAATGACTTATAACAGATAAAATAACTTTTTACATGCTGTTAAAACAGATTTTTAGCTACCAGTCAACTCAACTTTCATAGAATATGCTACAAGGTGAGAAAGAACATAACCCACATTCACATGCAAATACCCTTTGATACTTCAAGTCAGTAATTTCCAAGTGATCCACTAATTTAAAAAGAAACGCACCTTTGTGCTGGCCAGTTTCCACTAGCATTGAAATCAAAGTACTTTGTAATTCCTCCTTAATATACATTTTATACACGTTTTGGCCAATATCTAGAGGAAACCTACTTGATTTAACTTCCTTCTAATCAGAGAACCATTTAGAACTTCAGATCACATGAAATGCTACCTCTAATTGTTACTTAGGTTGACTTCCTGCCCAAATAGGAAGTAGTTTTCCTGAAGTAATAGACACAGAAAACCAAAAACTCTTAAGACCTGTAATCTTTAAGTACAGTTCAATAAGTTACTTACGAATTTAAATAATTTCATATTTATATCACTTGTTAGTGGCCCAAAGGGCATTGAAATTTCAATTAGTTCTATCACTTCTAAATGGTTCTCTAAATGTAACTATGGCTTATCTGGCCATTAAAGGGTTTCTGGCCCTAAAATATAATATGCATGTTTCAAAAATGAAAGAATAATAAATTTATATAAATGTTCAATCTCATTCCAAAAATGTCTTACAAAAATGTTTCAGTAAGTACTTCCTAAAAACATTTAGCAGGTTTTGGGACCTGAAAAATAATTTGCAGTTGGAAAAACACTTTTTCTGAGGAGGAGAAATAGTCTAGTTTTCAAGACAGTTTATACTGTAACAGGGAAAGTCATTCAAAAAATTAAATTTGGGTTCAAGATCAGTTTTAGAAACAGAGCATTTCATTTAATCCCTAGCAACAAGTCTGGAAATGATCGATGTGTTCCTAACGTGTACCCTACATGCAGACTACGAACAGCTCTTCCAAGGCCAGAACAGAAGCTCCACTTAGGAGCTAGGATCACCACCACAAAATATTACCTCGTGGGGCTCCCCGGGGTCCACTCTGCCCAGAGCCTCGCTTGAAATTCTGCTGATATCCATCCTAAAAGACAAGCTAGTTAGTACTGAAAAGAAGAAAAGGTAATTTTTTTTAATGCTTACCCAGCTACCTCTATCCTTACAGTTTAACTTGTGCAGAATACAGAATTCTTCCTTATTCTTTCAGACCTTTCAACATATCATAGCCGAAAGTCATTCTGTAATTGTTGTATTTCTATTATTCTCAAGAACACTGAATGAGACAGAGTTCTCTGCTCTTAAAAATCATAGTTTTTAAACAGACTATTAAATGAGTACCTATATTTAGTGCTAAGAAAAGCAAGTCATCATTTTCCAAAATAAAGTACCTTGTGCAAACGTATAAAATTAGCCCCAAATTAGTTGGTTAAGTCCATCAAGCAACTACACCAGTCCCTCTCAATGGTGCAGTGAGGTCAGGTTTGGATTTTACAGTAACTGTACCTACCCGCTGATAGCCAGAGTAGTCCCGGGGAGCACTGAACTGAGACTGTGTGTAACCGCTGTTTGGAGTGTTAGAGAACGAAGGGCGGTAACCATCATATCCTCCTAAAATTTAGGACAAGAAAATAAATCATTTTCTTATCTTCACAAGGAATTTTTCCTTTCTTACTAACGACCAAGGGAACAACTGAAAAACTGTTAGCCATGCTGGTTATTCAATCTTTTTTTCAAAGATTGGCACCTGAGCTAACATCTGTTGCCAATCTTTTTTTTTCTTCTTCTCCCCAAAGCCCCCCAATACACAGCTGTATATTCAAGTTGTAGTTCCCTCTGGTTGTGGCACGTGGAATGCCACCTCAGCGTGGCCTGATGAGCGGTGGCACATCCGCGCCCAGGATCCAAACCAGTGAAACCCCCTGGGCCGCCAAAGCAGAGTGCGCCAACTTAACCACTCAGCCACACAGGTGGCCCCTAGTCAAACTAATTTCTAATATCCTACCCTGATCCAATCTGTTTATAAATTTCTTAAGTATTAACTGCCCTGAATCAGGAAATTTTCACCCATTCATGCATTACACACACACACACACAAATCCCCATAAGGTCTGATAATATATACAGGGCAATTATCCACCAGAGGACAGTGGTAGACGTGGACTTGATACAAAAAAACTCATTCCCAATTTTTTCAATTTAAATCACTTTATCAAAATATACTAAAAATGTTTAAATTGTACATAAGAGGCTAATACAGAGAGAGACATGTCCTTCCCAAAAACCATATGACATATTCCTATATAGTTTACAAATCAGAAAAGAAAATGAACTTGCTTTTTTTTTTTTTTTTTTTTTTACCTCTGAATCCATTGGCAGGGCCCCTGTATCCATTCATCAAGCCTCTAGCACCACGGGAGCCTCCACGAGACACACCACGACTGTTGTAATAGGGCTGACTGCTACGTGGAAACCCAGTGTTCTGCTGGGGAGGCTGCTGGTGGTTACCGGTCACTTGATGGGGCTGGTCTTGGGAAGCATGGTAAGTACCAACCACTGTAACAAAAAAACATATACATACACATACATATGTATACACACGTATACACAGCTCATCACAATCTGTTCTCCCACATGCTTCTGGTTTGAGAAGGGTCTTACACAGTCTCCTCAAAGTTTAATTCTATGTTTAAATAAATTTTCATATGAACAATAGGGAAAACCACACATTAATCAAGTCCCTTTCTCCTACCACATATTAAGCTAAGGGGAATAAAACTCTCCAACAACAATTCCAAACCTTAGAAAGGCTATACTATTAAACATCTTCTGAGAGGCATCTGCCTATGGAGACCCACGACAATTCAAACGATCGTACATACTGAAACAGTGCAACTACCATTTTGTACCATTTAATCATTTCTTTTCACTGTAAAGCTCCTTAGTGGTAGAAGCTTTCTTACTCTTCTAAATTTCCCTCGATACTTACTGAAACACACAAAACCATGCTCTCCCACAGCTAAGCAGCTATGTGGTGGAACAGTCAGTCAATCACAAAGATAAATCTGCAGAGCCTTCAACTTACACCCCGCCGGCCCCTTACTGCCTAATTCCATTTCAAGTACTCTTAAGTACAGCCAATTTAGAAGACAGTTAATGGCACTCACATTGGCACTCGACCCACGGAAGCGAAGGGAAGGTTCTAAAAGGCCCACACTACCTTGCACCCCTCTCGTTCCACAATGGGGAGAAGTCTAGAAATCTAGAAACCTTCAAAAATTAAGGACTGAGGTACATTTCTGGCATTTCCCCAATTCACAGGGCAGGAAAAAGGAGGTGCTAACAGTACCTTTCGGAGGTAAGGAAGGTTTGACTAAAGGCAGGCCCACACTCCAGGAACAAAGAGTCAGCAGCCTCTAGCCAGCCAAATCTCCCATGTTTGGGCAGAGAGAAAAGGTGGTGTGACTTCTGAAAATCTTTACCTGACCTATTTTATATCCTCAAGAAACCCCAAACATGGACGAGCTCTCAGAAGGCTATTTTGCAATGAAAAAGCTGGAGAACGCCTAGGAGAGAAGGGGTCAGGGCTCCTTTCTGAACTGTCAATGGACCAAATACACTACTCACCATGTGATCCTTCTACAGAGATTACCTTTTACTACATTCCCAAAATTTAAAATTACAAGAAAATATCGTAAGTACAATTAAAATTTTCTAGCTAGAAAGATTCATTCATATGCATGTAGAAAATAGTCAAAAGAACTGAATTTTCAACTCACTTTTTATCAATAAGAATTTTATTAATCTTGATCAAATCTCACTGTAAGAAACTCAAACCAGAACAAAGCATAATCTTTATTTAAAAATACCAGAATTCCTATTTAAGTGTTTGTAAAGCATAAACTCTGGTCCATAAAAAATAGCAAAGATCCTTGCCAGACCCTTTTTCATGTTGTTCTTAACTAGACACTAATTCAAATTCAAGCAAAGTTTCTGGAATGATGGGGCATGCTGATTTGTTCAACAAGTATCAGAGTGCCCTCAACATGCCAGGCACAGTCCTGGACATACGGGATGTATCGGTTATCAACATGTAATCCTTGCCCATATGGCAGTTTTAATAATGAGAGATAACAAGTGAATAAGATATACATACAAGTGAAAACACCATATCCTGTTGGGTAATAAGTGCCAAGGACAAAACCAAAGTAGGATAAACGAGTGACCGGAGTGAGTGTGCTCTATTTGGACAGCGTGATGAAGGGAGGTCTCAGAGGTGGTACATGAGCATAGACCCAACAGAAGTCAAGAAGCAAACCATGCAAACATCAGTGGAAGGAAGTTTTGGGCAAAAAGGAAAGAAAGCGTAGAAGTCCCCAGAGAGGAGAGAACTTGCTGTGTTTGTGGCTGATATGGGGGACATAAGGAAGAAAATTATACAACAGGATCAAGGCAGGGGCCAGCTCATATAGGATCTTGTAAACCAAGGTAAGCACTTTCGATTTCTTTTCTAAATATAATGGGAAGTCACTGGAAGGTTATGAACAGCAAAGAGACATCCATTTACATTTTAAAACAATCACTCTGGCTACTGTCTGGGGTAAAGCAAGAGTCAAAGGAGGCAAGTTAGGAGACAAGTGCGACAGTCCACATAAGAGCTGCTGGCCGCCTGGGTTGGCGTGGTAGTGTGGCGGTGTTTAAATAAGCGTATGGGCTGCTTTTATTTTTTTATTCAAAATATCTGTAAATATTGTGAAATTTTTATAAATAATGTATATTTTAAATGGTAAAGAAAGATAACCTTTTGTTATCTAGCTCAAATGTTTCACAGTCAGTCAATAAAGCTGAGTAGAAGCAAGACAGTTGAAAATCAACTGGCACAAAGAGAAAATTAACCAAGTCAAATGATACACAGTGATTACTTTTAATTTTATCATACCACCTGAAAAAACCAGCAAAATAGCAAGCATGTCAGGACAATGTCTAAAGGCCCCAAATATACCTGCTCCACAACAAACTCCTGAGGACATGGCAATGAAAGAATGAAAGGAGCCTAAGAGCCAGAAGCCCAGTTTTACGTTTCAGAAGCTGAGCACAGATAACATAATGGACAAATTTCTATCAGATTATGGTTGATTCAACCTCCCTACTGATTAGTGATGCTGAATACTGCAAGGATACGTAAGAATTTAGTACTGAAAAATCTATAGTGTTGATCCAGGTCTATCAAGAAATCAGACAATTTAAAAAATTCAGTTATTTAAATTAATCTGGTAAAATTAAAAGTACTACTCCTATGATTTCAGCAAGATTTGCTAGTTTGTTGTGGGATTCCAATTAAACACCTAGGAATTAAATAACCAAAGACCTAAAAAAGATATTTCATGTCTTACAAATATAAGAAATCTAAAATATCTCTATCTACATTATTATTGTGACAAGTATGGTAACTGGCCAAATTATGACCTTACTTGCCAACAAGAATTTTGTTTCAACCTAAGTCCACCAAATGCAGCCACAACAAATCCTACTGCTTCTTAACTCTGCACAACTGACTTGCTATCAGGTATCAAGCCAGCAGGCTTCAATCAAATGGCAATTAAAAGCAAAGCTAATCCTAAGTCCAGTAACAAGTTTATTTCCACTAAAATCATATAACGAAACAGGATATGATGAAAGCTCACTGACTAAAGGAAAATGGGTATAAGGCTTCCAAAAACTGCACATAATTCATAAACGGGAAATAGGGACTCAACTCAGGATCAGCAAGGAGAAATTCCTAAGGTCTATTGCTACAAGCAGACATCCTTGGATGCTGCCACTCTGCAGCCAGAACTGTCCTACATGGCGTCAGCAGCTGCACTGGAAAGCAAAGGGCCAAGGAGGGCACCGGTCTTCCTACCCGTCTGAAGCTGCTCTTGCGGAAGCTCTGTCTGCTCTACTTGGTGAGGCGGACTGGAAAAGCTCTGGTTATAGCTGGCCTGGTACTGATTTTGCTGTTTTAAAGTTTCTGGTTCATTAACAGGAGGAACCGGGGCATTCATGTTGAACACCTGTAAGTAAATAAAGCAAATGACGCGTTCATCCCTTTATGCTAGTGATTTCCCTAGTTTTAACATGGCAGCTCTCCATGCTGGTTTTACTGCAAACGTAAATAAAAGAGCATTAGAGAAGTCTCGAACATCACACGCATACAAAAAAACCTCTCAATTAATGCACTTCAATGTGGAAAAAAATATCTATCTACTACGTAGCACTTAAAGCCGAGTGGGGATCAAAAACCTGAAAAGACAGACAATCAGCAGCCTTACATGCTATTATAAACGGAATATTTTTAAAAGACGCAAACCCCTGATACAACAATCACTTACAGAAATTAATTCTATGAACTTCAAGTTGAATGTTTAAATCATTTATTTTTATTGGTATTTTAATCAAGTTAATATTTCAAGTATTTAACTCTGAACTTTCCTGTGAGCGCTGATTTAGCTGTATCCCATCACAGGATTTTCATTACCATCATTTTCTAGAAATTCTGCAATTGAGAGATGCTTACTGAAGAACCAGAGTGAAGTACCATAACATCTGAAATTTACTTTGAGACACTTCAGTAAAACAAAAGATGAAGCAAATACGGCAAGATGTAAACAACTATTAAATCTGGGTAATGATTTTTATACATGGATGTCATATTAGTCTACTCTTCTGCATGTCTAAAATTTTGTCAATCAAATCAAAAGGATAAAGTACAAAACAAGGAAATTGTGGGCACATTAACTCCTAAGACTCAAATTTATCTCCAGGAGCAGGAAAAATCAGAGTTTCTGTTCAGTTAAATACACGCTACAGTAAGGGCAGATGCAGACTCAAGCACAAAGCTACACGAAGCCTTCCTGCTGAGACCCGAGGATGACAACAGTGTGCACTTGGCACTTAACGTTAGCTCAATTAATGTGCTTACCGTTTGCATGGACTGGAATGGCGCTGCATTTACATTGATCCCACTGCTGTGTAAAGGTTTGCTTGTCCCAGCCTGGAACACCGGAGGCTGAGAAGCAGCAGGAAGGGATGATGATGCTGTAGTCTGGTCTGTATTTAAAGAGATTGTTGCCTAAACACAAAGTGAATAGGTGTAATTTAGCGGTAAACTAAACTTTGCCAAGTCTACTACCCTTATGTATAGTAACAAACTCAACTACGTCATGAAATAAAGACACTGTAGTGCACGCATTAGGTCCAACAAGAAGAGTCACTGTATTAGCAGAAATTGACCTCTGCCAAATTCATGAAGACACGCCTCACCGAGTTTATACGACCTGGTAACAGAACTTGCCTGGATCTGGTCAGTCGGTTCCTTTTGCGGTCGTTGCTCTGTAGCATGAGAAGGCTGGTACAAGGGCTGAGATGCTGTATACCCCTCACTTGTGGATGAAACCAAAGGAACCTACGCAAAAGTAAAGACATCAAAGCTTTCTGTTATCACCAAACTCGAACACAGACAGGGCTACGAAACAGACATTCTTGTTAAAGACCATAAAACCTAACAACTGTAAAAATACAGAGATTGTTAAAGCTCAAAGTTAAATGAACCATAGTCCAGTTATGAAATTTCCCACAAACGCTTTCAAGATAGCAATATCTGCACTAAGTTTTACAATTACAACATCTAAACTGCCTTCTCAAACTCTAATCAGTTCAAATAAAAAAGCTTCTTCCTTGGGGCTGGCCCTGTGGCGGAGTGGTTAAGTTCGCGCACTCTGCAGCAGGCGGCGCAGTGTTTCGTTAGTTCGAAACCTGGGCGAGGACATGGCACTGCTCATCAGACCACGCTGAGGCAGCGTCCCACATGCCACAACTAGAAGAACCCACAACAAAGAATACACAATTATGTACGGGGGGCTTTGGGGAGAAAAAGGAAAAAATAAAATCTTAAAAAAAAAAAAAAAAGCTTCTTCCTTCACTATAATAAACTACCATAAAAACAAGAATTACCAAAAAAAATTTTTTTAAGTCATCAAAAGCACAATAAATGTAAACATAGAAATAAAGGCTGACAGCTACCCATACCAGACTTGGACACAGAGCAAATTCATACCTGACTTTCACAAGCTAAGAAAAAGACCCATGAACTGATTAAAAAAAGCCTGAAAAAACACTTTTTGTCACTCTTACCTGTGTAGCTTCTGGTTGTACAGGAACTTGATTAGGTTGAGCAAGTCTAGATTCAGCATGAACTGCAAAATTGACAAAAAATTAGTCATCCAAAATCAAATTTCTTCAGAGATGTCTAAATACCTTTTACTTGGCTGCTAAAGGCGAATTTCTATAGCCAAATCCTCAATCAACTTTTTAGTGATCAGGAAAATAAATTGGGAAGTATAGGTAGGATTTCAGCTTTCAGGTGAGCCTTTTGGTTTACTGGTAGTCATTAGTCGTCAACTCTCACAATGGTTTCATTCTGTTTTTTGCAAAGGTAAAGTAAGATGTCAGTGAGAAAGTACTAACAAAGAGGTGCGGCAAGCAGAACAGGTAAGAACAATGCTAGTGTCATCCATGAAAAAGAGCCTTTTAAAGCAGTAACTGTACAGTAGCAATACTCTTACTCAAGACCTTAGATAGATAATATTCAGTAATATTTTAACATCATCAACTTTCTATATAACTTCCAATGTTTCCACAGGAAAAAATACATAAAAATACCTTTAAACAGGCTATATTCGATTTGGTTATTGCCAACGCCCACCATCCTTCCACTCCCCTCCCCAACCATGGTTAAACAGATATCAAAAATGCAGGATCTTTGGTTAGTCATTTAGAAATCACCCATGTTCACTAGAGAATCTGATGGACTCAGCATTACCTGAGTATCTAAACGCTCTACAAGTTACATCAGTGCTTTCCGTGTTAACTTTGGCACAACTTACCAGCTAAGAAAATTGAATTCTCTTCCTCTGGTAGAACTTAGAAAATGAACACTAACAACTTTGATTCCTTTCTAAAAGGCCTAACACTAACCTATTTTCTAACTCTTGGTAGAGACGTGACAGAGATCTGAGCTCCTTTTACTTTGGAGAAATCCTAACTAACTTACCAAATTAATGGTGTCATTAAACATGCTTTTACTCAGCAACTCCTTTTATGACATTTAAGATTATAAACCATTAAATATGTCACTTTATATAGTTCCAATTCTGTGCCCTTAACACTAACATGTTCTGGGGAACAAAACAGACTCAAAATTACTAACGGTCCTGGAGAGATGGCCCACTCACCCCAATACAAGGCGCCAACTCTGTTTAGTGCTTCTATTTCATATAATGGTTGTAAGACTAGTAAAAGTTTGAAACTTCAACTGTCTTCTCGTATCTCTCTTCCTCTTTCCTCTTAAACACTCCCTTACCCACTTCGCTGTTGCATCTCATTTCTACTTAAGTAATAAGATGTTCAGAAATTCTCCTAGAAAGCTGTAGGCATCCTTCAGAGAAAGATATCTCTATTATTTTTACTCCTAGATTAATTCTGAAATTTAAAAAGCTAAGTAAAATTTCATTTACATAAATTACAGAAGCAGGCAAAACTGGTCTATAGTTTTCCAAGTCAGAAGTGGTTACCATGGGGCTGGGGAGAGGGTAACTAGACAGAAGGGAGCGCAAGCAGGCTTCTGGGGTAGCAGTAGCATTCCACAGCTGGGTGCTGGCGTGCTCAGTTTGTGAAAACTCATCACACTGCACATTTGCATGTACCTCTGTATGTTTACATGCCAAGAAAAGTTACCCCAAAAAAAGGAAACAGCTAGGGAACTACAGTTATTGTTCACATTCTAGGAAAAAACAATGTTTCTTATCAAATGAGAAGATACAAGATCCAAAAGTTAAGCAAGCATTAAAAGGGAAAACAAATTTCACAAACTATACAAAACCTGAAAGCGGTGGCCTTATAGTTTATTTCTCACATAAAAATGTACCACTACTAACCTGGAGGGCAAACCAGCTGGGGCATGTCCATATTCTGTGCTGGATTCATAGGCTGTGCAGATACAATGGCAGGATCAAGTGTCTGGTTTTCAAAATCCAGCATTGAATCCTACAAGTTAAGAGGGTATAATGGGATTAAGTTAAATAATGTAAATACTTAAACCGTCTGTTATACTGTTTGACTAAACTGCACCTACCTGTATGAAATTATAGGGCCCCTGCATTTGCGCCATAAGGTCCTGTACTCGCTGTCTTCTCACAAGGGGATCTGCCTGAGCCACTGGAGTCAAAGAGTGGGGCTCCGGTACTGAAGGAGATGCAGCCTGAGGTTGCTGCTGGAGTGAATTTACCACCTAAAGTGGAACGAGGGGAAGGGAGCAGAATGAAAGAGCTCCATTCATTACCATCAGGATGGGTCCCCCAACTACATATGCCATCTATACTGTAAACAGAATAGTAGACTTCAATAAAGCTACTCAAACTGAACACAATTATGCCAAATGTAACATTCTGACAATGCTACCACTTCCTCAGTGTTCTCAATTCCACAGGATCACTATATAGCATTTAAAACTTACTTTATAAACTACTTTCAGAAAAACTACCTGTTTACTTCCTAAAATAATGTGTTTTGCTTTAACTGCTAAGCCTTCTATATCAAGTAAATCCATCTATCTATATCAAACATCTATCTATCTCAGTACCTGATACATAGTCAGCAGTCAAGAAATGTTGGCTATTTCATGATCATCAAGCCTTAAGTTCTCACCATTCCGGTCTCTCTGTCAGGACCACAGGCAAAGACCAAGCTCTGTCACCTCATCTCAACTGCTACAAGAGCCAAAGCTCACCCTACCTGTCTTTTTCGTAGCTCTAGTAATTTCTCCTGATTATTGTTTGTAATAATTCCCTGCTCTGCTGGGAAATCTCACTAATTTCTATTACATCATATACATACATATATTCTTATCTGACTTTTAAGCCTGGGCAAGGCACAACCTTATCTCCTTTATTAGCAATACTGAGATCACACAGCCTGGTAACCCAGCAGCACTAGGGTGAAGGAAGAGTCTAAGAGGACACTCAAACACATCCCCCGTAAGGTAAGGCGGGCCTTTCTGAAGGCTATCCACGTGGGAGCCCAGATGTTTATAGAGCATCCTGATCATAACAGACAAATCATGTCTTGAACAACAGCCCTAAGTTGTTACACACAGATATTTGTATAACTTTTTGTAACTGGATCAGCCAAGAAGTCAGTCTATTAAACATCCACAGGGATAAACAAATCACCTTTTAAACCTAACAGTCTTGTGTAACCAATTTATTATTACAATAAATGTACTCACAATGCAAAAGACTAACAATCTTAATTTGTTCTCAGGAGAGAGAAAAATTACAATCAAAGACGAAAGCCGTCAACCCTGCTGACAGTGCTCTTACCTCGACCGTCTCGACTGTCCACTCATCCACCTGCTCCTTCTCACCACTGAACTGCGCTTCTGCCATAAACTGTCTATTTACATACTGCAAGACAAAGCGAACGTCTGAGACGGCTGTTTGAAAGGCAGAAAGGGAAAGCTAGCATTAAATAAAAATCATACCTCTGTTGATTCAACTTCACTTTGTTCAGTGTATTCTTCTGCTGGCTCAGGTTCTAAGAGGTTAAAAAATGATACAAAAGAGCATAAGAAATTATTTTTAACGATTCATTTAAACTCCAAGTAAGTGAACAGTTCACCATTATATAGTCTGAATTTATTTACAAAGTTATAATTAACAATAAGTTTCTATATTTTATCATTCTTACAATAATATATTGAGAAACTGTCTTTTTTACCATTAATTCCAGAATAAACTATTTTAGTTTCAATAGGAGTTATTCTGGATCTGCCATCATGCCAATAAAGAGCTATTAAATTAAAACGTCTATTTTCAGAAGCAATATTATAAAGCAGCATACATATTAAAATCTTACTCTCCATTTTAACCTACTCAGTACAAGTGGTAAGAGGGGAAAAAAAGACTGCATTATGTTGATCTGCAACCATGAATTCCACCTGTGCAATCTTCCCCTCTAGTTTCAGCCTAGGAGCTAACACCTATGTAAAGTGCTCATTACCATGTGCCTGCCGGGCACTGTGTACACTTCACACACCACTTTCTAAATGGAGGAGCTGAGGTACAGAGAAGTGCAGTAACTCACCTAAAGTTACATAGCTAGTAAGTGTTGAGCCAAGATTTTAATCCAGGTAATCTGATTCTAGAATCCATGCTTTTTACCTGTTTCTAAATTTATGCTCTAACAATGCTTCCAATTGTACTCGGAATTTTATTCATCAACTGATCATAAAAGTACTCAAAGTGCGTGCTTACCTACATACTAGTGTTTTGCTAGGTGTTAAAGTTAATTAGTAAAGATCCCTTGCCATTGAGGAATTTATGGTTCAAGATTATGGAGTTAGAACCTCCCCATCATAATAAAAAACCTCATACTATTCACCTCATATACTAGTAGGGTAAATAGCAATAAATCTGGGCATGTTAGCCAAAAATCTATTTGAAAAGCCTTACAACATGTGCCCCTCATCCACACTCCAGTTCAACAAAACTGCAGCAAGAGAAACAGCAGTTTGTTCCAGTGATCAAGACCAGTAAGGCTAATATAAATGACTGATGTTTAACCCTCGGGAATTACTCTTCATGTGCTTTGTCTTCATACTTTGTCATGCTTAAAGGTTCTTTAAAAATCTCAGCGTACACATATAACTAATTAAACGTACAGCTTGAACCTGTGGCAAACGAAAGGAAAACCAGGAGCTACACTAAAAGCTCCTCTCCACTGGAGTACTCACCAGCTTCAGCTCCCTGGTCTTCAGCTGTTGGAGCTGAGGTAGCCTCTTCCTCCTCACAGAGCCCATTCTGGTGGTTGTGGGTGCTGTCAAAGTAGTTGGACTGGAAAACACGCTCAACAATTTCCCTCAGAGCTTTATCTAAGAACAGGTATGAATTATGCTGTTAGACCATCTGAGGATGCCCAAGTGGAGTAAGACTCAACATTCTATAAAATACTCTGCTAAGGAAAAACCTCACCAACTGTTACTAAAACACATATAAAGCATTCAATTCCACCAAGAACAGAAATTTATTACAGAACGACACAGAAGAAGAACCACCTATAGGTACTAAACTTTATGCATGGGCTGCCCCGTGGCCGAGTGGTCAAGTCTGTGCACTCCGCTTCGGTGGCCCAGGGTTTCGCCAGTTGGGATTCCGGGCACAGACCTGGTGCCGCTTATCAGGCTGTGCTGAGGTGGCATCCCACACAGCACAACCAGAAGGACCTACAACTAGAAGATACAACTATGTACTGGCGGGCTATGGGGAGAAGAAGAAGGGAAAAAAAGATGAGCTACAAAGGTTAGCTCAGAGCCAACCTTAAAAAAAAAAAAAAACTTTATGTATTTTAAGACAGTTCAAAAAAATTTGGGGCTGGCCCCATGGTGCAGTGGTTAAGTTCGCACACTGCTTCAGTGGCCCAGGGTTTGCCGGTTCAGACGCTGGGCATGGACCTACACATAGCTCACTGTGCTATGGTGGCGTCCCACACTGTAGAACTAGAATGACTTACAACTAGGATATGCAACTATGTGCTGGGGCTTTGGGAAGGGAAAAAAAAAAAGAGGAAGATTGGAAACAGAAGATGGCTAAGGGCCAATCGTCCTCACCAAAAAGAAAGACAGAAAAAAACCTGACAACTATTAATTCATTCACTAAGTATTTATTTATCACCTAACTATATGTTAGGCAATGTTACTAGACACTAGGGCTGCAAAAAGGTATGTAAAAGACTATCTTCCTTCCCTAAGCGTACAGTCCATAAGAGTAATCAAAAACTCACAAAAACAGTAGAATTACATCTGTGAAAAGCACTACACAGAGGTGCAATGAATTGGACCTAGTCAGGAAGAGACCACAAGAGGCTTTCCTGGTGCCAAACACAAGAAAATGAAAGTACGCACTGTGGCTGAGCATAGAGAATAAGAAAAAGCATAAGGAAAGATGAGGCTGGAGAGACTGCTAAGCACCAGACTATGCAAGGTTCTGAAATTAAGGACGAATGTATATAAAACATAATTAAAATGAAGCCATTACAAGATTTTAGAGAGATGGAGGTAGATTCCGTTAAGAGACTGCAGGAGACAAGACAAAGGCAGAAGAGTGGAAAATAAAGGGAAGTAGACAAAAATCAAACAACACTTAAAAGACAAATTAAACTGTCAAAATTTGGTGCACTAGGACATAAGGGGGGGTAGGATGAGGGCAAAGGTGTGTGTCAGGAATTAATCTCCATTTCCCGGCCTTGTAAAGTAGATGCAGAGTAAGGCCATTCCCTGTCACTGCACAGAAAAGTAAAACTTCAGGGATCACATTATATCCAAGTATCGTAAAAACCATTCTATTAACCACCACCTTTTGAATGCCGAACAGGTCATGAGTTTTCCTTCCCATGCTTCAAAGGCTCATGACTCGGAACTACTTGCTCTCAAAAACTTACGCCTGAGAACTGCACGCAAGTAGGAGCGCCAGTGTGAGTGCACCAGCCCCTCTCCATCAGCTACAGTAGACTGCTAAGGTGCGGGAACAAGACTAGGGAGAAACCACCCCCAAACAAGCAGGAGCGCAGAGGGCCAACCTTGTTACTCTCCCAGAACGCTCAGGAAATCTCATCAGGCTCGACCTAAAACTACTGTTTTAAGCTAACAAGTTCATACATACACCAACTACTTTCCAAATGTCTAGTGGTGAATTCAGTACGTATTTGTAGCAGAACTAAAATCAAGTCAAAAGGATTTTGTTTTTTACAAGGAAGTACAGGCAATACTACAAGTTAAACCAAGAAAATGAGTTCTTACATGAAAAGATACCAAAGGACTGGTTCCTCATATTTGATTTACCCATTTCCCTTAAAGCAAAGACACTCCAAATTGCATCATACAGTTTTGCCAATTACAGCTTATAACCCAATTTAATTTCTTTTCAACCAAATAGGTAAAAACAACATATAAATACAGATATTTTTACCGTAATATGTTCAAAAATCTACTTCAATAAATCAACTTTATAAGCAGCAAACAAGAAACTATTCCCTAATTTATTAAGGGGTTAAGACCCAAAATTCCTAATTTACTGAGGTGGTCAAACTTCCATGTCCTTTTTTTTTTCTTTTAAATCAACATACAGTTGTATATTTGAAGTTAAGGAGCTCATGTACAGAAAACTGGAGTAGCTATCAGATTTTAAAAATATACACACACAAAAATCAATGACCCCAAATTAACAGAAGTCTGAGAAAAACCTAAAGAAAGACTAAGGCAACAGCCGTGAGTAAAATGGATAAGGTGCAGTAAATGTTTCTCACTAAAGTTCAGCCATAAGGAAAAACCAGTCCCTATCTAGTACAGAAACTCTGGAAATTCAATTTGGTATTAAGCTGTCTACCTCAAGCAGACTAAGTTATAAACAGCCATGTTAAGTTAGGACTCCTGCCTTTACAGATTTTTGGTCGTTTGTTGCCGGTGTTTTGACTTACACATACACTCACACACACACAATGCAAAAAAAAGACAAGACACGGGCCCGGCCCGGTGGTGCAGCACTTAAGTTCACACACTCCACTTTGGCGGCCCGGGGTTTGCTGGTTCTGATCCTGGTGTGGACATGGCACCGCCTATCAAGCCATGCTGTGGTAGGCGTCCCACATACAAAGTAGAGGAAGATGGGCACGGATGTCAGCTCAGGGCCAGTCTTCCTCAGAAAAAAAGAGGAGGATTGGTGGCGGATGTTAGCTCAGGGCTAATCTTCCTCAAAATAAATAAATAAATAAATAAATAAATAAGGGGGAAAAAGACACAAAAGGAAATAAACCAAAAGGTAAACAGTGGATGTCATTTATACAGTTCTAAAATTTCTTCAATCAACGTTACTTTTTTTTAACTGAGAAAGCTTAGCCCTGAGCTAACATCTGTATCACTCCTCCTCTACTTTATACGTGGATCACCACCACAGCATGGCTCACGAGTGGTGCAGGTCCCTGCCTGGGGTCCGAACCCACAAACCCAGGGCACGGAAGCAGAGTGCGCAGAACTCAACCACTAGGCTATGGGACCGGCCCCAGTTAACATCCCTTTTAAACAGGCAAATAATTTTTAAAGACTCTCAGTTACAAAACCAGAAGCTGTCAATGATACTCACAGGTTGTTCCACAGACAGATTTTTCCTTCCCTTCCAGCAAGTCCCACAGGTGAATGGAGGCATGCTCATACTGCTCATTCAACCTTGTAATGATAATCAAACAGCTGATTAATCACCGTTCAGTTCTCAAAGCAACACTTAGAAGTTTCTACTATCAGACACCACTTACCTCAAGCTCATGTCCCGTACAGGGTCTGCTAACTTGTAGAACTCATCCAACAGCGACAACTCTTCTTCAGAGAGTATTGGCACTCCATTCAAACCTTGTTTCAGGTCAGTTCGCACTTCTTCATCTCCCAATTTGTCCAAAACATACTGCAGCTCAAGTACAGTTTTTAAACGTTTCTGTTCAGCTTCTTCTCTCATAAGCTGCTCCCGACGTGCCGTCTTCTTTATTGTTTTCTGAATCTGCAAAAGAATATAAATATAAGACACGAAAATGAGTTTTACAAAACTCCTTCAGTTCAATTTCAGGTCCAATGTAAATAAGACATATTTCACTCAATGAGTTGGATGTGACCCCACTACACAAAAGGATTATTCCCCACTTACAAACAGCTTAACACATCATCTGTTTCAAAGCAGTTATTAGAAATTCAGAATACATCTTTCTCTAAAAGGTATCATACTACAGAAATGTTACCGATGAAATGACATATTTGTGACTTGCTTCAAAATAGTCAAGCAGACAGGGAGCAAGGGAGGAGGTGTGGGTGACGCAGGAAGGACAGTCACCCGTGAGACAACTGCAGAAGCCGAGTGTGCATAGAAGAGGGTTCTTCATAGTCTTTCCTTTAGTTTTGAAATTTCCCATAATAAAAAGCATACAAATTGTATTTAATTAAGGCCCTGATTCAATCTAAAATATAACCCAACCAAAGCAACAATAAAAAAAAACTTACCTATATCTATGTCCTCCACAGAAAAATGGCCTAAGTTCTAACTTTAAGTACCTACTACTGACTCACAAGGAGATGCCAAAACCCACCACTGCCCTCACCCCAACAACCCACTGCTGGTGCTATAAAAGCTTGCAACAACTGAAAATAGCGACTAAAACCGACTTCTTTTATATTTGAGGATGCTGGCAGAGAAAGACAGTGGCAGTAAAAGACAGAGAAAAGCTAATTATGAAGCTATCTTTCCCACTATTCTTTCCCTCCCACTTCCCTTTTCTTCTCCAGGAGGGCTGAAGGAAGGACATCAGCCACACTCAACTCTTTCTCTTTTCTCATCATCTAGCATTAGCTCGGCATCAAAGAAAAGTCAGTCTTTTAAAGAAAGGTCAGTCTTTCCAAGATCCATGACAGTTTTTTCCTTCCTACCTTCTCCCTTCTCTCGAGCCTCACTAAGATAAATTGAGATGGAGAAAACCAAAATAAGGATGTATGAAACGTATAATAAAGGGGAGACAGGGAGGGAGACCTGGAAGGAATGATGAAGGCTGAAATACTAAGACAAATCGAGAAGGGCAGAGAGGGCAGCAGAGTAAACGGTATCTTAGCAGCAAGTGGCAAGTGTGGTACACATGAACAGAAAGAGATCTAAGCTAGGGCAGTCAAGGAAGCTTTCAAGGAGAAAGTTGCATCTGCTCCTGAGATATATGAGTGCTTTCAATTTTATGGGGCAGGGGGGTGCTATTTTAGGGTAGAAAGGTCTTTATAGGCAGCCAGAGGCAGAGAACATTATAAGAAGAGAGGCAGGAATGTGAAAAGTCAAGAAAGCAAAAGAAATAAAATAAGAAAGCCATTTTGGATGAAATGAGCAGTTCCATTAGGGAAGAATATGAAGAGTTATGTTAAAGAAGCTTTTGGATGCAAAACAAAAAAGATATTTAATAATTGCGGAAATACAACAAAGGATCAGAGTTAAATAAAAAGACCGCCAGTGAGGTTAAATGAGTGGTAAAAAGTTCCTGAAAATACTAGTGTTAAAACAGAAGCAAAGGAGGATACAAGTATTTTCATTTACACAGTGATAGATTCTATAGAAACAGATTCTATGTTAAATTGTATGTCAATACTACTTCTATGACCCACATTTTTTTTTTTAATTAGAAAAAAAGTGGGCAGAGTTCATCAATCCAGAGGTTCTGACCTCAGCTAAGTGAAACAAATCTCCAGTTGGGTGTAAATTTCCTTTACTCCACTTTGAGGGATATCATCGATATTTTCCACCTTTCACTAAATTTAATAAGCAATAATAATATTAAGTGCATGAAATACATTAATTATACATCCAATACTGTAATAAGCACAACCCTATGATGAGGTAGGCACTATTATCTCCATTTCCCAGATTAGAAAACTAGAAGCAGTGTGAGAGGCTCCCTCTCCCCACCCTCCCCTTCTTCTCTCTACCCTTCTAGTTCAGTTTCTTTGGAAACCCCTGGCTGATACTAGAATAAAGAAGTTACACAGCTCAAAGTCATACAACTATTAAGTAAAAGCAGTGGAATCAGGATTCAAACCAGGCAGTCTGGTTCCAGAATCAGAACTTTTAATCTCTATACCGCATTGCCTCTCATAGTTTTGTTTACTCATTTGACCAAATCAGAGGCAACTTAGTATCTCAATGTTGTTAGCCTTTTTCCAAATAAGCTAACAGTAATTCAGAAAGATATTAACTTTCTGGTCTCAACTTTCAAAAAATTATTTGACTTTGCTTGTATTTAACTTTTTGTCCTGTTCCCAATGGATTGTCACAGCAAAAGATATTTGGGAAAAACGCACCACTCTGTTGGATCAAGGGTTGACACAAGAGCAAGGTTCAGTTTGCCACATCCCTTAAGACCCTTAACAGAGAGGTTAGTTAGCAATATATGAACAAGTCTCTTTATTTTTTGATAGTCAATGGAATTTTAGGAACATCATTAGACATAAAGGAACACATAGAAAATAAATGCATACCACATTTATGTCTATTTGCACAGCTAATTTTTTAAACCAATGAGATCTTTAGGGTAACTACTATACATGTTTGTCATATCCAAAACTCAGTCCTTTTAAAAGGTATCTTTCAGCTATTACATTAAACTCTACAGAATTGGAAAGCATCTTAAATACAACTGGATCCAACCCTCTCACCCTGCAGAGAACTTATCAATGGCTACGCAAGGACTAAAACCCAAAAAACCAAGATTTTCTGCATGCCTTATTTTTGAAATTTCACAAACATGTACACTGTCTTTTACTTACATCCTGACTCAACGCCATGAAACTCCTCTGCAATTCTTTCGCAAACTCCAAGTTATTTGTGACTTCCTGGTACTTAGACACAGCATCCTAAAATAAGAAAGACAGAACCCAACTTTACTGGAGACACAAGGAAGCACAAAATTAATTTTATTATTAAAAACAGCAGCATAAAATCTGTAATAAAAATGTAGTATCGTTACCAGCTGATCCTGATTAAGCCTTTCTCCTTTGTTCATTCGCTCTTGGTAATCATCGAGCTTGCCCTAAAAGAAAGAATTATATTCCATTTTGAAAGTGCATACCAGCTTAACCATGCTAAATAACAAAACCCACAAGTCCTCTAAGTTTCTCTCACATCTTGCCTTAAATAGACTTTTTAGATATACTCCAGTTTAAGTTAGTACATAAAACAACTTAGTTAAAATTAATAGTGAGCTAAAAAATGAATTTAAATACTCGAATGATACCAAATATTTATAAGCCAGTGACACAACATTACTTATTCTTTAGGTTTCTCCAAAAAGCTATCCATCAGATGGCCCAGGCATACGGTTCCTACCCATGTGGGTGAGGGCCACAATTTGGTTAGGATCCTGCTTATACCCAAGTGAGCATATCAAACATTTTATAACATGTTAAAATTTGTCACTCCCTCCCTTCCCCCTACCAAAGAATGCATGTGAATCAGTGATATAAAAAGAGTGTATTTTTCCTGAATAAACCCATGTGCGTACTGTCTTTGACGTGCCTCATCCCTTTCTCCTGAACAAGCTGATATTCAATACTTCAAGCTATCACACTACCTATGGTGATTCTTCTCACAGATGGAATTAAATGTGTGAGAGTAGGGGTAGAAAATTAACCTCTGGTTTAAGGCGATTTTTTTTTTTTGCCAAGATGAAAACGTTGGAAGTTTCCTCAGCTACTACTATTAGATAAGAATTCCCAAAAAAGATATTCAGGTAATGCAACATGGTCAAGAATTCAGTTATTGTTTTCAGGGTCAGAGGAGAAGGAATAAGTAGAAATCTAAATTAACGGGGAAATTTTAAATAATCACAATAATTATGAACATACATAAGTTTCTCACCCTTAGTAATAAAAAAAATTAGCCAAGAAACAAAAGACAAAGTAAGGTTCTAATAAAACGCGTTCAGAGACACAGAAACAAGTTTAAAAGCAATGTTAATAAGTTGGTTTAGGTCAGATGATCCATTTTCTGTGTACCAGAAACATTAGTCAACTTGCATAACTATTCTATCCTAAATTTAAAAGCCTATCACAATTCATTAGTTCTACTGGAGGTAAATAAACCAAGATAATCATTAAAACATTAAAGGCTGACAAAGTATCCAATTTTCTTCTTAGTGAACTACTTCACACGATCAATTAAGCCTCCAGCTAAACAGGTATAAAATTCAGCCCACTGGTTGAAAAGTAAGTTTTTACACTCATCTGGCAGGACGAACCCCCGGTGCAGAAGATGTGCTTAACTGCCTCAGAACACTCTGAGGAAGGACAGACAGTTCGTTCACTTTTTTAAAAGGGTAGGCTACTTTTCTTTTAAGAAACAAAAAAACTAAAGATTTGCTTTTAATTACAACTTAGGATACAATAATAGTATTAGAGTCAGAATTCCTCCTACATTTACAGATAGTAAAAGATATATAAACACAAGGAGGGCCTAAAATTTAGTGCTAGTACAGTCAAAAGTCTGAACTAGCTACCAGGCAAAAGAAAAACTGCTATTAGCTTATAGCGGGCATTTATTACCTTCCCTTTTTATGGTATTGTACATTTTTCAAGGACATTATTGCTAAAGCTAGAAAATAATACACACTGAGCATACTACATATCCCTTATAGGATGGAGTCTTATATACCTAGCTTAACTTTATCATTTAATGTCTTGAAAACTTAAAAGATATGATAATCAAAATGGATGTCAAATTAAATTCCTAAAAAATGCCTATATATATATATATATATAAAAAAAAAAATGAAGATTTTTTTAAATGTTAAGAATGGTACCTGAGTGGCAGAATTATAAGTGGAACTTTGTTCCTTTTATTTTGTACACTTAGATATTCTGAAATGAACATATATAGTTGATATAATAAAAAATTAAAATTTCATGCTATATAAAAGACGTTAAGATTGACATATTTCAGCATATTGTCAGGACTTTCACCTATAGTAATCCTAGAGTATGAATCTATACCACCCTATGGTAGGACAAGCTATCTTACAGTAAAAAAGCTCCAATTTTCTACACGGTAACAAAATCAGTATTCATCCAACCCAACATGCACAGCAGATGACACTTTCCAAAGGTGGTCCATCATCCACAGTCCTACATGCCGCTCTACATGTGACTCTCGCACCCCCCACAAAGAACCAGTCCAATTCCCCTGCCACTGTATCGAGTGGGCTTTAACCAATGAAGCACAGTAGAAGGGATCCTGTTTGACTTCCAAGGCTAAGTCAAGACAGCAGTGCATCTCTGCTGTGCCTGCTGGGCACTAAAAGCACTTCTACTGGGAGCCCTGAGACATCATCTAAGAAGTCCAATAACCCTGAGGTTGCCATGCTACAAGGAAGCCAATCCATGGAGAGACATCTTATATAAGAATGCTGGTCAGTAATTCCAGTGTTACAGTCATCCTAGCCCAGGCATCAGACTCGTGAGTGAACAAGCCTTAGTCTTCCTCGCTGAGGCCCCAGGCATCACGAAGCTAAGATGCCAACGCCACTGTGTGCCCTGGCTGAACCCCTGACAGGCAGAATCCACCTGCATAAAAAAATCATCCAAGTTTCGGAGCAATCTGTCACACAGCAGTTAACTGGAACAAGGTTAAAAGGAAAATGAAGAGAAAGCAGCTACTTTGTGAAGCTCAGCTTCATAGTACACATCTTCAGGGAATACTGTCACCAAAACGTGTGCAGAAAGACCTCTGTGCAGCCAAAATAAAGATTTACGCATTTTATTAAAACACACATCTCATTAACTTTGATTTTATATTACTGTAACATGTTTCTAGTTTTTCAATCCATAATAACTTAAGAGCTATGACTTTTAAAGGGAGGAGTGCTACTAACCCAAGAAACGACAGCTTACTCTGAGGGAAGAAATGTGTAAGAAAGTCACGATGTAACTGAAAAATCTCAAAGATCTTTAAACAGGGGATTTTCAAAAAGCAGACCAAAGTTCCAGTTAGCTGAATTAACACATCTATATGGATCCAATCAAAAAATATAGTTAATCAGGGGCCAGCCTGGTGGTGCAGTGGTTAAGTTCGCATGTTCCGCTTCAGCTGCCAGGGGTTTGCCAGTTGGGATCCCAGGAGCGGACATGGCACCACTCATGAAGCCATGCTGTGGTAGGCATCCCACATATAAAGCAGAGGAAGATGGGCACGGATGTTAGCTCAGGGCCAGCCTTCCTGAGCAAAAAGAGGAGGATTGGCAGAATGGAAACTACAGGTCTTTTTTTTTTTTTTTTTTTTTTCAATTTTTCCTTCTTTTAGACCCTGAAGCATCCCCGGTACACAGTTGTGTGTTTTAGTTGTGGATTCTTCTAGCTGTGGCATGTGGGACGCCAGATCAGCCACGACTTGATGAGTGGTGCTAGGTCCACGCCCAGGATCCAAACTAGCAAAAACCCTGGGCCGCCGAAGCAGAGCATGTGAACTTAACCACTCGGCCACGTGGCCCCCCCCAACAGGTCTTTTCTGAAACGTTGTTCTAACCATAAGACAACACAAGTTTCGTCCTAAGTTTACACTTGTTCCTCTAAAGCTGTTAACCCTTTCTACACTACTGTCATAAATATCCTACCCCCTATCCTTGCCCAGGCTTCAGACAAGCAAGATCCTGGGTCTGCTCAAAGTTCCTAACAGCCCTCATTTGAGGAAATATCAAAACTTACTAATAAATGACTGCAGAATGACAATTAAAAAAAACTGTTCTACAATGAAGGGCATTAGCTTTTTCTATATCAGTATAATACAGGATCTCCAGGCTGCTTGGGCGAACAGGACCATCATCGTGGAATCTAAACTGAAGGGACTACTATATACATGTATATGATATATATAATATATAGAATCAGATCTCTACATAGAAGAGACCCTATGTTGGTCTAAGTCAGTGCTTCTCAAAGTGTGGTCCCCAAACCAGCAATATCAGCATCACCTAGGAACTTGCTAGAAATGTGAATTCTCAGGCACCACCCCAGAACTACTGAATCAGAGACTCTGGGGATGGGACCAAGCAGTCTGTGTTTTAATTGAGTCCTGAGTGATTTGGATGCTTGCTTAAAGTTTGAGAAACACTCACCTAGATCAAAAACACTGTAATTCCCTTGCAACAGTGAGTCCAGTAGAATGTAAAAATAAATTATTCTGAATCAAACACGATACAAATTGTGACCCCAGAAACCATGATATGGCAGCCTCAATCTGGAAACAGGTTGCTTACAATTTCAGCTTTTAACAACTTAGAACCCTTGCTGGATGGCAGTTCTCTGGACCAGTCTATGAATCTATTCACCCAGTAATCGTGTGCATAAGGTCCATTTACGGCCTCAACAGTGAAGGGCCAGCGCCTTCCGTCCACAAGCAGCACTTCTAGGAAACCCTGCACTGCTAGCCAAAGCTCCGAAAGCCGGGACTTCACAGATAAACTCAGGAGCAGACACCAAAATTTGCACTACAAACAGAAAGCCTCTCAGGACAATCAATAGGTCTAACTTTCTACTTTTCAAAAGGAGGGAAGCTTTCGGAGATAAGGAAAAAGATGTGGATTTGCGCTGAATCCCAGCAGTACTACAATTTGCCTAACCTTTGAAAGAACAGACAACTCAGAGACAAATGACACTAGCTTAACTGCCTTCATTCCTATTGTCACATCCTATTCAAATTGCTTAAATTAAGTCCAAATAGGAAAAATTACCCATGTGGGGTTAAAATGTGCAGCATGAATTAATCAATATATAAATAAGGACTTGTTTATCACACTGACTGATCCAATATTAACTCCAAGAAAGACAGAGAGGCAAAGATAGGAGCAAAAAGGGCTCCAAACACAGCTTTTTTCTTCCCTAGGCTACAACAAGGCTGCCCAACACACAGCAGCAGTAAAGACAAATTGGCCAACTACTCATATCATCCACGTGACTATTTTTTTCTGGAGAATGGAGCTGTTTTCCTAGCATAAAAAGATATCTTCATCAAAAGCCTACCACAATATCAATTAAAAAAAAC